TTTAGCATCTAGGCAGAATTTACTACGTAGATGTGTTCGTCAGAATCTACACGGCCCAACGACAGGCAACATGGGTGACGAATGCCGGGTGGAAGGATTTAACCCTGGTCACTTAATGCCGGCGAGGCTTGGCGGGTGGGTTTTGGGTGTCTTGTATGACTGGAGTAGTGTCTGGGCCCTCAGTGGGCCTCCATCATCGAGGTATCTCTAATTATCTATGTATGTATGATTCTAATGAAACACCCAAAAGTAATAATGACTCAAAAGACTCAAGTCCATACTGGCTCCAGCGTGCGGTTGTTTCATCCCAGCCATTTATATCACTTCGCGCAGACATCCAATCACGGTGTTGTCGTCACCGTCGCCTTTCCCTGGGGATTCAGCCCGGTGGTATCGTACTCCAAGCTGATGCTACTTTGACTACCACTATCGCTTGATTCCCCCGGCTCATTCGTGACATGGAACTGGCGATGCTCCCAGATTTCCAACGGCTGTTCCTGGTTAATATGCTCTCCGGACGCTGTGATGTCGACAGAGCGTGTGTGTGACTTATCACCACCCTTGAATCGCGAAAGATGGATGGTGGAGCTATCAAGACGGTTGGTGTACTTGCTTCGGCTGTGGCTGCGGTTGTATGACGAGTGTGCCAAGAAGGATTTCCAGTTGAACATTCGGCGAAATAGTGTCCATGTTTGAGGGATATTGGCCACAACGATGGCGGTTGCTGCCTCTCGGACATACCAGTCCACCCAGCGGTCTCCGTAGGGGTTCCAGATAGAATAGTACTTGGAGAGGACAGAGCACAGGATGACGAAGATACCCAGCGAGAAAACGGCGCACAACGTAAGCTTCTTGGACAGGCTTAGCTTGGCCTTGATCAAGAGTGGCAATGGGATGCACATGATCATCAAGTCCGTAGCGACATTCAGGGCCAGGACTAGAATGAGGTGGTTGCGATAGACGGAACATTGTACGCTCTTTGGCGGGACCGACCAGTAGGCGGAGAAAGGGTGACACCATACTGCGAAAAAGAGAATTTCAACTACCACGAAACTCAGCGCACAGAATGCGCCAATTAATTTGACGATTCGATGTTGCGAAAGGCCCAACCTATCGAGTGATTAGATTTCGATCGCCGAGGGAAGTCTGTTTACTCACGTCATGGTCGAGTATAGCAAGAGCAAGCATGCCTTGCACCCCCAGATGACTCCTAGCCATAGCTGCTCTACTACAAGGACTAGCTTACTGCCCTTGATAAGATCCGGTATCGTTGAGGGATCGATCTGGTCAACCTTGTCTAAGGGAATCCCGTTGGTCCCGTGCTTTTCGACCTCCAGTAAATACACCGTCAATAGAACATAGAGAATCTGCAATGGTTAGTCGGTTAAATAAATCTAGAAAACATTCAGATTGCCGGCATACCACGTTGGCGACCATCACAATGTCTTCAATTTGGAAGTTTCTGGGCGTCCCCAATTGAAGCCAGCGGGAGACATAGCGTAGTAATGCTAGAGTGAATCCGTTAGAGATCTGCAGATTGGCACCAACATAAAAATAACCTACCGATCAGCAGTACGACTGCCAACCACACCCAGCTATTGACATTTGACACCATCCCGGCCCGATGGATGTAGAGGGACAATAGCGATTCCCGTAGTAGCAATCCATCGCTGTGATGATTAATACGGGAGAGAGACCGGGCTCATATATGGACACATGGACATGACTCGGCGAAAATCACACGAAGGCGTTTGCACGACGGGTCCCAAGGGGATTTCATTCCTTGGGACTGGAAGGTGTGGCTACCAACTGTGAAGTACTGAGTTGGATCCACTGTGGACACGGGCCAGCCATCTACCATGCTTAATGGGGATAGTACCGTGGCGCACACGTGGCTCTTGCAAGGATTGAGATGATTGACTAGACATTCGGAAGATACAGGGATTGCCTTGCTCAAAAATAAGATTTAGTGGATAATGCAGGCCTGTATCCTTGGTGCTGTGGTTGTGTGTACCAGGCTTGGAGTGGCACGACAAGCAAGTTTGGAGGAGTAACTTGTGAGCCAGCGAAGGTTGGACCTCGGCCTGCGTCCGTCTTCCCGCGCCGAGAACGACGCCCCTCGTACCGTATGTGGCAACATTTCACGACCCAGAGCTTTGCCTCCACGATATGACTCGAGATTCTTAAGGGTAGCCACGTTCCCCAGCGCGGAGAACATGCCAGGGTAAAAGTGGTGCGTCCCTAATTGCAGACTAAGCTTAGCTTGAGGTAAGACATTTCATACCGAGCCTGGTCAGCCCGAGACAACGGTAAGCTATAAAGCCCCGAGATTATACCCTAGGATCCATAAATACGAGCTTCCACGCGTTATCCAACGATTGCGCCAGTCAGAACATTTCTTACTGGTCTTTACCACGGATAGGAGAATCCTTATCTACCTTTATACGACATGGAAATTTTTTCTCCTTAATAAAGTTCGCGGTCTTGGCAGGCACTTCCGGTGAAACCAGGGTTCTGACTGGCCGATATCGCAGGAAATAACAGCCATATGAAAGTTTCATCAGCAATATTAATAACTAACCACGAATTGGGGTAGGATACGAGAAAAGGGAAGTTACTCGCGTGTTCAATATCGAATGACAATTGTACTGAGCCTTGGATCACTTATCTTGTCACCTGCCCGAGCCACGCTAGGCTATCCATAAATATCCATAAATGGACTGGCTGGAGATGTGCAGCTGGGAAGGGTGTCCTTTGCCGAGACCTTTGACCGTGTATTCCGTATAATATTCTAGAAGCCAGGACTGACCAAGGTGCCTGGCTTTATTTTATTTTATTTATTTATTGTTTAATAAGCTGCGCGGTCAAAACCGAACCATTCCGATATGAATCGCAACGGTCGAGCGTGGTCTGCCCATTCGCACGGACGGGATTTTATGGCTCTGGCACTCCTTACCAACCATCCAGGCTTCCTCCTGACTCTAATATACAGTACTCTAATGGAGGATGACCAGCCGCAATCTGCTTTACTAGAAACATTTGGGTGCTCACCCTAGGCCAGTTTCGACCGAAACGAAGACCTGTCAACACTGTTGGTCGGAGGCTTAGAGCCGTATGGATTAGGGTTTATTGTCTTCGGTTATTGTTGTGTTGTTATAATCCTTATTACTCGTGTTTCAGTAGTCAATAACCATAGAGAGTTAGATATATATCCCTTGGGACGGGTCAAACTTGTGGCTGATAACCTATCGCCATCGGAGCATATCTGGGGTTTGATAGCCTATCGGAATGCCGGTGCCCTAGCCTTCGGCAGAGCCCATCATGGGCTCAAGTTTTGGACCCAAAGCTCAACCTATAATGGGCTGGGTTCGGATTTGAATAGGTTCTGCCGAACTCTACGGTGTGTAGGGTTACGGGCACTCGGGCCGAATAAGCATACAGTACCTGGACTGCGGCAATTTCCTTAATATCTATAGAGAGAGTATATTATCTACTACTCGTAATTTTTAATTTTCTAGCTATAGTATTCTACTTAATAATCTCTAGTAGGCTGTGGCAACGTCCTCAATGTCTATGTGTGATTTCGATCCGATTCGTACATCGTGCGAATGTCCTCACCAGGCGAACAGACCCGAGCTCCAGTGAATGACTCGCCAGGCTTGTGAGCGAGATATTAGGTTAAGAGATTCGTTTACAATAGAATAGCACTAGATAGATGACCGAGCTGAGTGTATACGAAGGCCTCGCTGTAACGGCGGTATACTATATAGGTGCCCCCAGGGCATTCGGGATCGTTGATCCCGAATTATATGACCTTTTGGCCTTGTGGAATAGGGTGCCCTGGCACTATCTCTTACAGTTATATCGGGTTGTGCGGAAGTCTAATAAATATTATAAAATTATTATACATTAATTATAGATTAATCGATAGTTATTAATTTAATTACTATAATTTAATTTACTCTAACCTCTAGTTAATTATAGTTAAAAAAGTAATTAATTTTAATTTAATTATATCTAGATTGACGAAAGAATTTTATATCTTAATCTAACGGACCCCTGTTAGATTAGATTATAGCTAGAATACAGCGGTTAGGTTATGCTATTCTAACCGATGCAGATTTCGATATAAAGAGTATTTCGCAACCGCACCGTTGCTATGCTAAGCCTTACACAGGCTCGTGTCCTTTGAGTATCTTTCTCTGACTTCGTAGCTACCTTACGCCCTTATTCAAGTGTATTTCCAAGCCCGAGAACGTCCCCGAGACCGGTCACTTGCTCGGTGCCACCACTTTCGTTTCCGATGTCACCTTCCCTACCCTCGCCATCATGGTCCCCCTGTTGGATCGTGGTCTGGGATTCCTTTGAGAGAGTGACATCCGCATTCGAGAGCATAACTTTGATTACCGAGACCGATGAGCCAGAAGAGTTACTAGGACATTGCCCTCTTGATTGGCCAATAAATGGCTAGATACACTACAAATTGGTGGTATGCATGGGAGGTAGTTGAATTAGAAGGAAGGATTGATAGGAAGACGCGATTTTGGAAGGGGTGCGCCGGACGGCTGGGAATTATGTTAACTGCTCCTTTCTCCGCTTTGGATTGGCACGTCTCCTTGTTGACCTTTTTAATCCTCTGTCAACTAAAGAGTATAATTCGATCCATTAGTGGGCTAACAAGCAATGCTGCAGGCAGTTTGATAATATTTGAAGCAATCCATAACGTTTCACGTAAGGTTCATCTCTATCAAGTCAATTTTCGGGGTTTGAGAATCCCTCTTCTTGTTATAGCCAGGCGAGAGGACGAGGTTCAAATCGATACATTCAACAAAGGTAACTAACTCTAGAGAGAAGAGAAAAGAAAGAATCTTTCTGCTGATCGATCGCCCTTTCAACCGCCTTTAGCAACTTGCATCTGGAAAGCTCGATCAAACACCCATTGACCAGTTGACTACTAGTTGCTTTGCTCTATTCAGTCTCTGGTCGTCAGACCTCGGGTTTTAGAATCTATCTTTGTTGTTTTCCACCCACTGCTGGAACCGCTCCGGCGTATTGCTAGAGTATTTTTGAATATTGTCGATCGCCGTAGATGCATCCGGATTCTCAAAAAAGTAATGTGGGCGATGCACGACATTTTGGACGACCCACTTGACTAGAGATGGGGAAATGCCGGATTTAACCATCTGTGTCACAGCCTCATCCTCTGAAATTCCCATCACGGTGATTGTCTTTCCTAGAGCCGTACCGACGATACCGATAGCGTCCCGTAGTGAAAGTCTTTCAGGCCCAAGTAGTCCAACCATTCGAACCCGTTGCCCACTAGTCAGAAGCGCACCAGCCACAGTACCGATATCATTGGGCGAGATGAAATCAAAGACGGCATCCGGATTTGGCAGTCTCACTTCTCCTTTCTTGATACCAATACTGTGCTGAAGGACATTACTGGCGAAATATGAAGGACGAACAGCAACAAAAGATTCAGGACCTAGTTCCTCTTCAAGAACAATCTCGATTTGGGCATGGTGATGGGCAATCACGTCGGCCGAAGGCACCGCACGGATTGTAGTCATGATGGTGAAACTGCTCAGAAACACAACAAACTCAATTCCAGACTCCTTGAGGGCCCGAATAGCTGGTCTCATATGGTCTGGAGCTCCAAATACGGCGTAGATAAAGGCAGCCTTTGCTCCCGTCCGGCAAACTGCAGCCTTAATAGTATCAGGCTGGGTGAGATCTGCTTGAAACCTCTCGAACGGAAATCCATGGAGATTGGTTACTGACTTGGAAGTATCGCGCATTGCGAGCGAAACCTTTGCTCCATCAGTATGGGCTCTGAGTGCAGCAGCAGAGCCCACCGCACCGGAAGCACCAAAAATGACAACGTTATCATACGTGGGCATTGTGTTTCGCTCGGAAGGACAGCTGAAGAGGGCCTATTGCGTTTGGCCAGATAAATGAACCACACTGGGTTTTATACACCTTCAAATATCCGAAGTTGAATGCAGGGTAAGAGCAGAAGTTTAACTCCGTCCCTTAAATCCGGTCGTACACCGAGCAGCTAAAATATTGGGTCTGGATGTGGGTTCCCACAGGGTGCATATACTTTTGCGTAGTCGTTGTACATAATCGAAATGAATATCTCAACCTCTCGCGACCTTGTGGGTTTACTCATAATTAGGATTCTCAATGATACAGCTTGATGTCGCATAAGCTATGCATACCTTGAGGTCCAGCCTTTTTGCACTGTTTATGAACTCGCGGGAGCGGGATGGGCAGATCTACTAGCTATAGAAAACTTGCTCTCGTTCTCTCGGTCTCCGGTACTTAGTGTCACCGACCTCCGCCCACTGTGAATGACTTCCCTGCATTTGTCTCCAATTTTATTTCAAGAATTCTTGCAATTGCTACACTAGACTGGATGTAAGTATACGGGGCCGGCGGGGCCGATGGGGCCGACGGGGTCGGTAGAGTTACTTCTAGCCTAAGTCATTTACTCGTAACGGACATGGGCAAATTATTTCCGACGTGCCTAGCGCTATACAGTTCACTCATCGACGGAACCCGGCGTGAAAGAGATCGACACTGGGGAGGGCTCTGTTCAATCACAATTGATAGTGACAACACTCCATACTATTTCCACTACATTGGAGACTGCTGAAGTCGTCATCCTGTCCCGTAGTTTCCCGGAATGAGATAATTGACGAGGGTGTGTGACGTGGGAATATGCCGGGACATCCTGACTAAATAATTACTATCCCATCAATATAAAAAAGCCGCAACAGTGTCTATATGCTTTAACCAAAGGAAATTTCTTTCCCTCAATCTGCATCTCAAGGAAATCACCAAAAGCCGAGTCTCTTTCAGCCTCGAAGCCAGAATGACATCTGACGCTGCACATGCATCGTTCCTGGATCAAGTCAAGGAGACAAAAAGACTGGCGGAGAAGTTTACTCAATTTCGGCCCGCCATCCCCCTCGACGATCCAAAGGCACGCTTTCCTGGATTTCGGCAAAGAGTCGTCAGTTACAAAGCAGGACAGCAAGTTAAAGATGGCGCCAAACCTTTGCCAGTGGACATCGTCATGCACGAAAGTGTTGCTATGACCTTATCGGATGGCATCAAACTCTTTTGTGACGTCTTTCTTCCAGCAACGTCTAACAAGACTGATTTCGCTGATTCGCAAAGTGAAAAAATTCCGGCCTTGGTTGCTTGGTTAGTTTTGTGATAAGCTCTTGAGCGTGTTATTTGAGGGCTACGTTTGTACTAACTATTGGGATTAACTGCAAAGGAGTCCTTACAGCAAGCAAGGTGGAGTCACAATGCTGGATGATTTTCCCTTCCGTGCGGGCGTCCCTAGCTCATGGGTCTCGGGGCTCCAGAAATGGGAGGGACCCGATCCAGCATATTGGTGTGAGCAAGGCTATGCGATTGTAAATGTTGATGCTCGCGGCGCATATACATCTGAGGGTGACCTTATCATGATGGGTCATCAAGAAGCGCAGGATGGTGCGGAATTCATTACGTGGGTGTCTGAGCAGCCGTGGTGTTCTGGTAAGGTAGCTTTGACCGGCAACAGTTGGCTGGCGATGTCGCAGTGGAAAATCGCAAGTCTCCGGCCTAAAGGGCTTTGCGCAATCACTCCTTGGTATGGTTAACGGACTTCAATCTTCTTTCTTCGAAATCTTGGCCACTGATTTTATGCAATAGGGAAGGCTTAACAGATGCCTATCGTGACTGTCATTGTCCGGGAGGCATCCCGTCTCCCGGATTTCATCACTGGATTGTGGGTAAGATTCTGTCCTCTACCCGTTCTGCCGGGAAGCAATTAGGAGCGAAACAACATATCATTAACGGGGATACAGATCGATTCAGTGGTCGCGGAAGAGTAGAAGATGTGCCTGCGACACTGAAAGCTCATTCCTTCTGGAACGAGTATTGGGAAGATAAGAAGGCAAAGTGTGAACAAATCAACGTTCCAACCTATCTTACAGCTACATGGACAAATCCGATTCACACCCCCGGTACGTTCAGGGCCTATCGAGCATTGCCAGATTCGACACCAAAATGGTTGCGAGTACATAACACTCAGGAATGGTCTGATTACTACTCTGATCCTTCAACACGTGATCTAAAGCGTTTTCTGGATCATTTCCTCAAAGGTCGTGTAAACAATGGCTGGCTCGCTACCCCTAAGGTTAGAATAAGTGTCTTGAATCTCGGGCTATCTGGGTTAGAAGATACTACCAATCGCCCGGAATCCGAGTTTCCCCTCGCTCGAACCACTTATAAAAGGCTGTTCCTTACTTCTGACGGACTCATGACTCAAGATTCATATCGCGGTCAGGAATCTTCTGTCTCATATGACTCTCAAACAGGTAGTGCGACCTTCAGGTTTCCTATTACCGAAGAAATGGAGACAACGGGATACTTCTTGGCAAGGCTTGTCGTTTCCTGCTCTGAAGGTTCCGACATGGACTTGTTCGTCCAGATGTCCTCATATCACGGGAAATCGGCTTCCAGGCAGGGCAGCCTTACTATCCGTCCTCCAAGTCTTTCGGATCAGGCGTTTTTGAAAAGTCTGCATGATTGGCATACTGGTATGGAAAGATTTGGGATGCTTTTTCACTGGGGCTCGGAAGGTCAGCTCCGAGTAAGCCGAGCGGATCGAAAGAGTGAGCAGTCGACGTTTTTCGAGCCTATATATGATTGCAAGGAGGCCTTGCCACTTGCAAAGGGAGAAAAGAGACTTGTTGAAATTCCACTACGCCCTTATGGAATTTATTGGAAGGCAAGTACTGAGTATTGCCTCTGTGGATGTGAAACTAACCTTGTTTATAGAAAGGTGATGTCATGGAATTGACGATTTCTGGCAACCCCATCATCCCTTTCCCGATCCCAGCTGTTAAAAACGTACGAGGAACGAACACGGGTAAACATTTTATCCATTGCTTGGATAGGGGAAACGAGAGCTCTTGTTTCGTTATCCCCTGTGTTTAGCCAAGCTTTCTACCACGGGGAACTGGGAATTTGTTGAAAGGGGAGGGGGGGGGGGATACTACTACCGGTGCATGGTGACTGTGAGAGAGTATTTCCCCCCGATTGTGAGATCATATTTTCGTCTCAGGTCTGGTACTATAACACACTACGCCTAGCAAGCTGAGGTTGCTCATCCCACCTCAGATTAGGTTGAATCCATTTTCCCTCTTTAAAGATGAGAATCTATCACTTCAAGTAATGAGTAAAATGATCTGCCGATAGTTATCAGACTTTTTGTGATAATATGGTGAAAATCCTAACCGATAGGAGTATTTATATTCTACTGGTGTGGAATTAGGGTATTCTCCTTTCAGTGTGGGAATAAAAAGTGGGGTTAGAATAGAGATATATCTTTGCATACCGGGCTTAGCTCTTCATAGTATAGATGCAGCCTTGAAGTTATGATCGGCAGGTGGCTGCGTCGGATACGGAATGAACGAGAGAGAAGAATGAATGAGACAGGCTGGAAGGGAGTAAACTCGACGATCATGCCAGATCGCCAAAGCTCTCTAAGGGATTCTACGTGGTACGGTGGAACGTACGGTATTATTACGACGACTCATGTGCCTATAGGACCATTACCACCACTGTTTTGCCAAGCTTATAGAGTGGTAAGCTGGATTAGCGTGTTTCGGATGTATTTTCCGGGAATGAAGTCGGAAGAGTGTGGAGGTATAATATAACTGATATCGAAACCTACTGTACAGTCTTGGGACTTTGTCGGTTCTAAGACCGCGATCGTAGGACTGTGGAAGCAAACGAAACTGCGGACTTGCGATACAAAATCAACCAGAGTCTTCCCAGCGTTAAGGCTGTCCTTTTCTTTCTCATATTCCAGTCCTCATTCTCAGCCACTAGAATGAACAAAACCCTCCGTAAAACATGGCTCTACACTCTCAGCAATCTCGAACTTTTTGTGTACAAGATATTTCTGCTACCCATCGGCATTTTTGCGCTGCTCGTCACCCTCCCATACTCGCCCTACCAGAAGACCCCGAATTACGGCATTCAAAAAAAACGATATGCCGCCCGTGCAGCTCTATCTCGACCACTTCCAGCATCTAAACCCTGACCTTACATGGGGTGGTTCAACAGACCGTTAAGCGACTGCAACTATTAACAGGGAAAGACCCAATCCCACTCCAGCGTATGGTCTTCTTTGGCCATATAAATATGGTAAGAATATAGACTAGACAGAATTCACCTCTGTTGCAGTCCTGTTCGCCGTCCTTGAGGACGCAGGCCTGCCGTGGGTAGTCTAGACTTTCCTGCGGGACAAGGTGGAGAAGGGATCTGTGGAGCTGGGACTAAACGACGCCCAAAAGGGCCAATTCACATATGTGATGCAGAAAATCAACAGTCATAATTTGACTAACTGGGCTATGATGCTGACGGATAAGGCTGTGGATAGGAGGATGAATAAGAAAACTCGGGACATGGTGCTTCATTTGGAGCTGTTGACTGATCTATACGAGGTGATCCCTATATCGCTGAACTCGCTGGACTGGGTGCTGCGACGTGGATGTGTGGTCACCCCAAGCCTGGATAATGCGTGGGAGTCATACGAGCGGTTGTCTCGTTTGTCGAAATTTTCGGGTCTGTGGGGGTGTGTCGGTGAGGACAGGATTCTGGAGGAGGCGATAAGTAAATTGTTAGAATAGTGGCGGTTAGGCTCAGTACCACTAAGCTAAAAAGACCAAAATATCGAACTTCATGTTCGATACGCCTAACCGCCATCTATATAGTGCTGTCACGTAACATATATGAAACAGTTGACACAGAAATTTGGAGTATATCCCCAATTTTAAAATGAGAGATCCCTGTATAGTACAAATTATCTGTAAATCTCTAGAATAGAGACTTAATTCGGTTTTCTTTATTCTATTCGGGGGTTTTATTTCTAGAGGTGTTCGGGGAGCCATTTGTTGAATAGGAGGTATCTCATATTGTTCTATATAGACATACAAATGTGAGTGTTCTACAAACTGCGTACAACAGGTGCCAAGAATTGAAGACCATTTTGTATACACTAAATCTGCCGAAGATCCATTTGATCTGCATTTCCCGCTCCAGCGATTGGGTACTTTGATATTTCCGTATGGTGGTATGGCTGAAAAGAGGGGTACAGCTGAGCGAAGAGCTGAACTTCAATTATTGATCGGCATCTCAGCTGAAAACGACTTCGCCTACTCGGGTAGTCGATTACTTATAATTTATACCCCTCCATCTCCCCTGCCAGATCCTCTTCTGTTCTCTCCCATTCCCCATCTACTTCCCCTTTGATACATCCATCTCACCAAAATGTCTGCGCCCTTGCATTACTACCGCGTATGCACCCCTTGCATGCACCGATTGTTATCCCAACTAACTAGATATAGGTTGCTGTGTTTGAAGGAGTCGACGGACAGCCCCTTTACGAGTAAGTACTAATATATCCCCACTTACATCCTATAGTGGATATAGGGCTAATCTGAAGCTTAATAGTCTTAAGGACGGCGTACAGCAAGGCCTTCATGGGATTCTTATCCATCAGAATGAGTTTGAAAACAATGTTCCAAATTCATTCATGTATGTATCTTCTTCTTTTGTATTCTTATTCAGAGCTGACGTATTTTAGCGTTCGCCTGGCTGAGGACTGCGTGGATGATCTGAAAGAGGACCCCAGGGTTGAGACTGTTGCGAAATTAGACTGAAAGCCACAAAGCCATTTTGATTTATAGCTCAACAGATGACTCTACGAAATGCCATAAATATCCATGACAGCTTGCCTTCGTTGCGCGCAATCTTGAGGCCTGTGGGTCTTAACTCATTAGATACTATGTATAAGGCTTCTGGCTATGGAGCCTCTCCTAAAGGGTTCCCAATAAGTTCCTCAGGTGTCCTATAAAGCTTTCAGACACACTCTAGATTATTATCAGTATTACCTATTATATTAAGGACTCTAATGTTTGTAGGGTAACTGATCTCCATGAGTATCTTATCTTCCACAAGAATATCTGCATGGAGAGGGCCGTGGCGATATTATGCATTGCTAGGGTTGGATGGACTGCTTGAACGCGACGGTTGTGAAGAGTTTGTGGACAGAGGAGGTGGAACTACGACACGATGGTGCTGTACGTGGGGACCATCAGGGATCCATGGACTTCACACTCGAAGTGGGTAGCTGCCGTCACAACACGGAGAGTAGGCCATCGGCACGGCGATGCTGCTGTTGGCGGGACACTCCTGAACAAAATGAGCGATAATCCGACGAATCTGACACATACGTCTGAATCGTGACGGGGTGCCATCACCGGATTAGCGATAATGTTAGCAAGACCTAACCTGCAGTCTTGATGGCGAAGATGGTATTGGAAACGGAAACATTGGAGCGGGATAGACTGAACGCGTTGATTCAGATTCATGAGGAATATATGAAGTAGTTTGACGTATATAATAATGTGATACGCACAGATACATTAGATATAGTGGGGTCATATAAGAGCATCTCCAAACTGTGACATGGAATGGAATCGAACCATGTGCAAGAAATCAAAAATCGCCATCCGGCAACAGCTCGAATAATTGAGGCTTACTAGCGCCTTGTTCTGGTTGGGATGGTTGTACCGTAAGTTCAGGCCTGGTGTCCGCAAAAGATAGGATTTCTCTGGCAATGATCCCAATTTCTGAGTACGTCCTTTTCCCCCAATATCCAATACTGGCCGAGCATGTTTAGGGTTTCCATCGTCAAGCGATTCTTCCACACGATCCACAGCTTCTACATAGTACACTTCGTAGATGAATCGAGACGCAGATAGACGTGCGATAGTTGCATTACACTTCCGTGGATCATCTGACGGCGGTCGAGAGGCACAGCGAGAGGCTTGTTCAACGGAGCTATAAGATGGATTTGACAACACAGTTGGCTTTGATCGGACAACGTGGCGGTCAACCCCCAAGAGTCGGTGCATACGTGCCGTGCTGTGGGTCCGTCCCACAGTCCAGTTGCCCGTCTCGGGTCTACCACCAGCTCAAGAAAACGGCAGTATATTCCAAGCTTCAGTAAAGTACTTTCTGGCGGGCTTACCCTGGTTAGCGTGGATCGCCACATAGTTCGATGTAGCGCGAAATACTCCGGAGTAAAGCCGGATGAAACCTGTAGGGCAGGTTGTTTCTTCGTTATCAGTTTGATCACATACTCTGGGGTCCTTACCTAAACTAGAAGAGAAGGGACCCACCACACTATGCCGTATGAAGGACTGATTTCACGAAATTTAGTAGATAGAAACGAGCTTCCGCCGGAAATGCACGACGCTCGGAACCGGACGTTTTGGTGGGGGTTGACTCTTCGGTACGTTCACGGTGTCCTTTGGTCAGCATATTACTCTACAGCACATTGATTATATTGTGAGTAAGCGATAGTAAAGACGATAGAACTCCCAATTTCTACGTAAGGAGCTTAAATTTTGTTGTATTCCTTTTGCCCTGTGGCAAAAGGTCTCGGTAACCATGAACAATCCGTCAATGGGGGACTTCCGCCGGAATCTGAACAACAGTGCGTTCTCAATGACAACATCAATGAATGTCTGAGCTACAGTGGGTACAGAACTCCACACGACAGATGGCACAATGTCTATCTGGACACTATTTAATGCGGGCATCCCGCGTTATATATGAGGTGTGTGCTTCGTCCTGTCTTCTCAAACCAGCTTGTCACATACTCAAACCACGAAAACAGACACAATGTCCGAAAGCCCCGTCGTCAATGGCCTTTTCCGCCATAATAACACTACTCCTCCCGTCCAGGACAGTGTTATGGCCCTCTTCTCACTCAAAGGGAAAACAGCAGTTGTGACCGGCGCAGCATCGGGAATCGGCTTGAGCGTTGCCCATGCACTCGCAGAAGCAGGCGCTAATGTTGCAATTTGGTATAACAGAAACAGCAAAGCCGTTGAGGAGGCCGCAAATATCGAGACCAAGTACGGCGTTAAGTGTATGTCGGATATTATCTTTCATTCCCAAATTGTGCGCCTCGTCCAGATGCATTGATTAATTATAAACCAGGCCGCGCATACCAAGTAAACATCCGCGAAAGCGAAAAGGTCGAGGAGCTGTTAAATACTTGTGTCCGCGAGTTCAACGGTCGCCTAGACATTTTCATCGCCAACTCCGGAATTCCATGGACTCAGGGTCCCATGGTCGATGCGCCGCTTGACCACTACAGAGACGTGACGCAAACAGATCTTGATGGAACATTCTATTGTGCCAGAGCCGCTGGCACTCATTGGAGAAGGCAAAAGACTGAGGGTACAGACATCTTCGGCAACCCCCTTGAACACTTCACATATGGTAGCTTCGTTGCGACTGCTTCCATGAGTGGCCACATTGTCAATATACCACAACTCCAGGCTGCATACAATGCGGCTAAGGCCGGAGTAATCCATTTGTGTATGTTGATACTATTTTTCTGAATAGAACCTCGTGTGTATGGTGCTAATAATGAACAGGCAAATCACTTGCGGTGGAATGGGTTCAATTTGCACGCGCCAACACAGTCTCGCCTGGGTACATCATTACTGATATCTCCACATTTGTGCCTGACGAGACAAAGAAGATTTGGAAAGATAAAATCCCAATGGGTCGGGAAGCTCTGCCGCATGAACTCAAAGGCGCCTATTTGTATCTGGCTTCGGATGCTTCGAGCTATACTACTGGGGCCGATCTTGTGGTAGATGGAGGTTATACTTTACCCTGAGGGATATCACCCGAATATAAATTCATGAAACTAATGAATACGTATACGTATTACCGATAACGACCACTTTGGGATAAACCGTACGTAAAAGTAGGACGTATAGGCAATTTTCAAGTGTCCCCAACGTAACTAGCCCTCATCATGATGGGGGTGGCCAGCCAGACCGCAGCATGCCTTGGTCGATTCCTCTGGTGCAATAAATCGCCTTGATAAACAAACAGAGAAGGAACAATCATAGCGCACAAGGAATCGCAACCTACAACAACCACATTTCGTAAGACCCCACCTTATAGCCTCTCCCAGATACTGAGGCCCATGGTGGTTTTTTGCTTTTTACCACATAAAGCCACTCCCTGGAAGCATTGTCGCTACTAAGAAAGCTCTCTGATACACAATGCATCTCATCACCAATTGTATGAATCATCGTTTTATGGTTGTGCCCCGTAGACTCGTGAGCCCGTGACAGCGACACAAGATATTAGCAGATGCCGCACGTACCTGTGCTAAATTTTGAGGATTGGATACATGCATGGTAGTTGTAAAATGTCTTCCAGAACACTTGACCCTGAGCCTATACAAATTCAGCAGTGATTACAAGACTAGCATTGGAGCCATGTCGATTCGGTATCAACCCTGCAGGAGTGACGAGTTTATTTGACAAGGCATAAAAAGGGCAGAACTGTGTATTTACTCTTCTGAGCGCGGTACCTGAGCGTGGTATTCCCTATACTTAATAATATACCTAATAAGTCAGCTGCGCATCCCTGTACTGCATATATAACGACAGCTTTTAGTACTACCCCAACAATTCGTGATTCCACTTGGGTAGCTTCAGGAGGTTAAAAGGATTGCATACTGGTACGTAATAATATTCCGGGCGTTCTAATATCAAGCTTTCAAGCATATCGACCACATTATATGAGAACCTGACCCTTGATATTTCGCAAGAGACCACCTACACTCACTCTGTATCCTATATTAGTCCAGAAGTTTAGTCTCTATCCAGCATTGCTGTTCAAGGTTTATCTTTTTAATTTGTTCCACGGCAATTTAGGCAATCCAGGTCCTTCTATGCAGGGTAAAAGGTCTGTCGATCGGACAAAGATACTTGGGCAACTCGTGTCAGGATGTGTTCACCTAGTATACCAATGATAGCCGAATCTAACTTGAACACAGATTCTTCTTTTTTCTCGTCACAAACAAGATCTTCTTTACCTGGGGATTGCCTACTCTCTGATACAGGGTTATTATCGACGATAGCGCTATTGGATTAGGCGGTTCGTTATTCCAGCTTTATTTGTTTTTCATAGGAATCTAGGCTAGATCTAAATATAATGAAGTTTTTCCTGTATCGGGGGTAGAGTTTGCCGTACAGCTTCTGCGCTTAAACACCTCTACTCGATCCCTGACGTCAATCAATCCAGGTAATTTGGATCCATGAAATGTATTGTGAAGGTTTAAGGCTTTTGCAGTGCATTATCAATGCAAAGCTTTGTATTGAAGGATTGAGCCCAAAATATTACCGAGGACTATAATATGCGTAGTTTGGATCTTCTCCAGCGACCGAGGGATTACGGCTTTGTAATATTTTACAGCACTTGAACTAGTTACACAAAGTACTAAGTTGTTTGGACTGGTCTAATCTAAATTGCTTGATACATTTAAACGCACCTCGTTGAGCTGGGTCTATTCGCCTTGTGGCACATTGTAGGGTAAACTGTTCTGGAGCAGTAAAATCGGCGACTCCGACACGTCAAAATCTGCCTTCCATTACTTAGTCAAGAATGTGGTTTACACGTCTTGGCAGAGTTCTAGACTAATTTTTCTCCAAAAGCCGAATTGAGGAAAAAATGGTTCTATTGTAATAGAAAAGGCTATAATCAATATCTGACGTAATACACCACAGAGTTTGGCTCGTCTTTACGTCAACCATTAAATGCAAGTGATAAAAGAGTCCAGCCCAACCACGCCATTGCTGTGTAGGCCCCAACATATCCCTTCAACATGCCTCGACCTAGAGGCAAATTTCCAATACCGTCCTTCCCGACTCAGGGAAAAGCACCCGACGTCCACTGCATGCTTTTAATAGGTCTGGATGAGGCCGCGGAGGGAACCCAAATACGGGCGGCTCTAAACCCGCCAATTAATGCTTCAGCCAAGAATGCCCAAGGAAGCGTTTCGGTATGGACAGCCGAACGTGCTGTAATCTTTCTTCGAAATGGTCAAATAAAGCGTTGTTACTTAACAAGGTCAGCAAGTGTCTTCGTCATCGAATGTAACGAGACATCAACCGCTGGTCAAGGTTTTTCGTCAGTATGAGATAACACCGCTTGGTAGGGATGTGTTCCAGACTTGGGTGGAGTCTATTTCCAGATGTCCTTATCCAGTCATATACGGGGAAAAGCGGGTACGTCGTATGAACACGGGGAGTAAGTGTGAATGCTTCACGCTCTGGACAGGCCAAAGGGTTCACTTCATCCGTTGATAGTTAACGTGGGATCGGGGAGGGACAAGTACTTGCTCGGGTTCTTGTGTCGGATTGGATAATGGCATAGTATCTTCTATTCTTCAAGTCAGGCCGCTAGCCTGGTTACCATGAATCATCAACTCACGTCAAGTCCAGAACCAATATTCGCAACCTACCCAGGCGCTGTTTTCACGCTAGTAGGAGAAATTAAGCTTATTATACCCACACTCTACGATCATCCCATAATAATTGCGTCTATATCGACGTGGCGCTTTTGCTCCGAGATAAAATAAACTATTTAAGAGCGTCCAAGCCCCGGTTATGACTCTATCGCACTCCACGGCTGGCCCATCTACCCCAAACACATCAACCCGACTTTTGAATTCGAACTCACGCTCACTATAATTGCAGGCACGATGGGATCGATCAAGATTACTGAGTAAGCAATGATTGGTGGTGGACACTAGGGCATACCCTGTGACTGACTGGTCACTAGCTTGAACACATATCACAACGTAGTCAGCGGAGCTAACTACGCGGTCTTCAACTTCCGTGACTATCGGCGTCGTCTGTCTGACACCGATGTCGCCTATGATGACTTTGCCTCCTATGCATATAGTGACACAGTGGCATTCTATGAAGTCGATGTGGGCGATGACCAGCATATTTCCGATTATGCAAAAGTGGAGCGCCCTACTCTAATCCTATATAAGGATGGGAAAGAAGTCGAGCGGTACTCAAAGCCTCTGCCTAGGCAGCTGGAGTACCTAGTGTCTAGGGCTTTATGTGGGCTGACTGAGATTGGGGGGCGTTTCTGAGAATGAGAAGGTGACGAACGGTGGGTCGTATTGATGCGCACCAAGGTTGAGGCTGTTGTTCAAATTGGGTATATTATACAGCGAGACTGACTGAGAATTGTCGTTCCTTCTTTGGTTGGATGAGAACATGCTGGCATATTTCTCGATCTCTGCTTGCTTTGCATAGCTTTACATGTCTACTTGGGTTGGCGTTTGGTTTCTTTGCGTGCATATAAGCAGACGTTGTTCTTTTTTACTTTTGTCGTCGATATCGATGACTGGCATTATAAACGTATGGCCAATTCGGAACAAGCCAATTAAAATTTCTACTATGACGATTACACACAATACTGGCACCAGTCACGAAAATATGGACAATTGAACTTCAAACCGCCAGGGTCCATCACCCGGTGTACCTAGCTCCTTGGTCGTAGCGCATAAGATGTAACTGGTAAAAGCCTCAATTGTCGAGGAAACCCGGATTGCACCTCTGACAAGATCAGATGCATTCCAGCTTCCTTGAATAATTTTCGTAATTTCGCATCTGTCCTTGTCACACTGCTCTCTGATTCGTCATAGATATCCCCCTCCGGCTCCTCAGAGATATTTTCTTTGATAATCATAATCCCGACATCTGTAAGCGCACCGCGACACCGTACCAAATACTCAACCAATTGCGCATCCGTCAGGTAAGGAACACTCCACTGCGCCCAGATAAGATCATACACCTTGGCCCCAGGGACCCAATCTTCAATACCCATAGTAAGCACCTCACCAAGCGCACAATTCCTCGTCAGCCGCCGCTCACTCAGAACCCGGGAAAACTTCTCCACCGGCTCAACCGCATCAACGACTTCGCACTCCTGGCCCAGAAAATCATTAATCACGCGTCCGATCCCAGCCCCGCAGTCCACACCGCGCTTGAGCTTCCCCGTCGCCGGACACACCGGCACTAATCGACGAGCCTTTGCGAGAAAGTTCCTGGATCCGCGCAGATCGGTCCGCGAGACCTGGGCGTAGCCGCCAAGCATGCCGTTCACTGTTGCGGGTTTGTCGCTCCAGTATTTGACGGCGATGGCTTGGTCGATTTGGGAGTCGGGGCGTGGCGCCGGCGCCTCACCATTGTCGGGCTGTAGCGGCTTTACTGGTTCTGTAGGCATGGTTGGGGAATGAAGGGTCGGATTTCGGTAGAGATGTTCGCGGCTGGAGTGATGTCGGCTGTATGTCCCGATTTCTTGCTGTGCGGCGCCGCGCTTAAGTAATCGCGCTGTTGTGATCCACCTGGCGCTTCTGGCGGTCATTTTGCCTGCATTGCCTGCAGCTGGTACTTCTGTGTCCTACTATCTGGGTATTACTGTTTAATTGTGCATGCAGTATTAGTCTACTGTATTCAGGACCGCATACAAAGGTTGAATAGGGTTGCATTTTCTGCTTGGTTGATGTCCAGTCAAGGCGAGCTGCTGTGGGGCGCGCCTTTCCGGCGGTGGTCATCAGCTTCATGGTTCGTGATCGTCGTCTCCGTGGTTTGGATATCTTGATCCACAATTCCATTTGTCTGGGTGTCCTGGAGACCTGGATTGTGGGCTACCTGGTGATAAAGTGCTCGTTTAAGTTTGTCAGATGACAAACTTTGAATACTGGCAGTCGTACGGCTGTGCGTTTTGGACTCTTAAATATATATCCCGACAATTGATTGACCAATATTCTCCCAATTCTGGACTCTCAGGAACCATCACATCACAGATAAAGCACGATACTGGTGGCAATAAACCTTCCCTGCAGCTGCAAAGCTAGTATGGGTCACAAAGGGTATAGGGCATAGGCCTGAAGGGACAAGGAAGTCTATCAACTACTTGCTTTTCTGGCCGTCGGAAATTAATGACCCCCCAAAAATTAACATATATTCATTCAGCCTCCGACAAGTCCACCTCGTTCTGCCCTGTACCATGATCAGACTCTTCAAACAAAGACCGTAATTCATCGTTTTCCCCCCCGTCTTCAGCATCACTAGCCACTTTAGGGAACTCGTCTATCACATCTTTAAACGCACAGAACAGCCGGTCATCGGATTCCTCATATACATAAAGCAAAGCAGACCACAAGTCAACATCGTCGACAACAGCCTGTTTCTCAGCGGGTGTCATCGCGGTGACCACCTCTAACATCGCGTTTTCGATACTCACATCCCAGCCGTACTTACTCCGATCTTGTTCATAGAAGTCATCCCTAGCCACATCCATCAGAACGTAGCACAGCTCACAGAGGACTGTAAGCCCGTTAGCCCGGGTTCTGGGGTGCGCGAACGCCCCACAGTGATCAGCGATGAGTTGAACCATGTTCGTGAAGTCATCGTTGCCACTGTCTGGCAAGCTGTTCCATGTCCGCAATAGTTGAACGCGACTCTCTGCCTCAGCCATTGCTGTTCTGGCAGCTTCGAGACAGCCCCTGAAGCAAATCACATCGCTCATTTCGCAGCGGTACATTCGAGCCTTGTCATCCATCCTTTCAGCTACCTTCGCCTCCACTAGCTTGTGCACTTCAATGTAATTGTCTCCTGCGGTTTGGAGAACCTCCATGAGTTGCGCACGAGTCATGCAGTCGAGACATGAAGCGAGATCGCGTACTTTGTATGTCGTTAGGGCGACTTGATGACTGTCATTCTCGCTCCGAAATTCGGTGGTTACTGAAGAATCAGTTGTGTCTTCGACTCCGTTCTGATACCAAGACATCGTGGGTGATCGTTGCCGTTTGGATTATTTGATAAAAGAGGGCACGGAGAGCCCAGCTTGAGATGAGATGTTCCCTTTTGGACGGGATGAACGTTGATAGGTATGGATAGTTCAAGGTTGTTTGTAAGATAGATGCTTGTTTGCATGAGGGCCATGCACACAGCGCCCAGGGTTTGGATGTATTTAAGGTAGCTATTGTACTGAAGAACGTTCGAAAGTCAGCATCACCCATCAAGGGATATGCCATCCTCTTTGTTCTCCTGGTGCTCGACTACTTGTCCGTTATCGTTGTCGTCAAAGGGAAGCAAAGACCTTATTCATGGTAAACAGGAACCAATGACTGCCATGAAGTTCCTCATTGTATCGGGTGAAAGCCCTTTAATTCCTTGATCATCTCGTGGAACGTGCTCATGAAGTCCGCTGCGAACCCACTTTCTGGACATATCCCCGTTGGCTTCTGAATAAGTTTCTTTGCAAGCCACCAGAGCTCCAGGGCATGCACCATAAACCCTGACTGCCTGATATCACCATGCTTGAGTGTTATATATGCTAGGTCCCACATTTGCTTCCATCGATCCAAGGCGACATCAGCGCAGGCAAGGGGTCCAGATAGATCGACACAGGTGCCCAATGCCTGCAAGTCGAACAGTACACAATGCAGACCTATGGCAATGAAGAGTCAGTGACACGCATAACGGGCAAGATTACAATGAAGCAACGTACTCCCGACAACTAAAAACAGACCAAATAACGTGCACGGCTTGGGGAGCAATTCCTCAAATCGCCCGTCTGTGTTCATCAGGCGCTGGATAACGGAATTCAAGGTCAGGGTCAGCCCGTGATTGGTCGTGTTTCGCGACGCATTTATCCATGCAGATGGTTCCATTGAGTCGTAAAGTTCCTCATCTTGTGGCAAGCCAAAGCAAGCTTCAGCAATTTTGAACTGAGGCGGGTTCCGATAGTAGACTACCAAATGTGAATCCATAAGGTATAGCCACGCCATGGCCCTGCGAAGCAATTAGTTCTAGATCTTGCCCTGCGTATTCTGTTGGACTAACCTCACAAGACTCTCTTTTTGAAAATACTTGTCCCATTCAGGAGACTCTGTGTTGGTGATAGCGTCATTGGTAACTTGTGTCAGTCTTAGTGCCCGTGCAGCGCAAACCAGAGCCGGAAACCGCTGAGTTCGAATCCGCCTTTTAATAGTTATATCATCTTTCCACCCTTGGATGACAAGTATCAGCATTGCTGCCTGGAGGATTTCCATATCCAGCTCCGTTAGGGACGGGTTGTCTGTATTCAACACCCGTCCGAATCCATGTCCATCGAAAATGAGATGCTCAGCTACATTGGAGTAAACCGCTGCGGTAGTTGCATCCTGCGGTGATATACATGTCGCACCCATCAGAACAATAGCCAATAGCAGCTGGGATGAGATAGTATGAACGTTGAACGATGCCTTATGAATGAAACGTGTGCTTTTGTAAGAGTGTTCAAAGAAGGCATTGACAAACAAAGTGACATTGCTTGGTGAGAAGAAGCGCCCAGCTTCTTCCATAACAACCTGCCCTCCGTTGTTGAACTGTGATTCATGGCTGTGCTTCAGCAGCCCTATAATTCTCGAGACCGTGTTGCTCAGCTCTTTGGTGTCAGCTAGCCCATACATAAGGTACTGATCTTGGTCGGACTTGTCAAATACGGATGTGTTAACAAAGAGTTGAAATAGCCCCATCCATTGCTCGGTTGAACCATCAAAATTGGGCATTTGGCATTCCCCAGAGAACGTGTACTCCCCTAGGCTTTTATCGCACCCGGCGAGCATCCGTTGAACGTCATACAGTGTCTTGCTTGCTGGATCGGTATAATTGAGTAGGAACTCAACTGGGATTTTATTGATGCTCGCGTCCTCTGTTCTTTTCTGTCCATCTTGTCTGCCCCTAGGTTTCCGGTCATGCTCTCCTAGGTGGCTAAGTGAGCAGTTCAATCCCCTATGAAGGCATGTCTCACATGGAAGCTCTCCATCGCACTGGGTACGGCTCTCGACACAACCATCGCAAGCTTTCCGCTTCCTGCCGCGCTTCCCTTCAGCTGGAGTTGCCCTGCTGCCCCTCTGCTTGCAGGATAGATAGTGACGACGAAGAACGTCCCTGTGGATGCTATCGTCAGGCCGTTGCTGTAAGGTATTACAATATAGGCACACGTACCGTCGCACAAAGATTTGTTCGCAGAACTGGCAAACGAAATGCTCTCTCGATACATCTAGAAACCTCGTTAGATACACATTGAGCCATATGCTCGTAATCGAGACTTACGCTTTGCTTGGTGCCGTCGCAGGTGACTGCTTGTCGAATATACCTGGTGGCAAATGCCGCATTCATAACGCTGGCCGGAAACCGGCATCATTCGGGTTTCGCGATTGGCTACTTACGTCAATGTTCGTGCTGTCTTGTTCTCTTGGATACCCCTTTATGCACTGTCTTCCATTCGTGATGTCTAGAGTTCGCCCTCAAATTGTTCCATTTGAATATGATATTGTCTCGCAGGTAAAGGATGCCATATAAAATTATCGGGCAACAGAGATGTGCGCTTTGTCATCACAGTCCCGAGACCCATTGACCGTATAGGGTAAGGGTTGCGACCATACTACCTCTTCGCTTATGATCTATATGTTTGTAGGACTTATTTTATAATGCAGATCGACTTCTCAGGCATGGTTCAGGGGCCATGGAATCCACACAGTGTGCAGTATGGGTCATGCAATACCCAGTTTCCGCCGTGGCAATAGTTAGTCGGGAAAATCCCACATAGTAGGGGAAAACCCACTTGGCAAGAAAATAATATACTCCTTGAAACCATATCCCTTTCGTTATGTCTGTTTCCAATTTGTTTCTAGGTATTCTTTCTGGCTTTTTAGTCCGGACTGTGCCTGCTCATCCCTTTTAGTTTCCACCCATTATCGCGAGAAAAGCCCTATATCCAAGGTCTCAAACATGAACACTCTAAAGCTCACACGGAGTAAGTGCGATGCAGATATGCAATCCATGCTCTCCTTACAATCACCGTCGACAGAAACTGACATGTAAAAGGTGTCTTCTGCACCATGCAAAGGCCATCATCACTCCCATCATCGGTTACCACGACAGTCCTCTGCAAACGTCGACACAACACCTCAATCCGACCGAAAGTCAACGAAGCGCATATGGCCCTTGCAAAAGCCTTCCCTAAATCAAAGTCGATCATGAAGACCAAAGAAGCCTACTCCAACAAAGCCGAACACGTTCTGTAAGATCGCCGACCAACAGCCATCACCTCAAGGAAGCTCCTAACACACAACCGGATAGGACAACCATCGACCAACTCGTAAACTGGGCCCGCCAAAGCTCCCTATGGCCACTAAGTTTCGGTCTCGCCTGCTGTGCCGTAGAGATGATGCAAGTTTCGATGCCCCGTTACGACCAAGATCGCCTGGGAATCATCTTCCGCGCCTCGCCGCGACAATCCGACGTGATGGTCGTGGCTGGCACGGTCACCAATAAGATGGGTCCCGCGCTGAGACAATGCTATGATCAGATGCCGGACCCAAAATGGGTGATCAGTATGGGCAGTTGCGCTAATGGTGGTGGCTACTATCATTACAGTTATAGTGTTGTTAGGGGTGTAGATCGGATTGTTCCCGTGGATGTGTATATTCCGGGCTGTCCGCCAACACCGGAGGCATTTTTGTATGGTATTTTCCAGTTACAGAAGAAGATGAGGCACACTAAGGTTACCAGGATGTGGTATCGGCGGTAGAATGGTGTGCTTTCAGGTTGTCCTCTGCAACAGCCCCCCCAATGACCGAGTCTAGCTGTATGTGCGTACGCCTCAATTAGGTAATTATTAGTTGAGCTTGAGACTATTCTCCATATATAGAACGCTATCATGATGTCGACTGTAATCAGCACTTGATATTCCTTTTTGTCTTTTGATGGCCTATTTCCAGATTCTAAAGTCTTGTCCCTTTGCCCTCTGATCTTCAGTTTCAATATCCTTGTTTCCCTCTTCATTCGTGATCTGTTATTTATCATTCCACCTATGCTTCTTTATTAAATGCTACCTGCATATCATGCCCCTGAAAGCAGCAAAAACCAACACGAAACCCGCCAATGCGACACACACAATGACAGCAGTGCAACATGAATGCGAATACATGCGACATGCCATTAGATATGACCCCAAGCGAGACTCAATCATCATTGCCATTGCCGCGGAAGAGATACGTACTTATTTAGCCAAGAAATACCGACGTCGGTGGTGGCATGTGGGATGTGAGTAGCACACTATCCGCCACCGTCAGATCAACATTTATATCTAACCTTGATCAGCCCTGAAAGTCATCCCAGTGACCCCTACCAATGCTCCAGTGGCAATACGCCAGGCCTGCAAATTGGCCGGAAGTCGGAAGAGGCTTCGGGTCCTTGTGAGCTCACATATCTCCTACCTGGCATATTATAAACCATCTACGATCCCCGGTATCGTCTCCCCCTTGTTAGCCAGCAGACACAGAGATGAGGATGGGAGCGTTCGAAGTGAGAACATAACTAGTGTCAGGTGGTCCACTTATAATTACTCCGACCCAATGTCCAATTTGAACGGCGCGGCAGAACCCATTTTTGATCCTTTGGTTGAGGTTTGGAATGCCGCTAGTTACGAAAATTGATATTAGTGATAGGAGTAGAGAGGGAGGCCCTCTTTCAGTTCCTGGTATTGTTACAGCAAATATAGATTTTGTTGTTGATGTAAGGGCCAGGATCAGAGCGCCTACATGATGTATCAGGCTTGAGCTACTCTTCCCGGTTATCTCACCTCTTTTGGTAGATGAGCTGGTGTTGCAGCCATCTACTCCATGTCTTCCGTTCACATCTGGACCTCGTTCAAGTGGTCTTTGGGCGGTTTTGTCATTCCATCAAACGTTTCGATTTGGTTGCGCCGAAGGCCGCTCGGCCTTAGCAGATGTGTGGAAGGCTTCTCTCACACTTATTGCCCTATGGAATTTGCAACGTTGAGTCTGATCAGAACGCCTTTGTGATTTCTAGTAGTCTAGTCTATATGTAGGCCATTATATCCTCTCCCTCTCCATTAACCAAACGCGTATCCCATACACCAAACCGACAAGCTCTTAGGATTGTCAGCGATAGTCGGGTGTCATAATTCCTATTAATCATTCCATTTCCGCACCCCGTCCAAGATCCAATATACTATATGAAACATCCGGATTCCCAATCTGATCCACAATATACAGAAAGTCCGACGACGAAATGCCAATATTATTAAGCAACTCCACACTCGACATCTGCATATCAGCCGGGTGTGCAGTAAGAGAGTCACCAGGGATGGGCAGATCCCAAACCCCAATGTCAGTAACCGTCTCTCCCTCTCCATCCTCTTCCACTCCCTGGGCTTGAGACACCGCCTCCGCACCTGCCGGACTCACGAGCGTCAGAGGCTGGAGTCCCTGGGCCTTTACTCTTGTGGCAAGCTCCTCAAAAAGCATTTCGAGGTGCACGAGCTCTGCCTTCCGTACCTCGGCTACTTTGTTTCCGTTGGAGATCATTTCGTCCAGGATCCAGTGCGCTTCTTCGAGATAGGCTTGTCCGTCTAGGGCTTGTGGGAAGACTGCGTTTGCCATTGCGAGGTGGAGGGCGGCCGCGTAGGTGAATTCGAGGTCGTAGGGGAGGAATATTTCTGTGGCAGATGGTTAGTTGGGTGTGATTCCTCTGAGGGTATAAAGATGTAGGAATCTAGGCGACTTACCGAGAAGGTTATCGTCGTTGGATAGTATTTGCAGCATTTTGATCGCGGACTTGATCCCGATGGATATCAGGGTTTTTGTGAGAGCCAGAAAAGATTGCCAGTATTCTCTCTCGTGATCGAGGTTTTCTAATCGTTCGATGAGGGCCGACAGGAGGAGTGGCCGGGTGGCGACGATAACGCACTACGTGAAGTTAGTTAAGACGGCGAGATCATAGGACTCTGCCTCTGTTCTGGTCATACCTGGTGGTATAGCAATGTGATGTGTCGCGTCCCTTTGGGCCTTGTATCGACGGAATTCGAGAACCGGACGTGGATGATTTTCTCCACTTCTTGGGCGTGTCCCGCTAATGTATGTAATGTGGACCTGGTCATCTCCAGGAATGATCCAACTTGAGTTTTCTCGGTTTTGTACACGGCTATGGTCGGATATTGTTAGACAGAGATAGAATATGGAGGTTAGGGGAAGCCTACTGTTAAGGATGTTTGAAAGTAAGTGTGACAATTTGGCCTGCAGGCTCATGACAATATCTCGATGAGAACATGTGCTCGGAGGATCGATTGGCGTACTGATATCGCTGTCCTGTGTCATCATGGGCAGCCCCACGGAGTATGAAAAATGGCGGTCCAGGATGTACAAGGTCCACCACAGGTCGCGACATCGGGATACGGTGTCGGCGCCGAGTTGCTCCTCCGGCAGGTGGGTGTGTAGGCCTTCGAATTGTGCGATTTGTATCGCCTGGCGAACCTATGTACAGCAAACGTGAGAAAGAACGCACTCCGTTAGACGAAGCGTAGAGCTTACGTATATATGTGCCGACTCTCTTTGGTCGATAGAGTATAAATACAGTCCAGCCATGGCTAAGACTTCAATGGCAAGTAGGCTTCCTTTCCATAGAGGGGCGTGGTCCGGCATCAGGGACATCGCACGGGTGAAAAACTTCGAACCGGGAGGTTCCTTCGCCCTCTTTGACCTGTGGAGAAAGGCAGTTCCAAATGCCAACACCAACAGAAACTGTATAAACCATAGTCGATGCTCGGTAGCCATTTTGGCAGAGTCCCCATAGTAGAATTCTCGCACGTTGTGGATAAATTCATCTTCATTGTACAAGCGGTAACTATGCCCCAGGTGGAATTTGACTGTCTCGGAAAGATAGAGCGCGTGGTCAAGGGATGGCAGGCCACTGATGTCGGGGGGTTCGTCGGCTGGACAGGCCTCCCATCGAATTGGATAGCTCTCCTTTTCTGATGTAGGGGGATTGTTTGTGTTTCTGATCTGCAGTTTCTCTGTCATCATGATGGTTAAACGAGTCGTGAATGACCACATTGAAGATGGAGCTAGCCAAACTACTCCTGTTGTTAGCTTTGAATGGGAGAGACCTAGTTTGAGCGCTTACTCCAAGTGCGTTTGTTTTGCTGATTATTCCGGATGGTCGTTGAAGGTAGGGTAAAAGGACTCGTCCAGATACTCTGCGCATAACCGAAGCCTTGTAGTTGCAACGGCTCCTCCGTGGAATCAGAAAGTACCCCTGCGGAATCCACTGTGCTTGTGTCTTTCGACCTGGTCTGCGACTCCAGTGGCGATTCTGGAGGGCTTCTGACTCCAGCAAGTTGCCGATGTTCCTCAACCTCTTTCTCTAACTGTCGAAGATATCTATCCTATTCGTGTCATCAGTCGAATTCCTCCGAGATTCACGAGAGACTGACCTCTCAGAAACCACCACCCGATTGACTCCCTCCACAAACTCACACCTCAGTGAGCGCCTCTGGCAATTGGCACATGGCGCATCGCCGGTACATTTGATTTTACTATGACGGCAGGCAATGCATCTGTGAAACAGGTAAGTCTCCATGCAATCCAAACTGCGTAACTTGTCAGGGGTATGCTTACGCATTTGCCGTTCGTCTTGTCTTCCGCGGCCCATAGCTGGAACCGTTTTCCATCTTTTCGACAGCCGCGATAGGCGATGAGGATAGGAAAATGTAATTCTGAGGATCAGGACTTTTCATATATGCCGTGTAGGTACCCCGCACTTGGAAATAACTTCCTATCTCCAGTGGATCATGAGGCCAGTTCCATGTGGAGAGACAGCCCTATCCCAACTTCCGATTGACAGCATTTCCCTGGTTCTCGTGTTTTCTGCCTCTTGCAGGATAGTTTTACCATGAAAGGTAAGCTTCAATTTCCCACTATGTAGTTTATGCTCCCTTCTGATTCGTCTCCCGCACCTCCTCGGGAGACCCATCCGATGGCGCGGCAAATCTCTCGGCTTTCTCGGCTTCGTTATTCTTACCATGTTGCTATGTAGTTGTACTACGGAACTTAGATATCAAGATGGAATCTGAAAGCCTGTTTAATTGAACTTATTTTCTATTTTTACGCAGAGGTTGGGACACAGACTACTATTTTTGTGTTTACATTGTTAATATATAAATCGGACGGTGCTAGGCTAGAAACAACGATACATTTTCTCTCCATATAAAAACAAATCCCAGCAAGAAACAACGACTAGCATAATCCTATGTGTGGAAGCCTACTCGATCAGTTCCGCGATCGTAGCGTCCAAGAATTCCCTCTGTTGGATCAAAAAGGTCTTCATGTCCGAAACGTTGAACAGGCGCTGACCTAGTTGCTGTTGCCGTTCGTTCTCCAACGTAGCCCGAATTCGCTCCTCGAGGACCTTCAGTCTGTATTCAGACCACTCCCTGTAAAGCTCTAAGACGTTACTGATAGGCCGAACTCCAGTAAGGACAGTCTCGTCTCGAACATGTGGAGACTTCGCGCGGAACGAGGTAATCATGCTAATCCGTTCACGGCCTCCAAATGCCTTCAGTGCTTGATGCTCAATATATCTACCTTGCATGACAACAGCGGTTCCCTATGCAGTAGTCAGTACCTGAAGCCTTTTTCTCGAAGTATCTAGGCAGCTTACCATTGCAGGCCCGCGAACTTTCATAATTTCGCCACTCGCCGTCTTTAGTGCAGTCTCTCCTCCAACCATGCCCGTGCAATCAGAGAGCATCGTAACGCAGACGAATGGGTAACTGTCCCGGTGCCATGCGAAGGCAGGCAAATCGTCATCCTCTGCTTTCATGACGGTTGTGGTCTGATCATTCACGGAAATGTTGATAGCGGCAATCTCATAGTTCATGGAAGGGATAAGCTCAATGCCAGCCACCTCCGAGATCTTCGCAAGAACTTCGGGAGAGCGCCAGGCATCACAGATAAATGGTGCGCGCCTGTTATCAGTAGTCAGTAGATACCAGGACTCTATCCAAATTTAGTCCAACTCACGCTGGTCCCATGCCCCGAATAGTGTTTTTCACAAAGGCTGATGTGTATTGGCATTCGTCCAATACCGGCTTGCTGAATATCTCAGCTCTCATCTGCTGGATGGCTTCCTCCGTGAAAAGCTGGAATGGCGCCGTGACTGCGTTTGGGGAGATGCCTTGGCCTTCAAGGCCAATCTCCTTCATGGTGTAGATCTTTGAAGGAGGCTGGTAGTTCATGTGCCGTTCGGGGTCGAAGGATTGCTTTTCCTCGACTTGTGCCTCATCGATGAGGAACTGTGGCAGTTTGTTGGTTGGACGTGCTCCTGTTAGTCTCACAGGGCCAACCACTGTGTGGGCGATCGTGGGCGCAACTGTTGTGGTGGACATGTTTCTTGTGCGAGTAGTTACTTGGCTCTAAAGATATTGATGATGATGTATGCTTGCGGGGAACTTGTGGACGATGGTGTGGAAATGAGGTCGTTTATATAACTCAATATGAGCTTGACGACCAGTTGGAGATGCAATGCTGAGAACATCCATGTGACCATGGTACTATCAACCCAGTTCGGATCATACTCCCGATTCGTCGTTTGTAATATCCTAGGGAAAGGTAACACTATCTGATGGCCCTAAACCATGAAGGCCATATCTCGGCTTGGTCGGATTGGCGTGCCATCTCGGATTCCTCGGGTGTTCGGCTGAGGTTGGCGATGCCTATCATTTCTAGGAACCTTGGACTAGTTTAGACTCCATTAGGTCCGAATATAGCGACAGGACACGCGGATTTGAGATGTGTTATCCCTATCTTGCATATTGATTACACGTGATCCTGCGGACAAGGATATTAAAGGAAGATAAGGTGATATATATTGACGCTACGGATGCCACGGTGCTAAGTGATCAGTACATGAGTTTGAGAGGGTACATAACTAGATCAGCATTGTGCCGGCGAGATTTCGAACTATTCTTTTTACCAGGCTAGCGAAGCCCGAGGATTGTTCTTGAAAGTTTGATAGAATGTACCGGGGCCGCCATGGAGAAAGCAATGCGGGGTTTATGGAGCTGGCAGTAGTCCTCTGGATGTCCATAGAGATTTCAAGCATTATAAATGCCACAATCTGTCGTGATACGCTTCTTCCTCTTCAAACTGTATCTTTCTTCCTTCCAATCCCCTTTTACTATAAGCATGGGCACAAAGGAAGCCCCCATGAGTGATGACATCGAGGATGTCAGCCATGGTATGAATGACTTTGACGCCCACAATATCTAGAAGCCAAGAGAGGTCGTCACTGGCAATGATCAACTGCAACGACGTCTCAAAAACCGGCAAATTCAGATCATGGGAGTCGGCGGTGCTATCGGTACCACTCTTCATTAGCATTGGTGGTGGCCTGGCGAAAAGTGGTCCACTCAGCTTGCTTCTCGGCTACTCAATATACTGCCTTATACTTGCTTGTGTTAATAATTGCCTGGCCGGAATGACTGTGTTATATCCTGTTCCAGGTGGGTTTATCCGCTTGGTCGGTAAATGGGTCGATGATGCCTTTGGTTTCATGGCTGGGTGGAATTTCTTCCTTTTTGAAGCCCTCTTAAATCCATTCGAAATTATTGCAATTCATATGATGCTGTCATTCTGGAGAGATGATATCCCAACAGGTGCCGTGTGCGGTGCATGCATTGCCGCTTATGCGTAAGATTAGCTCAACACGCTCTGCCTTCCTCATTTTTATATACAAAGCATTAAACTGAGCATCTGTCTAGTATATTAAGCATCTTTGCTGTGAAAGTATATGGTGAAGCTGAATTCTGGGGGTCCAGCGATAAAATTACATTGCTTATAATGTTGTTCCTTTTCACATTTATCACCATGGTGGGCGGCAATCCTCAGCATGACGCTTTTGGATTTCGAACCTGGCGTAACCCAGGCCCCATAGCCGAGTATCTTCACACCGGAAGGCTAGGCCGCTTCGAAGGAGTACTTGTTGCGCTATGGACGGCCAGCTTTACTATCATGGGCCCAGAATTCATAAACCTCCTAGCCGCTGAAGCCAAACGACCGCGAATCTACCTCAAGAACGCTTTCAAAATTCTATACTACCGGCTTTTCTTCGTCTACATACTGGCTGCTATCAGTGCCGGAATCCTCGTTGCTTACAACGACCCCACCCTCGTGTCTGTGTTCTTGACAAATGGAGGAGGCAGTACTGAAGCAGCATCCCCATTCATCCTCGCAATGGAGAATATGATGGTTGCGGGCTTTCCCCATTTAATCAACGCTGTCCTCATAACCACCATCTTCTCTGCTGGTAACACGTACATGTACTGTGCGAGTCGAAGTTTATATGGCCTCTCCTTGGATGGTCGGGCGCCCCGATTCCTGAAGAAATGCAAGAACAACGGCGTCCCGATCTACTGATGTGCTTCCCGTTGCTGTCGCTTCTTTCGCTTGGCAATGGATCTTCGCAAGCCCTGACATGGCTCACCAATATCATCACCGCCGGAGTTATCATCGACTACATCGCGATCTGTGTTACATACATCTTCTTCTATCGCGCCTGTCAAGCACAGTCCGTCGATCGCAAGACCTTCCCCTACTTCGGACGCTTCCAGCCGTACAGTGCATGGATTGGATTGGTCCGGGAATGTCTGATCATTATCTTCTACGGGTACTCCAGCTTCATTCCTTGGGACGTCTCGAACTTTTTTACCCACTACACTATGCTCTTTCTGGCGCCGGTGCTTTACTTCTCGTGGAAGATCTTCTGGCGTACTAAGGTGGTTAGGCCCAAGGAGCGGACTTGGTCTGGGAGAGGCCAATGATTGATGCGTACGAGGCGGGCCTGACATGTCCACCGAAGGGATTTTGGATAGAAATACTTGAGACGGTCGGGTGGAGGCGAGGTTGCAAGGATTAGCAGATCGCAGACAGTTGTTGATTAATGATAAACGGTTGGTGCTATATGGAAGACGAAAGGGAAAATATTATAGACATAGATGAACTGGGCATGTATGCAAACTGTCTCATTGATTTCTCGATATTTGTTCTCGTTGGTTAGACTTTACCGCTCTCGATAGATATTTCGTTTCTATATTTATTTGCCCTTGTTTAACGCAAGGAAGACATTGTATTTCTTATTCTGACCAAAACCTGATCAAAGGATATTCTTTTCGAGTCCTGATACCAACGCAGCAAAACTGGCCAAGACACACTTCACACCAGCCTGTTACAATGGAATAGTGGCTGCCAATGAGCCAAATCTCGTCCATGATAGAAGGCCATGGACCGTAGAGCAATATAGTGACCATTTGGGATCGGCTGGGGATAGACTAAGACGTAGGCTCTCCAAAAGCCGTCAAACCCCTCGCAATATCTCGACTTTTGCCTTCTCCCTCGAAGTCTGCCATTACAAAATTTAGATTATTATCCACAGCTACGGTAATCATGGAGCAACGCAGACTGGGCCTCAACCAATGTATCAAGGTCCCGTTTAGGCAGAATGCTAATCGATGAATATGGAAGGGTTGAGATAGATTACAACATTCAGAAAAGACAGTCAATGGACGGCATGCCGCATACCTCATGTATGGTTAACACGCTGGGAAAAGTTGCACCTACGGATAAGAGGTCAAGTCTATATGACACGGCTTGGAATGCATAATGAGACTAGGCCAGTATGATTATGATGGGCCATTGGATCCATAAGACAGTACAAGGGAACCTTACTTGATAGGGAAAATCTATCCCAGGGCCGAAGAAATTCGTAAAGAGAAGCAGGCTAGTTTTCATGAATCGTAGAATCTGGCAGGTGGAGCCTGTGGCTATGGGACCTTCGCAAGGTACAATTGATCCTGTCATATACCTAGTACATAACTGGTCTATAGAGGACAGTGGGGCATAAAATGTATGGGAATAGAATCCCCATGGGGAACCCGAAATTCCCGAGCGGCTTTGGATGGCCGACGTCGGGATCGACGGGACGGCGAACAATGATAACATAGATCCACTATCGAGGACCGACAATGCCGAACGTCTACATATCTACACTTATTAGGGAAAATAGAGGGTCTATTCAGCTTTTGTCATTTGGTCGGTGCATTGTGCCGACAATGGATATTCGATGTAGGAAACAAAATAAGAGCGCCTTCCGCTATCTTCCCCTGCAAAGTTTTACCAGTAATAAAAGTTGTGTCGATTTGCTACCTTCCTCCTTATTTAATCCCATCCTTTCTACCATTGTTTACCACATCAACTCAATAACAGAACAATGCAAGCAGCTAATCGCCTTCAAAAATCCCTCACGAAGGGCGAGCCCTCCTTCGGAGGCTGGCAAATGCTCCCCGGAACCAACCTGACCAGAACCATATGCAGGTCAGCCAGAAACGTTGAATGGCTTCTCGTTGACCTCGAACACGGCAATATCTCTGACGACTCAATGCATGAGATTGTGGCAGCTTCTGCAGCATGTGGAGTGTCGCCCATCGTCCGTGTCGCAGAAGGCCAGCCTTGGATGATAAAACGGGCCTTGGACTCTGGCGCCCACGGCATCCTTGTGCCAGTCATCGATACAGCGGAGGATGCGAGAAATGTGGTGCGATATTCGAAATTTCCTCCGGTTGGAAATCGCGGCTTTGAGAGTCTCCTCGCGGTGGAGAAGTTCGTGGAGCAACATCCCCACGGCAGTGAGGTGAAAGAGTTGACGGGTATGGAATATTTGCAGCAAGCCAACAGCTCGCTCGTCATTGCGGTGCAGATCGAAACAAAAGCTGCCCTTGCAAATGTCAGGGAAATTGCCGCCGTGCCTGGTGTTGATGTTCTATTTATTGGCCCCTTTGACCTCAGCGTCAACATTGGTCACCCCATCACCAACCCCGAGCGAATGGACCCTGAGCTTGTGGAGGCTATTCAGGAAATTCATGATGCTGCCCAGGCCGCTGGAAAGGCTACTGGAATTTACTGTGATACCGGCGAGCAAGCGAGGGAATACGCCAACAAGGGATTCCAGATGATGAGCACAATGACGGATATGGTGGGGATGAGGAAGGTGTTTAAGCAGGCGTTTGATGCTGCCAATGGTGACTTATAGAATTCTGTAATTAATCAATTCATGGCATTAAGGTTACCACAGAGTGGGCCAACCTAGCTATTAACCTAACTGTTAGATTTTTTTAAGGAATACAAGTCTTTATAACTAACCTTCACTTGGATTAGATTAGATTAAATAGAATGGTGCAGTGTGGGTCCAAAAAGTAAGTGACCCTCCTACACTTAAAGGTACCGAGTAGCTCTATCTGCCTGGTATGCGCTGGTAGGTACTTTTAAGTACAGGAGCTCACTTACTTTTTGGACCCCCACCGTACGAGTTTCCCGCTAATTTTCGAGTGCGGGTTCTTGCGTCAAAAGTCTAAGAAGCTGTAAAATACAAAAAGATAATACAAAGAAGAGATAGAATATAGAATAGTGAAATATCCCTATATAGTAAGATCGCATAAGATATAAGAGAAAGCAAACGATATAGAAAAAAAAGGCAACTACTGATATATGATATTTAATTCTCTCCTTGCAGGCCGTGCCCCTCCTTGGCGCCCTGGTGTTTCAAGAAGATCACCCATACTTCCTTCATGAGGAATATACTTCATAATGATGAAAGGACCTAGTTCCGAGGGGCTCTCTTTTGTTACTGCCCAGTAAAAGACAAAAGGCACCGGGATTGGGATTCTATCCGAAGTCATGTCTGAGAGAAATCGCATCATAGAAACCTCATTGCGGGTTTTCTCTTCGGAAAACATGATAGTACCGGGCAGTGGAAATCGTATAATCGCGCCGCTATTGTGGCTAAACGTCATCTTAAAGCAGGTATTGAAACCGCCCGTGCAGAGGAAATCAAACTGTGTACATTCAAGGTGACTAAATCTTTCAGAAAGAATGGCTCCAATATCATTGTAGATGTCCCCGTCAGTGCGAAGAAGCTTTGGCCAGTCTTCCCAGATCTGGGAGCTTATTGCCCAGGCATAATCGTCGTAGGGCTTACAAGCGCTCATCTCGGCAAGGCTGAATCAAGAGACGCTTTTGGAAATTCCAGAGTTGCCTAGTAATTTTGTTATATGCAATCAATTGCCGATAACAGACCCGACCCTGCAAGCGACATGCTCACATGCCCATAGTGAACAAAAGTACAATAGAGAAATGACTAAGATGAGTCCATACAAATCCCAAGTGGGCGCTGTGCAGATCACGTGCAGCCGTCGAGGGCTGTTTGGTTGGAATATAGATGCATGCCGACCGAATTGCCGTCTGGGTATCTTCGGCTGTAACCCTATCATGACCCAAGAACAAAAGACCACCGGGAGTAATCAGCACACCGTAGGACACAACAAATCCCAGACAACGGTCATAGTAGAGTAACAAACACGATGGATCCCACATCCAACCAGCAGCGCGCGGTTGTCGTGCAGAACCCAGGAAATAATTATGAAATGATCATCCGCGACGACATTCCCATCCGCAAACCCGGACCAGATGAGATCCTAGTCAAGTTGACATGTACAGGACTCTGGTAAGAGTCCCCTGCCCTCTATCCATCATCCAAACTGGAAGTCCAAACATATTGACTGTTAACAGTCATTCTGAAATCCGCGCCGTCCTAGCCTGGGGCGCCTACAACCGTATCATCGGCCATGAAGGCGTTGGAACCGTAATCCAAGCCGGCCCCAACGTCTCCCCCTCGCTCCTGCACCAACGCGTCGGGGTAAAATGGCTGTATAGCGCCTGTACCACTTGCTCTGCCTGCCAACGCGGTTTTAATCACTACTGCGCACAGCAGAAGAATACCAGTCGTCACGTGCCTGGCACGTTACAGCAGTACATCATCGCGGACGCAAGATTCATTACGCGTATCCCGGAGACAGTGTCAGATGAGATTGCCGCGCCCTTGCTTTGTGCTGGTCTTACTATGGCTGGTGCGGTGGGTAGATTGAATGACTATCGTCTTAGTTCCGGTGATTGGGTGGTGATTTCGGGGTCAGGCGGCGGATTAGGGCATTTAGGGGTTCAGATTGCGGCTCGGACGAAGGGTTTCCGCGTCATCGCGGTTGATAGTGGGGAAGAAAAGAGAAAGGTAAGCATGGAGTCTGGTGCCGAGGTGTTTGTCGATTACCGGACGGAAGATGTTGCGGCGAGGATCCGGGAGGTGACGGGGGGAGAAGGGCACATGCGACAATTGTGGTACCTGGGACGAGGGAGGCATTTGAGATGGCGCCGCAGCTTGTCAGGAATATGGGTTTGATTGTCGGTGTGGGATTACCGCCGAATGAGATGCAGTGGCCTATTTCTGCAACCGTGTCCGCGGCCAGAGGTGAGTTATAATCATCGTACCGCTTGAGGTCTAAGTCTGATCTCGATAGGTCTTTGTATCGTGGGGTCTTCAGTCGGCACGGAAGAGCAGATGGATGAGCTTCTTCAACAGGCAGGGAGGGGAGAGATTACGCCTTCAATAGAGGTGTTCGACTTTGTGGACACGCCGCGCCTTGTGGATGGACTGAGAAATGATGCTATTAGTGGTAGAGCAGTGGTGAGAATACCGCAATAATCGTTGTGCATATTATTGCGGGTAAGTATGAGCTAGAACAGACGCAAGAAGCTGATATATTAATGATGGCCCTCCCCGCTCTATCCCTCAACCAACTCGTAGACCATGAGGCAAGGGAGGGTCCTCATTGATATTGAGCTTGGTACTCGTTTCCTCACGCTGCATTGAATGCTACACTATTCTCCTGGGAATGGTCAATCTGTACAGACGAAAAGCTCCTTGGAGGCGACTGGGTGAGGTCGATAGAGATGAATAGGAAGAGAGTCAAAGCAACGATTCAAATGGCAGGTGGAAAATGAAGATCAGGCCATCGTATGAGAACACAACTGGCCTCCATACAAAACCTTTGGGCCATACCACACCACATGAACTGATTGATTTATATAAAAGTTTGCATACATGCCAACACAAGCTACACACATCTCCAGAAGCCAGAACCACCTATTTGGTTGAAGCTTTAAAGAAAAGCCATTTCCGACCCTTTGGCTGGCTGACGAGGTCACCTACTCGTAGTGTTCCTCTATATTTCACCAATAATGCCTCTCGATGGTATTTGCGGAACTTTTTTGTTCCATCCTTTCCTGCGACGGCTTGCAGGACTGGTGTTGTTAGAACTGGAAAGGCATCATGTTAAAACGATGGACGTACTTTTTGCTCCGCCTGGATGCTCTTTCTGAAAGGTGGTCAAGTCGTATATCTCATTATTAATGATAGTCCAGAGATTATCAGAAGTATTATGTTTTGAGACGTCTTCTGGGGTAAAGAGTTGGCTTGCATTGGTGAAGTCCGAAGTTTGAGCCATTGTTGCTGGTTGATAGGCGATAGCAACTATACTGTGCTTCCATGTAGTGTATATACTAGCGAGCGGGGCGGTCTTAAGGTTTCTTGACCTCGGTCCACACATGTACTACGGCATGTAGATCGTCGAGGTATCTTGCTTAAGTATAAAAAATCCATAATTAGTCTCCAAGGATATTTGACAAATTTGCAACATTGCCGAGCAAGCCCCCCGCACTGCCCATGGCCCCATTTAACCCATCCAACAAGCCAGAGTTCCTCAGTCCAGCCAACGTATCACTCAGGATTGTCATGATTGGTACTCGCGCTGTGATTGTGAGATTATTCAGTACTTCTTCGAAATACGGAATATGCTTCCCATTGTAAACTGTGGAATTTCCCGACGCCGATATTTCCAATTTACCATCCATTAATGCTGACGCCTGAGCTCCCACAATATCTATTAGGTTCTCCAGTACTGTTCTGATATTGAGTGTTGCTCGTAAAGGCATTGTGTTGTTGCCTGGTTTCAAAACGACATTCTCAAGGTAGCCTTGCCCGATTATAATGTCCGCTGTTTTGAGGTTGAGAGTGACGTTGCCCTATCGAATTAGTATATCCCAGAATATTCGTTTCATGAGCTGACTCACCAAAGCAAATGTGACAACAGAGTGGTTGGGCAGTGTTGCGGTTCCTCTGAGGTTAGTCCCATCTTCTTCGGCTGGTAGAATAAGACGGGCTGCGTCGATGGAAAAGCCACTGAGTTTGTCAAGCCCTGAATGGATGATCAGAGGTATTCAAACAATGAAGCCACCGACACTGACCGTCGAGTTCCACGTCCTTATCTAGGGTTATGCCTGCCTTAAGAGCTCCCAAATGCCCTGTTGTCGAACCCTTTGCAGACAGGATAAACCGCTTTGAGTATACGGCCTTGGTTAATGCCTGGACAAATTGCGCCCGGTCGAGAACAGCCGTATTATTGCTACTGATGCTCATTTCCGTGGTTCCCTTGAGATTGTACCCGTCTAGCGATACGTCGATGAATGGGACCATCGGCTTCACATCGCGGTTAAAGAGAGACAAGGAGAATGGATCGATTCGCACCGAGAGTCCAGCGGGGATCTTCAACGAAGTATCAATGGAAAAGCTGACACTGTCGGGCGTCGGGTCGAGAATACGCGCTGCATAGACCGGAAGACTGGTATCGTCAACGACCCTCTGGGCAATAGCAGGGATAATATAGATAAAGCTGTGGACGATCAGTACCCATCGTAGTAAATATAGCTGATGGAGCCTACAAAAGTGGAAGGAAGATAGCCAGAAACACCACCCCGCCGAGGACGTAACAAAACCAGAAACGGCGGAAATGGCGCTGAATCTTTAGTTTCGCTACCTTTTTGCGCTGGCCAGGGACTTCTGAGCCTGTGTTTTCCACATGTTCAATTTGTGCGTCAAGGCTCGAGAGCTTTGTTGCTCGAGTATCCTTCTCAAGGTATTTCTCCGCCATTGTGCCGGTCGTCTACATGCCGTAAGTCTATCGTCTTCCTATTTTATATATCTTCCTAAGCCCGCTGAGGGAATTTCTGGGGTATGCGGGGAAAAGCTTGGTTCTTCATTTTCAGCTTGATTTACGGCCAATGGTTGAAGATGCATGTAACAATCTATACTTCGTATATAACTGGGCGAAAATGAGGAAAACACGAGCGATTGCAACACCCCGCATATACCCAACTTACGCTTGGACGTTGAGCAAACTTGATCGTCTTACACTAGCAAATGGGTACCCTAAGGGATCTCCATCGAGCTACCCCGCTATCACACCCCCCCAGAGCTTCCGCGGATGATTTTCCATCGACCTCCAGTGGCGCTGTCGACGGTCCGTCCGGTCCGCGGTATAGTATGCATGAGCATCTGAATCCCCGTGCAGCATGTGTCTCTAGGTCGTATAGGACATGTCGACTGGATATACTATATAAAGAAATGGGCAGGTTGAATTGTTGAACTAATCTAATTAATACAATATTCCTCTAATAACCTTCAAAATGGACGAAAAGAACGATATCACCACGCAAAATGAAAAAACGAGTCGTACCGACGAGAGGCTCCTCAAGGAGTTAGAGAACCCTCAAAAAATCAAGAAAATAGTTCGCGAAGGCATTCTCCTCGCCGGTGGTGGGGCGGCCATTCTCCTTCAAGTTGCCATGCCCGGCGTTGGCAAAGGCGTTGATGAACACAGTAACTTCTCCTACCGTCCGCTGGATCGACTCCGCACGACCATGACATATGTCTACTGCATGGCGTTTGGCACTCCAGAAGAAAAGAAGACGATTATTGAGATGGTCCATAAAGCACATTCGGTTGTCAAAGGCCCCGACTACTCGGCCGACGATCCACACTTGCAGGTCTGGGTGGCGGCGACTCTCTACGCAGTTGGGATTGATCTGTATGAGCAGGTCTTTGGCCGTATGGATGAGGCCACTGCCGAAGCAATCTACCGTGAATATGCTGTTCTTGCGGTTTCCCTCCGTGTCAAGCCGGAGATGTGGCCGCCAACTCGCGAGGCGTTCTGGGTCTATTGGGACGAACAGATCCAGAAGATCCAACATCAGATCACCCCACAGGCAAAGAACGTTGCCAAGGATCTCCTGTTCAACAAGCAGGTTCCTTTCATAATCCGTATTTCCATGCCACTGGTGCGGCTGATGACCGCCGACTTGCTTCCTGAGGGTATCCGGGAGCAGTATGGGCTGAAGACCAGTAGCACGCGCAGGGGAATGCAGAAGGTGGTTCGGGGGGTGACCAAGGTGGTTTACCCTGCCACACCTAGTTTTATTCGGACCTACCCCATGCGGTACTATCTGAAGGATATGCGGAAGAGAATGAAGAAGGCCCAACACCGGTAAATGTGTTTAGCGTACCGTGTACTGTGGAATCTGGAGTATTGTGTTTTTTAGGCTTCACATGGTGGGTGGGGCCGAGATCCGATTATGCCGCGGGATTATCTGTGGGGTATCGGCACCGTGAATAGATTTTTAATTAAGAAATAGACATGGTATCACTCTAAAGTCTAGGTTCGAGCGCATAAAGAGGGGTAACCCTAAGGGACTGGCGATGGAACGCAAACTGCCACGCTGATCGCCGAGTCATGTGCGCCTCCATTGGCGGATTGTTCTCGGAAATATTAAACCTAACTCTACCGGCGTGATCGACAACGCCTAGCTTCGTCTGGGGGATAGTTGAAATACCGAAGGGCGGGGAAGACTCCTCCCCCCAGGTCCATAGTCATACACCTCGCACTTTCACATTCACGATCTCCATCCATCGAGGTTGTTACTTCATTGACCGATGTGGCAGCGAACTAAACGGGCCCCCCGAGCCTGTTATTGGTGTCGACATCGTAAGGTCCGATGCGACGCATCTATCCATGGCTGCCCTTGTACAAGGTGTCGCCAGGATGGTCGACGTGATTGCACACTCGGGTCCAGGGCTGGCAGACAGTATGTACCGACAGCTGCTTCCTGCATTACTATTAGCTAATTTTTTCATAGCCCTGCAAAGTCTGTGAATACAGACCAAGATCCTCCTCAAAGGGACGCATCTATCGACGGTACCGCTAAACAAATTACACAGCGAGAGGAGCCCATACAGAGGTTTTATAGTGACTTTGGAAATGCGCCTGGAATACAAACGTCCGTCGATCCGACGACTCCTAGCAGCGTGTCATTCTTCTTTTGCCCTTTCCTCACACTCAATGGTCTGGCAGTCTTGCCTCAGGAAGATGTGACATACTTGGCTTCAAAAGGGTCTTTGAGTGTTCCGGACTGGTCAACGATCAACGAATTCGCGAGGCAGTATTTTCTCCATATTCACCCTTGTCTTCCTGCCCTAGATGAAGCAGAGTTTTGGCGTATCTCTGTTGACTCTGCTTCACATACACTATCGTTATTTGTGTTACATGCGCTTCTATTTTCCAGTTGTCCTGTACGTACACACCCTCACCTTTCGGCATATGATCCCACTAACACCATCAGTATGTCTCCCTGCAAACGCTCCAAAAATGCGGATTCAATGATAGACGCAAAGCCAGAACAACATTCTTCAATCGTGCTAAGGTATCTAGGCCTGCTATATTCCGTGACTATTGGTTCCTCACTAATCCCATCAGCTACTATTTGATCTCCAAGCTGAAAATGATGCATTCGCCAAAGCCCAAGGCTCCGCTCTTCTGGCCCACCACACGTCCGCTCAAGATCCCCAAGCTAGCAGTATATGGTTGATGCGCGCTATCCAAAATGCTATGGTTGTGGGCTGTGGACCAGGTCCAGGTGATAGAGAGATCAACCTATCCATGATGAAACGGTTGTGGTGGTCTATGGTGCTGCGCGATCGGGTTCTATCTATCGGCCTCCGTCGTCGTCCTCAAATTACATCGGTAGAATTCAACATGGGGGCAAACTGGCTCACAGAAGAGGATTTTGCGGATGAAATAGTAAATTCTCGAGTATATGATCCGGAGCTCAAGATCCAACTATTCCAGGTACTGCAGGAACAATGCAAACTCGCGGTTCTTCTCACCGATATGGTGGCGTTGGTCTTTTCATCGCAGGGAGTATCCTCCCCGTCACTTTCCTTAGCTGAATTCCAGGCCGTTCTCGCTGCCATACGGCGAATCAAGCGGTATCTGACGAAATGGGAGGCCGTTTCGATTGTTCCGCCCTCTACCAGCCATGAGGCCGTCACCTTCTTTACTCATCTTACTTTGATGTATTACTAGTACGTTAGCCCGCAGCCTCCCCTATACATTGTTCTGATTACTCTAGTGCCGCCCGTGTCGATCTAGCCCAGTACGAGGCGCTGATTATCGAGAAGCATTTGAGCTTCACTGGAACTAACTATAGGGGCCAACTCCTAGAAACTGGCGCGGACCTCCGCAAAGCTACGACTGGTTTAACCAGTGCTATAGAGTTTTTTTGCAGCCAAGGCCGTGCAGAACGAATACCTCTGAGCGTGTAAGCTTCCTCTTACTATCGATTAGTTATGAAAGCTGACATCTCAGTCTGGCCTATACCGCCGTGCCCATCGTTCTTGCTGCTATCGATGTTAAACTATCACCCTCGCAGGCAGAAATGACGATCCGAAAGCGTCGTCTCGAGCGTCTAGGAGAGATTGTTCGACATTCGAGAATGCTTTATGATGTGGCCGACTATGTGGCTGCCGGGACAAACCATATTCTGCAGTTGGCATACATTACCACACAAGAGGCTTTTCTGCGATGCAGAACAAAAGCCATCGGTTCATCGCAGATGGAGATAGAACCGCCATCAGTCGGCATGTCGCTGGATACCTCCATCCTGAATGCAAAGAGAGTGACGAACTGGTATGACGCCTTCCTTAGTAGTCCTCGGGCATATCTCAGGATATCTGTATCACTCGACTATAGCCTTGCAACTGGCCGTCTGCCGTATGATAATGCACTACCCCTGCTTGTGCGGCAGACGCCCTGGGCCAAGAAACAACAAAGGCTGCCGTGGACCATTGCGCTGGAAACAGATGACATTGCACGATGCCCAGACCTTTCTATAAATGGGAGGATCACGGAGGAGATCGGTTCCATATCCCAGATAAGCAATTTGCCAGAGGAGCAGACTGCCGAGACACCAAAGGACGACGGATCCCAGAGCCGAAGCGATGATGTATTTCCGTTCATTGCAGCAATTGGAGACTCTATCAGGGAAAACACCTATGAAGCGGAAGACCATTGCAGCCCGGAAGAGGTTAGTGCTGGAGAGGCTGCTATCAACCTGAATTTCTTTGAGTTTGGGAGTCCGCGGTCGGACGATATGGTGGAGATGCAGACGGAGGATGCACTGAGCGGGGGTTCCTCCCGACTTCTAGGGATGAGTGCACCTCACTCCGGGAAAGACAGGTCTGATGACTTTGGTTTTGGTCCTACGGGATTTCAGTCTATATACACTTCCTTGCTGCGAGACTCTGTTGTTTGATAATACACATAATATCATACCTTATTGATGATGACTGTTCAATTGTATCTGAGTCTTCCGGATCCATAGCATTTAATTATGACAAGGAACAATGCTGGCTATGTCAGTTTTCGATACATGAGGACTTCCATCTGATAGCTATATGCCGATATATTACCTTTCCCAGCATGCTAGCAAAAGGGGGGGCATATTCCCTGCTTATATGTACTGCGCATAGTAAAATCTATTTTACTGTGCGTCCAATATCTAGACTTTGGCACAGAATATCCGGACCGTGGTGTGTTCCTCGCTGGGTGCGTCATGCTACAGTATAATGCCCAGTATAGGAATCGAATCTGTTAACCCTAGTAGAATGATAAGCATTCTAAGCCAGGAACCAGTTCCTATGTAGGCTTGACGTCGACTGTATCCCGTCAGATGGTGCTCTACTATTACACCATTAGCCCGGTCTGCAAGACTATGTGTGTGATTCGACATGAGTGGTGGACCTGGTCAAGATCTACGCAACATGGCGAAATCCTATATTAACCCAGCTTAGCGAGATGAATATCCGCAGAGCATCTTTCACACTATCGAGCCAATCATACACACTAAGGATAAATCTTCCATAGAGCGACTACTACCAAGCTGTGCTTTACCCACATGTGCTTAGAATCTACCGAGATCCGCACCAAAGTTGGGTTCCGATTCCGCTTTATGCAGTCATTAAACCCTTCCGCGCATATATCCCCTTACTCCAACAATCCATGCACAAAACAAACACTATACTAACACATAGATATATGCTAGAACGATGGAAGTCTAGGCATAACAACAGGGTATACTTGACTATGGGAGCTCGTGATGGTCATATTCATGATCAGAATGTATCCCACCATCCCATATGTGGCTCTCTTCCTCTTTGCCTTTCAGGTATACAGGTCTAATCCACCACAAGAGAGCTCCAACCCGGTACTTAGGGCTAGTCTCGATCTGGGTAGTATCTTTGAAGATATCTTCAGGAGTCATATACCAGAAGGAACAACAAACAGCACCTTGAAAAATGTTGGGAATGCTATTGATGGCCTGGTAGGCTTGTTCTCACCGACTCTCATGAAGGATGTCGTATCATCTGTCACCCACATGGCTGATCTTTTCGACAATGAAACTTCAGTGCGGACAAAATCAATCATCCAGTTAGGAGCTGACCAGCTCACTAATGACACGATCAATGCGGTAACAAGCCTACTGGATAATGCAAACGTCCTCCTTACTGCAGACAACGTCGCATCAGTCAACAACCTACTTGAGCAAGCATCCCCTCGTCTCACAGAGGTTTTCAATGAGATAAACAACCCTCCTCATCGCAGATTTGGTAAAGGAAATAGCGAGTCTTATACAGGAGGCTAACAGCTTCCTGTCTTCTAACGCCGATGCCATTCAGCCTCTCCTGAACACAGCTGTCGACTTACTGTCTACCGATGTTGTCAACAATATCGGACCAATCGTAAACGCCACCGCTCCAGTCCTTTCTACAGAGCTTGTTGACAAGCTCCAAACTACCCTGAACAAACGCTGGTGATTATCTTACCGGCGATGTAATCAGCGACATTAACAATATGCTTGACCACGTTACACCCTTCCTTACAGCAAGCAACGTTCAGACGGTCAACAACCTCATCAGCAATGGCAACAACCTCTTAACGGCTCAAATGGTCAACAATACAGAGGCACTCATCTCCACCGGTAGCCAATTCCTCTCTGGCCAGACAGTACTCAACAAAACCGAAGCATTAATTTCCATTGCGCTCAAGTTCTTGACCGACGAAACGATTAATCAAAGCAGGGTGTTGATCCAAAATGGAAACGGCCTTCTGACATCTGATTCAGCATCGCCAACAGACAGCTTGGTTGATAATCTAGCGAGCCTCCTTACCCAGCAGATTCTCTATGAGGTTGAGAGTCTATTGAACATGGTACAAACTCTTCTCACAGCAGAGTTTGCCAATGCAACAGGCACTTTAATCGACACGATAGCGCCGGCAGTAACACCCGAATTCCTTAAACAAGTGGCCACTCTCCTAGATAATGCAAGGCAACTCCTTCACTGATGGCACGAATCAGACATTGCAGTTGATCAATAAGGTCTCTCCAGTGATTGACTCCACGGCCCTTGGCCAAGTTAAAATCTTACCGAACGTGCACATACTCTTCTCTACCCTAATCGTACCAATAAATTAACTTTGTTGATTGATGGTGTTAGTGGGGTATGTTCATCTTATGACCGAAGTCTGTGTACAACGTTAATATCAACCAGCTCTTCCCAAAAGTTGTCCAGATATTCGATGCCTTGAAGCCACTGAATCTGACGGGTATATTATCGGAGGTAACCTAATATTGACGTATGTTTCAATATCTAAATACACTGGGTTCATGGCATAGTCTACAAAATAGAAAATAGCAACTGCTACAATGATGATTAACCCTCTAATGTTTATGCACTCATAATAGCCGTGCCCATTAGATCGGTGAACGTTTTTAACTACCGTATAGCTTTGGCTGCTGACTAGTCTATGCAACCTCCCACAGATTGTCGAATGTCCAAGCGGCAGGATCGCCAAAGAAATATTGCTCCATTGAGGGAACAGTTGGATCGAACTATAACACATTAGTATGCATATAACTAATTACCCGGAATGGGGAGGAGTGTAGAGCAAGCTTTCATCACGAACCTGAGAAAATCCGACATCGTCCAAGGACATTTCCGCCGGGTCCAATACATCATCGCTAGCGACCTGGCGCTCAGCTTCCGAGGGGTCACCCTGTGGAATACTAATCAACATATACCCTTCCCCATTCCAACATTCAGGGAAGTATTCGAGTTGAGTTACCTGTCTCAATTGTGAGGAATAGATCTTCTCCTTCGCACGAGGGAATTGTTCTTGCGATGCAAGCACTCGGTAATATTGCCTCACGACTTGGTTAATCGCTTCCTGCTTAAGCGTGCTAGACTTTGTCGGCTGTGACTGTGATCGAAGAAACGAAATTGCAGCAGAAATGTACCAGTGGTACGTATACCCAGTTCCAAGACAAGTGATGCTGTCCTCCAACATGGACAGAGCATTTTGGATATATTGCAAGATTGCACTGTGATTGATTGGGGCACAAATATCGGCTGCACTAGTGATTAACATGTAAAACCTTGAGCAGGACAATACCACTAAGTCTGGTGAAATAACTTACGCTGGATGCCTGAGGATATATACGCGTAGTGAGAAAGGTTTAACGCTCCACGGAAGTAGTCATGTCTTAAAAGCAATAGCATGGGATTCCCAGCCTGTACCAGCCGCCAATGCTGGTCAATCATGCTGGCAGCCGCGTTGAAACAAACCATCCTTGACACTGCGTATCGAGTATTATTTTCTCGCTTGCGGGCAAAGGGGGCGTGCAGTAAGACCAAGAATTGCCGCAGTTGCAGATCCAACACCACCCTTGCCATCTGAGATAGGCTTTTGTCAGTAGTATCGTTTCTGCTGTCGGTTAGAGAGGGGATCTTCTGGAGTTCACTCATAATCAGGTCTTCGTATCTCAGGGTATCCTCATATGGCAAATCCGAGGTCAGATCATTCATCCGAGAATTTAATGATACGCGCAGGTCCAGGCTACTCCTACATAAACGCAAGAACGAGGTCGAGGTACAGTGACCGCGCAATCCCGGCATCTCTGTAGAATCGGATTCGGGTCTCAGACCTTCATCATCGATATCAACCGGAGGGGCACAATCCATTTGAATTCCAGCTAAAGCCGACGGCATCCCTCGCTCAACCGAAGCCTGTAGCTCTAGCTCAATCATTGTCGCCCAAAGTCGCCGGCGCATCTCCTGGTCGAAAAAGGATATCTTGCCTCCCAAACGACTTGGGTCGCGATGAAAGCCAGCCGCCATTCCTTCTCTCACCAGGTCACCTGCCACCGACCACATGCGCTTCTTCTTGTAGCGGCACATCTGTTTTGAGAGGACGAGTAGACAGCGAATCTGCCATATGACCAAGTAGATATTTTTCTTGCTCTGCTTTCCAAGCCAGGCTTCTGCTGTTTCAATCCACAGTGATCCCTGTTCTCGACCGAGACTACTGCTACCTACGTAAGTTTGGTCAGTTGCCGTTGTGCAGCTGACGGTGGCCATAATCAATAACATGAGGACAATGAATCCGGGCTTTGCAGCTGATCGATCCTTCTGCAACTGATCATATTCCTCCACGAAAGTCGGTCTATGCACAATTCTGTACATCGTTTCGAAAGTTTCGAAATATAGGCGAATAGCTGCGTCCATATGTTCCTGGTCTGGTAGCAACAGCAACAGGTCCGCAGTTTTGACTGGAAGAGTACTTGGTTTCTCATATTTCCATTTCGTGTCCAATGCTTTTAGTTCTTTTTGGACACCGGGTAGAGAAGCATGGTGCTTGATCGTCTCCTTCATGTAAGAACGAAGCTCGGGGAACTGGATTACAAATGAGCATTGCAGTCGATAGACGATCCGATACCAGCGCTTACATGACCGATCAAACTAGTGGGATTGGTACTTCCATAATACTGTGTTTTGTAATTCCCCCCTCGGAAGATCACAGCCTCCGTTGGCTTTGGTTCAGGAGGATATGTCAGTTCAGTCACGTCGCTTTAATGGCCGGTCGCTCTTTACCGGTCGTAGCTCCATCGACATCACCGCCTATCAGCTGCCAAAGACCTACGTGTTCTGTGAGGTCTTGCACGATGGGTCGATTGTTATCATTGGCTGTATAGCCTTCTAGCGAAGCAGACGAGGTCGTCGTGTTCCCAAGGACCGGGGTAGCAGTAAGCACGGGTCTGTTGTGCCCCGAGACATCTGATCTTCGCTGATTGTTACGCGACAGAGCAGGAGCGTCCTCGTATGAGCAGGAATCAGAGTTCCCGGTTTTTCGACATCGACTGCAGGACGGATATTCACGGTCGCAAGCCAGTTTCCGTCGTCGGCAGAGAGAGCAAGACAAGGGTCTTCGCTTTCTCCGGGCGATCGGTCGACTTGGCGCTGTCGGCTCGGACATCCGGTGAACATTATTGGGTAGCATTGTAACCCTCGAGCAGAAGAATAGCTTCCTGTTATCAGATCGGGCTGGGAATCTTATCAGATGATGAAGTGGTGGACGGAGGTCCGAGGGATCGCGGAGATATTAAGTCGTGACGTTGCCTTGCGTCGGAGAAAACATGTGAGGCTCGGCGATAACAGTTCGGCGATAAGAAATATTATCAATCAAGGTCACATCCATCAGATAGCGAGCCTGCGCTCAACACACTCTGATGATATCCCTGCCAGGGAGGCTTAAATATACCTATACTGAATTGATGTAGCGATAGATTACAAGTATAGAGTTGGCTTGAGAATGTATCCGAGTGTAATGGTCAGCGTTACACTATTCGTATCACTGGCATGGCTTTTCCTCTCGAGTTGATACACAATTACTACTAGATTCCAAGTTCTTGCTTGTCATGAATCTTCTAGGAGCTCGCAATCTATATTACAGTAGATCGGTGGTCAAAGAGCTAGATCAGCGAGTAATTCGCTCTAGTTGCCGCAAATTGCCACTTCTGACTCTTGTTGGTCATCTCGGGGATAGTGTTCCTATGCCTGCGCGTAGCTCCGAGGAGCGAACAGCAGTTATATAAAGCTCGTTCATCTCATCGCCTAAGTTCAAAACAAATATCCATCACATTCCCAACAACCGAGTAGTTCGAGTCTACCATATCACAATCCAACCTAACCTGTTTTATTAAACCATCAACATGTCCCCGACCCCCACGCTCCAAAAGGAAGTGGATTCCTACGTCGTGTCCCATCTGATCCCAGCCGACCAAGCCCTAACCGACACGATCGCCAAATGTACCAAAAGTGGAATACCACCAATTGCCGTCTCTCCAGCCCAGGGCAAGTTCCTCTCTCTGCTGACCAAGATGTCAGGCGCCCACAACGTGCTGGAAATTGGCACCCTGGGCGGCTACTCCAGCATCTGGTTCGCCCGGGCCCTCAACGCCAATGGCAATAAGGGGAAGGTGACTAGCATCGAGATTCTTGAAGACAGACGGGAGCTTGCTATTGAGAATCTGCGCAATGCTGGGGTGAAAGTTCCGGACGAGGCCGATGTCTTGCTCGGACCTGGTCTGGAGGTGCTGCCTCGTTTAGAGGAGGAAATTCAGCAAGGGAAGCGACCGAAGTTCGATTTTGTGTTTATCGATGCGGACTGGGATAATCAGTGGCATTATTTCGACTACGGTGTTAAACTAGCCAAGGGCCCTGGGGCCGTCATATTGGTCGACAATGCAGTTCAGAGCATGCTGGAAGACGGAATCGTGGGCCCGGAGAAACGTAAGGAGGGGGCAATATCCCTGGTGGAAAGGGTTGGGCAGGATACGCGAGTGGAAGCGGCGCTGGTACAGACTCTGGGTGCAAAGAGCCACGATGGCTTCTTGATGGCCCTCGTCGTGTGATCGTGTTCCGGATTTATCGCTCTAGAGTACTCGAGATTTAATTGTAGGCTCGATTCACTGCCGTGTGCAATGAGAGCAATGAGAGCATTTGAATATTTAATGTCATACCAAATAATCCAACCAGCCTCCTTCAGGTCTCCAAACATGTCTATAATTAGTTTCTACTGCGGGTCAACTATAAGCTAGCATGTTAGTATAAGCGTATCGGGTGTCGCGTTGTCACAATGCAGCTGCATCTTAGCACTACTACAATTGAAGAGCCGGGCTGATCATGTTCAATACTTATTCCACGTGTCCATTTCGTATATATTTCTTCTCTAAACTGCATTCGCTTCAGTCTTCCTCAAATCCGCACACAGCTTCTCTGTCAACAACTTGAGCATCAGCAAAGTTTCATTATTCTTCTCCATCGCTGCTTTTTCCTTGCTGATAAAACCCTCACTCGCGCCTAGTGTGCTATGATTCATAATTTCGGGACAAACGGGTACGACTGAACTACTCGCCTCGCCATCTCGTGAATGCAGTAGGGAGAGGACCCACGGCCAATCGCGACGAGGGTCCTGCTCACTGGCTCCGTCCATAAGCGCTGTTACGAGCTTCCTAATTTCTTCGGCCATTAGAAGCATGTGCTGTCCAGTTTCATTCACTGATCGTGACAACTGAAGCTCGTTAGCCGCAAAAGTGCTCGTTGTTCCTATTGTACTTAGGTCCATGGACCGCTTGCTCAACTTTGACGACCATTGAGCATGTTTTTCGATATCCCTACAATTGCTTCGGGATCCTGGATTTGACCCGCTCTTCTCACTACGCCCCCTGTTTCTCGATTTGCCTAGTCTCAAAATATAGCCAGCAAAGTAGACAGCGGTTCGCACACCTATGTCGCCCATGGCAGTGACAAGATTGGTCAGAACGGGAATAGCAAGCAGCGACCAGAAGACGAAGAAAACCTTGCCAAAGTTGCTGGTAGGATAAAAGTCTCCATAGCCAATGGTGGTTAGTGACGTGTATGTAAAGTAAAGAGCTGTGAAGTACGTCCAGTTCTCGCTGCGTTCCGACCGACGAAATACCGCGGCACTGAGAAGCCACAGGACAAACCATGCCAGGATGAAAAAAAGAAGGGCCTTCAATTGGACCCTTCGGTGGAAATCAGATCGGATGCGCTGAAGTTCCACCACGTCACTCGTTTGAGGCAATGTAGCTGTGGATAGTATGCTGGATAATGTTATGTTGTCACTGTGTTCGTTATGTGTCGGTCCTGTTGAGTTCTTCCCTCTCAGAAGCTCGCTGCGCGCTTCTTGGAGCTCCAACCTAAGTTTCATACGTCTAATGCTTTTCCCAAATGATCTTATGGAGTTAACAACGAGACCCAACGTAATAATTCCGATAGTAGCGTACGGGAATAGCAGACTTCTTCCGAGATGTGTCTTAGGGACAATATTCCCGATTCCGATAGTGAGAACGGTGTAGTCGGTAAAGTACAATGCGTCCATAAATGACCACCCTTCAACAGCGCTGTACACACCTGCACCACCTGTGAGAAAGGTTATAAAAGTTATAGTTCGCAGGATGATGCTTGTATATTCGACTGTTCGCCTGTCTTGACGACTTAAGGAAGCTGAGCGCGCAGTGGCAGTATAAGCTGACAGTAAAACTGCAATAAACATATACAAACCTCCAGCTATAATACCGTAGAAGTAGCTTTGTGTATACCTCGGTGACTCTCGTGGTTGTACTATTGGATGCCGCTGGATTGTGACACCTACGAGACTGAATAACAATGCTCCTGCAGTTAACCAACCGAATATTGTCACAATGAATCCTTTCTGCGGGTTTCGTTTGCACATCATTGTCAATATTAGCACGATGTACGAGACGGCAGCCAGAGCCAAGGATACCGCCTTGAGTGCAATCATCCTGAAACATTTACTGGCTGTTAAACTCCGGTAGAAAGGAAAAGACCAGAATGATACACACCAAGTCGGTTGCGATAACATGCTTATGCTCCCATCAGCATTTTCCATTTCCTGCCATCCTTGGGAGACCGTGCAGATATTGGACATGATCCCTATCGCACATAGCGTTCCCTGTATATCTGTTAAATGGCCGCAGGCGAAATAGGGATGAAGATGGCAGTTACCGCCAAAACAGGGAATGGTGCTGCACTACGCCACCAGCGACTGGGCACGCTGTTTGAGGGGTCAGAGAGCTCAACCACATTCCGAGATTCTCTCTTGAGGCTCATTGATTTCTTGCGCTTCGACATGGATGGATTCCTCTCATGATAGTTCCTACCGCTTCGTGATTAATACATCTAGGTGAGAGTGAGCTGCAACACGTTGCTGGCTACTTTAAGCTACAATAAATGACGACTTCAATAGTAGCTAGCTACGGTGAGTTATATATAGCGGTCATTGGCTGAACTTAGATGTCATTCGATCCATGGTTATGGCTGAGTACGAGGAGGTCTGGCCATCCCGAGAGATGTCTGAACGGAGAACGACCACACTATTGAGCCGACAACGACCTTCGGAGAAGTATACAGTTACTCCAAAATTATCTGATTTTCGTTCTAGACTTGAAGGAGAGAAAAGCCAAAGAAAAACACATAACAGGAGGGATTCCTGGGTGGGTCACCCACCGAGTTGAACCACTAACCTGCCTTGCCGGCGTGTGGCTTAAGCACGGTCCCACCCTTGGTTCCCTACTACACTGCCGATTTATTTATGTTACGTACAAATCTCTCTCCAAGAGTAAAGGAAAGTGTAAATGTTGAGAGTAATAATGCTTAGGTTAAGATAAGCTCTGACAAAGCTATGAAGATATATGCTTTTCTCTCTACAAAGACTATAATTTTAATATACACATTAGAGCAGTATACGAATGTAGTACAGATATAGTTCTGAATTTCTTAATAAAACTTTGGAGGTTAGAAGCATCCATTACAAAGAAGAAAACAAATGACCAGACAAAAGGCCAGAGAGAGAATCTGTAACCCCCCTTTGTATACATGAGCGTTCCTACACCACCCCTCTTCACTTCCATTTTCACTTTGCGTGCACTCACGAAACAACCTGCCAAGGGCTCTTCACTGAGAGGAAAGGCGAGGGAATAGTTTGAGGGCGTTTTCCCGGTTGATCTTCTCTGCATCTTGTTGTGAGAGCTTAGCCTCACTCAGCTCCTTGCTAAAACGCCTAACAGTAGCGTCAGGGGCATACGGGAAGTCACTTCCAAAAAGAATATGATCAGAAGGAGCAAATCTCTGGAGGAGAGGCAGCGCGAATGAGGAATCTGTCAGGGCCAAATCATAGTAAAACATTCGGGCGTTCTCTATAAAATATTCAGGCGTCATGTTTGATAGATTGAGATCTTTTAACATGATTGCGGGACGTCTTGCCAGCCAAGGCAGATTTCCACCAGCATGAGACAAGATAATCTTGCATTTATTATACTTTCGGACGGTATCGGTGGTAATAAGATCAACAGCCGTGCGAGTTGTTTCATGTGGATAATCAATCATAGGCTGGGGAAGCATTTTGTTGACCAGATTGGTGTCCACCGGATGAGTCGGGTGAACAAATACCACTGCGGCACGTCGGTTCAGTTCTTCCCAGATAGGCTGGATAGCAGGATGTCCTAAGTAATAATTGCCGTTGCCATAACGGGTAAAGAGAGTAACACCATCAGCTTGAAGATGATCAAAAGCATACTGAATTTCCTTCAGAGTAGCCTCAGTATCAAGAATATCCGGCAGCGTAGCAAAGAACCCGTAATTTTTAGGGTATTTCTCTCTCAGAGCCTGTCCAAACTCATTGCATTCCCTGGCAAGACGGGCAGCCTCAGCTCCCTTGAGAATTCCAGTACCGGGAGCAGTCACGGATAAAATTGCTGTTCCAATATCACAATCATTGCAAATCTTTTGGTCCATGTCAAGGGACCACGCAGGCGTAGGCCATCCGGAGGGATCACCACCAGCTTTTTCAAGGGCTTAAGAATATAATTTTGAGCCTCAGAAGTATTTCCCAATGTATGAAACCTAAAACGCACCTTGCAAATAGGCAGGGGGGATATAGTGATGATGCACATCAATGCGTTGTGCCATTATGACGGGTGCTTGGAATAGCTTCTTATGGCAGAGTCACCTCGGAGCCCTTATAAGTTGTTGCTAAAATTATTCAGTGTTGGAAGTGAGCATTGGCTCTACTTATATAGCCTTTCGGGTTCCCGGAATGAATAGATGAGTTGTATGCTTTCGGCCTTGCGGATAACCCGGAAGGCCCAGTGAGGGTGTTATTCCGTTATATAATTTCTCGAATTGAATTTATTACATCCAAGATACTCCATCCGAAAGTAACGCACTTGAGCTTTGGCCGCTGATTGGCTGCCCCTGGGGTTGCTTTATCAATTATGCTCTTCCACTTAAGATGATCATTGTGCTATGACGTCCTCCACTGCCGAGTCCCGAGTCTGCGGGTCTCCATACAAATCCCAGCCTCTTGGCAGAGTTGTTATAAAAAAAAAAAAAAAAGGAGAGAAAGTCCAAAACACAGTTGATCCTTACTCTTAGTTGCAACTAATGGAATAATGTACAGTGACTAGTAGGCTGGTTAGGGTATTAGATAGCGATTGATGCTCTATATCAAGGAGCTTTAGAAGTCTCTGAACAATATATACGACGGCATCTCGGATCCGACATAACTGCAGTTCGAACATTTGCACTGTTTTACTATCTTTCACCTCACTATATTACTGGGACAAAGTATAGGGTTGTTTAATATCAATTAATAGATGGAAGAATAGAGAAGCTTTGCAGAATTTTAATCATAGCTCTAGGATACAGCCGTAGAAAAGACACTCACGTAGAGTCTTTTCCTAGTATATGCCGGCATCACTCTATATGATGGCCCTGGGACAGACCCTGACGATACCGAGTGAAAAGTTAGTCCATTAGCCTCGGCCCCTTCTCAACCCAATCCATACTGCCAGATTAGAGATCTAACCCGAAGTAGACATACTATGTAGACTGGCTCTTTGTAGTACTGCGCAGTAGTAGCGCCTATGGCCCCGTTATGTAGCTCCACCTTGGGATCTGTTGTAGGTCTCGATATTTACTGCTTAGAGAACAGGTCGCCACTTTAAGCCTATGATGATCGTCTCTCACGATCTCTTGCAAAACTCGGACTGAACTTCTCGTTTTACTGTGTGGAACCAGGTCTTTGCCTAATCTATACACCCGGGAGATGATCGTGATTATCCCAGAACAAAACAAGCGGATACACCGATTAAAACAGCGACCTTAAGCAATCATGTCCAGTTGATGCCAAAAATAAACATAACAATACAATAGCTTAGAAGAGAATACAACGAGACACTGACAAATAGTCGGAATAAATTAACAGACCACGTTGAGTACTTGAGAAAATCAACGCTTAGTTGGGCAATTTACAAAAGTGCCCTAAACCATCCTTAGAGGTGGATCAGACCGTGATTAAGACGTCGTTGCTGCCGTATATATAACGGTGCTGCACTACGCCACCAGCGACTGGCCACGTTGGTTGACGGATCGGAGAGCTCAACAGCATTGCAAGATTCCCCCTTTTTCCTCGCTGATTTCTTACGCTTCGACATGGATGAATTCGTATCGTGAGAGTTCATTGATGTTGCTGCTCGCCTACCCCTTCGGATTAACACAACTAGGTGCAAGTGAGCTCGAACACGTCGCTAGCTACTTAAGGCTACAATGCTTGATATTTAAATAGCTCGCGATGGTAGGTTATATATACCGGTCATCTGGCTGAACTTAGATGACACACGATCCATGGTGGTTATGACTGCGTAAGGAGGTCTGGCCATCCCGAAAGACAGTTGGCTATCGGTTACTCGGTAGAGATGATGCATGCGGTTGCGAAGGCATTCACACCAGAAATATACTTGACAGCATTCTTGTGGATAGACCTTGATCTCGCGATGGGCTTGGCAGGTCAGGAAGACGCAGAAAGGGTATGCCACTATATAGGTATTGAAGTCTGCAGGAGGCATGAGGGCAATATGCCCAGTAGTCTCTTCTCATAACACCGTAGTACTCATCTAAACTGGAAGCCTTTCGGCTATATCAAAGGCTATATATCTGGCTACTAATCGATTGGACATTCACATTGTATAGAAGGACCTTATTGGTTAGTGAATTATTTCAAAAAAAAAAAAAACAAAAAAAAAAAAAAAAAAAAGGTGCATCCAAAAGGCCCGGACGTGTGGTGGCCGGAAGGTCCGGAAAGCACGTAAACCAATTAGAGGGAACTAGTAATATATAGCCCCTGAAGGCATCGCGGAACCTTTCCCTAACGTTTCAACGCCGATCATTCGGGGCGATGCGGCGTTAGCGCGCCTAAAATCGTTAATCATCTGAACTACCAAGGTAGGAATCTTTCACTTTCCACCTTCCTTCTTCAATCACTGCCGCTCTATGTACTTTGCTTTTATACCGATCCTCTTAGTATCTAGCAAGTAGAAAAATATGCCACCTAAGAGAAGAGCAAAGGACGTAGGCAGGGCTACCTGTCCCTCGGAGGAAGACAACCCGGAGCCTTCCACTGCCACGTCAAACCAATCATGGAAACTCAAGTTCAACGAGAGGCAACTGGAGCGAAAACGCCAGGCCGACCGGATAACCCAGCGTAGGATGCGGGAGCAGTCAAAGCAGACAGCCGCAGTCTTCCAGGAAAAACTGAACCTTCTCATGGACGGTGACTACAAAGCGCTGATGGAGCGGACACTAGCTGAGAACGAGGCCCTGGTCGCAAAGCTCAATACGTTCCGGGCTAAGTTTGAGCACATTTATTCTGCTTCAAAAGAGTGCCTAGGGTTAGAAGAAGAACCTGGGAGGCCAGGTAATCCAGTGTCTAGCGCCACCAGCACAGGAAACATTCCATATTCTCTCGTCCCATCTTCGAGATTGGCGGCACCCTCCGGTTCCAACCATGATGCTCCTATTGTCGAACCGAGAAACAACCTCTGCAGAACCTTTGCGAAGAGCCCCTCGATTTTCTTGCCCATCTCAGATATGTTCAGGAACAGCGAGGGGTCAGAGATACCTACCAATCACTTTACGGAGGCTATAATGGCCTGGAAGTACTCTATGGGACTCAACGATGGTCTGCAATTCCTAACGGAGCGCTTGGACGCGCAGGGATATGCCGGGAATGGTACGAGAGCTTGAGCTGAGCCTAGACTGGCTTTTGTTTTTCGCAACTGACAAATCAAATCTAGATGTCTTGCACGACAAGATACTTTCTTGGGACTTCTACCAAAGGCTTCTGGGCCTCCTCATGGGTAATGGTAAGAGAGGTGCATCCGTTCCGTGTGAGAAACAGACACCGCTGCCACTGAGCTCTCTAGATGTGATACGCCGGAAGACTGCCTATCTGGCATATCGAATCGTAGCGCCGTGGCGAAGTTGCTACTGGTCTCACGCCGAGATGATTGCAATATTTTGGACACAGTTCAGACATCTGCTGGTACGCTTCCGTTCATCCCTGTCCCATGTGATGCCTTACCGTAATCCAACCGTTATTCTGGCAGCTTTTCGTCTTCCCATCTTCAGAAAACTTTGCTCGGTGCCCCTGCTGGTATCGACCGATGCCCACACGGCTTCTCCACGATCATCCTGGGTATCTGGACTTCATCATATGGTGAGTTTGGTAACCTAGTATAGGGCTGAGTCTGTTTAACCAATCGTGTTCTTCCAATGACAGGCCCCGTCTACGCGAGCGCCTAACGATGACCTGGAAACAACACGACATGGAGATCCTCATTCGCGATCTGATCCACGGCTTCAGGGTTCGAACTGCGGGTATTACACCAGATCAGCCGCTGATTCGAGTAAAACCAAATAGCAATGACCTCGAATTGTCCGATGAATTCGAGATGGCTCTTAGCGACGTGTCAAACTTTTCTATGCAGGTCAATTTCATCGCCCGGTACCCAGATCTTGCACCGTACATTCATGCTGATGTCCGCTCTTTCGTACCTACTCTTCCATCAAGCACTTCTGTACTTCTTCACACGCCTGCCCCGCAACCTTCCCAGCTCGCCGTCAATCAAGCCTTCGTACCTGACACGACATGGTCTCACCTTCGGCTCTTGTCTCCTGCGATAGTGCAAGATTCTCCAAATCCCCTATTATCATCATCCTATCTGTATCATCCAGAGGGCTATCGAAACGGGGAAATGGTCGTATACCCAGATCCCACAGCACCCACCACAGCGGGAAATAAAGACAGCCACCCGCTGTCTACTCACTCATCCATGGGGTTTCTCAGTGACGCCGCGAATGCAGAGACTCTCGACCTCTCCAGATCAATACCTATCTTCAACCCACCTGTCATTGACAGTCTCAGCAATCCAAGTACTGGCGCATCGCTGGATCTCGATAGCTGGCATTTGTTCGGCGGTGCAGATATGGTGCAAATACCCCATTAGACATAGTCTAGTTGGGTTAACACAATGGCTGCTACTAGCAACCACCGGCATTTATCTTTTAGCGCACTCTGTATACATTGAAACGGATGAACGACTCCTTTGGTGATCCTCCCATATCCTCGTAACAAAAGTAAATACACAAAGATACGAAAATTAGAAAGGAACAAACAAAAGGCCATTGACTGCTTAGTGTTAGACCACCATTCAGGGCTTTTTGAGGCCGAATTCTGGATTATAGAAGCAATATTAACAAGAGGATCAATATATTGTAGAATATATTTACTGCTGTAAAGCACCAATGCCGCCGATAGGTGACTCACCATCTACTGTGGTTATGTAAAATGGCACTTCTTATGATTTTAATTCTCATTACTCAGAGATTGGTAAGATAGAAACAAAGACTGTATAACCAATATGCTACTTAGGGACACCGTATGTTTCTGAAGATTTTCATAACCTTGAGCTCTGCTTGAAGCCAAGCAACCACTACCGATTGTTAAAAAAGGGTAGATAAGGACTATAAAATTCAGTATTGCATCTATGGCTCAGGTACGCTGCGCACTTCTGTATGTAGATCCACCTTTGGGATCGGTTGTGGGTCCGGATGATTACTACTTAGAGTATCGATCGCCACTTCGACTTTGTGACGATCGTCTCTTACGATCGTTTCTGAAACCCGGACTGGACTGGGTCCTTTTACCGCGTGGATCCAGATCTATGCCTAATTTATACGCCCAGGGGATGATCGTTATTGTTCCAGAGCAAAACAAGTGGATACGGCGATTAAAACAACGGTCTTGAGCAACTCACGTCCAGGCGATGGCAAAAATCAAACTAAAAACAGAATACCGTATAAAAAGATAACTACAACAAAATACTGACAAATAGTCCAAATATATTAACAGACCCTGTTGAGTACGTCAGAAGATCAACGCTTAGTTGGGCAATCGACAAAGTGCCCTAAAGCAAGCATCGTTGGAAGTGGGTCGGACCATGATTAAGACGTCGTTGCTGCGACAAACCCACGGCCTCCATTCGCAGGTCGTTGTCTTATACCTTCGTCTTCCTAAAGAGCAATGGCAGGGTCGTTTCAGGCATATTCTATTAATCATTAGCTGATTGCTCAATTGCAGTGGGGGAAAAAGCCTACCAGTCGACCAACTTCATGATTCGGATATCTCTCCGTCCGACCGTCCGCATTTTTGAAATCGTAGTCTAAGAGTATTCTGGAAATAATCATCTTGATCTCCGCGGCGGCGAGGAATCTTCCTGGACACGCATGTCTTCCATACCCAAAGACGAGGTTCTGTTCGTTGGAGGTGACGAATTGATTGCGAGCGTGTAGCGTTGCGCCGCCATCCCGCCGGATCTTGTAGAATCGGAAACCGTCGAAGGTATCGCTGTCAGGATAGTTGCTATCGTCTTGATATATGGCCTGTAGTGGTGTTTCGATGGAGGTACCGGGTGGGATGTATTGTCCATTAGAAAGCGTAATGCCTTGGACCGTTTGGCGGGAGAAAGAGGTGAGTTCTGGGGGGTAGAAGCGTATCGTCTCCTTCATGAACGAGTCAAGCTTTTCCATCTGCTGCAGTGCACGTGAAGTGAGCATCCCATCATTGTCTGATATTGCCGTGCGTATCTCTTCCCGCAAAGGCTGCATGTACTCGGGAGATACCGCGAGGTTATATAGGACATTGGTGGCAGTCACAGTCGTGTTATGGATCCCGGCGAATATCACCAGAAGCTGCATTTTTACGAGCCGTCTTGTTGAGTTAACTTTATAAGCTTCGCTTCGATTCAAGAACCACTGGAGCATGTCATCGGGCTTTTGGTAATTAGGATCCTTGGCAGCCTCGCGGCGAGCTTGTATAATCGGCTCCAAAAATTGTATGGCTAATTCCTCACGCTTATTGAGTTGTTGGACCTCTGGAAGCCTCCACGCGAGGAAGGGACGGAGCCAAGGCTTCATTTTCTTGACAGCCTGTACTGCATTTCCCAATTCTATGGTGTAATTGATCGCTGTGTCGAGGTAATCTTGGTTGCGAGAAAGCTCCACGCCAACAAAGATTCTCCCAGACACCTTCGCTACGGTATTCACCAATTTCTGATAAATGAATACCGGCGTCCATTCTTCTTCGCAGGGCGGGATTTCGTCTCTCAGAGCATTTTCCACCTCTCGATATATGATGGGGTTGAGCCGAGCTAATCGTGGTCAGAGACTATCTTCCGTGATGGGGTCAGGTAGAGATAATACCTAAAGCAGGATTCAAATCGGCCTTGATACAGTAAGGCGCAAGCGGCTCATCAGGAGCAACCTTGGTGTATTTCACCTCCAATACCTTTGTCTCTTTAACACCTGGCATGTGTGTGTTGTTGGGGGGAGTAGGTCGCCAACCTTGTTAATTGCGGTGGGGAAACTGAGAACAGTTTCAGGTAGTTTACTCAACTCCGATAGAAGCTGGCCAGGGACAACGGCGTTTTTACGACCTGAGACACGATAGGGTGAGTATTCAAAACACTTTACGGTGTATCAAGGCGTTTCTGTACCATCTGAAGTTGGCATGATCCAAACTTGGTCTTTGAACTGTGTGATCTTTTAGTATGATATTTGACAATGAGAGCCCAAGGCAGGGGCCTACCTTTTTATATCCCTCTTGGTAGAGCTTGCGTGCGGATTCCAAATAAGTCCTCCTCCATTTCTCATTGCCTTTGCCAATCTCAAAGGCAGGGAGTTTGGCTAATTGGGCTTGGTAGTGAACCCGAGAAATCAAGACGAAAGCTGCGAAAACGACAACGGCCCAGGTGGCCGTTTGAACGTTGTGCGAGATTTCGGAAATGTATTGGCCGTCCATAGTTAGGTGCGAATGAAACCACATCGGAGAATGAGATGGCAAGTGCGCTTGCTTCGTCTTTTAACATCACACTACGATGCCTGTCAGTCTCCATTTAGAGGATCATGCTTCTTCGATCTCTCCGGCGTTCCCGTGTTGTAGATCCGTTCCTCCAATGGATAGACATTATGTGTTGGTCAAGGTCCTGTACAATAGTCGTACGCCATCAATTTCACAGTAGGCCGGATACATGCATCAACCATTGTCCGGAAGTATAGTCCGAATGCATTTCGGATATCGGATCTCCTTGCCATCCGAACACTATCAACACGGTACCTCTCGCTCCAGAGTATGAATAATGACTGCAGGTATCAATGGGACGTCTTTCGTCCTAGTTCACCGCTAAAGTAACTACGATTTGGTAGATACGACCTGAGTGGGTCTTAACGACTCGGTGGATACGACTCAGTAGCTCGCGGGTTTATGCAAGATCTAATTCTAATGGCCCATTTAGTATGCTATAAGAATCTTGGAATTTCAGCGATTCATTGATACCGACAAAGTCCAAAAGTTTTTTGAGACTCACAATGACCAACATTTACGTAGAAGCCTCACAGATATCCATTCGGGCCTAGTGATGAGCGCTCAACTGTGGCAGACAAGACATTGCACCAAATATCTCAAGGGACCTGCATATCAAAGTGGTATGTATCACGTTGCTTACCAGGGCTAGGCGCTCAGGCCGCCGCGCCCTTTACGAAACTGGTGCCATGTTATATCTCACTGCCCGAAACATTGAACAAGCATGAACCGCCCTCCAGTGCGAGTATTGTATGTTGGTCTACATGTTGTCGCTAGGCTGTGTATCTAGCCTACGCAATGTTTTCCTACCCCCTTACTTGAATACCTACCCTTAACCTTGCAGTTTAAATATGGCTAGCGAATTTATATCGATCTTTGCGAGATAAACTACTACTATCAGAACGCTAACAGAAGACATATTTGTTAGTGTAAACATAATACCCCTGCAGGTTATAAGGACACGCGATTCAGAACACGCTTGCCCCTCTGGGTTGATTAATAGATCTTTTCTGTCGGGGTTCATCGTTAGCAGAGCACCCAAGGGATAACAAGGTATGTTGATCATTTCCGGTTCCTATGGTCTCGATATCTTACTGCATACCAACGTCCGGAGGAACAATCCCAGCCACAACATCAATAAGACGGTTTAATGTCTAGCTCCTGGGAGCGACATTCAGTACATGGGATGGATGAATTCTGAGTTTCTGATATACCATATAAGGAAACGCAGATCCTTCGACACGTTCGATACATTCGTCTGTTTAAACATTGCAGGATCATTGTTTATATACATGGATTGGAATGTATACTACTGAAGCAAACACAGGGCAGTCAACATTATGGTGGTTTCATCGTCAGTGGACGTTATCTAATTGAGGTCTTTTCTCCTACGCAGTTATACACATTTTTCGACTGCAGCATTCACCGGTGCAGTTCTGCACACCACCGGGATGCTAGGGCTAGGATTCCTACTATCATTCTTCTTCGTCTTCACAACATGCCTTGCCTACCCCGGTAGTCTGGCGAGGAGGGCCATAGTCACCCCTCCCAGTGTAGACCCCTTCTACGTACCCCCGCCAGGATACGAGAACGAGGACCCAGGTACTATCCTGCGATACAGAAACGTACCAAACCCGATAGCCCTAATCGATCCCATAAAGATCAAACTGGCGGCTGCATACCAAATCTTGTACCGATCCACCGACAACTGGGACAACGCCACGGCAACAGCCACCACAGTGCTCGTCCCCGAAAATGCCAATACCTCGAGACTCCTATCCTATCAGATTCCAGAAGACTCATCTTCCGTTGACTGTGCACCATCATACATCCTCCAAACCGGCATAGAAGACAGCGACATCCTTTCCAAACTAGGAATCCAAGGCCATACCATTCTATTTCGAGCGGCGCTAGAAAAGGGCTGGGTTGTGAGTCTGCCGGATCACGAGGGTCCCAAGGCCGCCTTCTTAGCAAATCGTCGCGCCGGCCATGCCGTTCTGGATGGGATTAGAGCTGTCCTTCGCTCTTCGGACTTTACTACCGTCTCCCCAGATGCATCCGTCGCTCTGTGGGGTTATTCCGGAGGAAGCCTAGCATCCGAATTCGCCGCTGAACTCCAGCCAACCTACGCTCCCGACCTGGACATGATCGTTGGCGCCGCGCTGGGAGGCTTATCGGTGATATCGAGGTCGTCACGTATACCGTGAACAAGGGCCCGTTTGTGGGGATAGACTTCGGGGGCTTCAACGGGATCGCGCATGAATATCCCGATATCGCAGCGTTATACAAGGATCAGCTTGTCGAGAGCAAAAAGGCGAAATTCTACGAGGCGAACCAGAACTGTTTCGTGGCCAATGTCATCGAATACCCCTTTGAGGATATCTTCTCCTATTTCAAAGATCGTAGCATCCTGAGTTATGCACCGATGCAGCAGGCCTTGAATGATAACAACCTCGGACAGAATCCGCCTACGATGCCGATCTTCGTGTACAAGGGGACTCTCGACGAGATCAGCCCCGCCAGCTCTGCGGAAATCGTCGTGTCGCGGTATTGTGCGGGCGGCACGGTGGTCAACTATAAGAATGTTTTGACGCACGAGCATATACTTCTGCAAGAGGATGGGTTTCTGGAAGCGATTGCTTGACTAGAGAAGCGGATGGATGGCGAGGCGATGCAGACAGATTGCTCGCGGACCGATGAGCTGTTGCCAATCTCCGAGCCAGGCAGCCTGGGTGTAATTGTGCCCACCGTTGAGGGTATTGGCAGTGATGTGGTTGGTACAATTCTTGGTTAACCGACAACAGGGCATGAATCACTTTCTCGTCTTTCCTCTCCTTTGTGGTACTGTGCGAATGACCCTGGGCCTTTTAGTTCTCACAAATGGCTGCACATGTACATAATCCAGAGTCTTAGAGCACTAGGCTACCATCACTCGTCACCCAAAATTAATATATAATTGTTTGCTATCTAATAAAAAGCTCCAGTCACACCAAGCCAAGCCCCATCCTCGAGGTTTAAAAGCACTAGCGCGTTTTCGGGACGCGTAAAACAATCTCAACTTTTTCAACAACCTGCCATTCTCTCAAAATGAGATAATCTGAACCTGCAATTAGTGAAAATCGAAGGCCTAATACTGATCTTTCTGCTGAGACTCACGCGTCTATCTTATCTGCGCTAGAAAACCAGGAATCACCGACTCAACTAGCCAAGAAATTAGGCGTCAGTCGCAATACAGTTCATTCAACGAAAAAGCACTTTCTACGCCACAACATCCTGCAGTCGCTCCCCAGAAAGGGTAGATCTACAAAGACTAGCCATTCCAATACGCGCTATATCTAATAGCTTGCCGGAGGCCTGAGATTAGTCATAAGGACCTATGTGCAAGCAGCAGTTCGGATATCCCTTCCTCCACAGTTAAACGGGTTTTAAAGCAATTTCGTTTGGAAAAAGTGGGAAATCACGAAGCGAATACCCTTAACGCCTGAGATAGCAAAAAAAAAAAGCGCCTTCGATTCGCGTGCATGGTTGGAATATCCTCACTAGAAGGATGTCATGTTTTCGGATGCAGGCTCGGTGGGCTAATTCGAGGATGTGCCACAATGGGTAGACTGGTTAGATTATTAAATCGGGATTTACGTTCTATATGGAAGAAATTTATGAACCCTTTTCAACAGTAGATATAACCGTAACCAAGTATACACCGAATTCCGTGTCTTCAGTCGAACCCGCGGCGTCCCGCCCCCGGCGATAACAGATATGCTGGTAGTAGTTTCGGTTTCTCAGATCCAGCTCGGATCCGAATCAACTGCAGTTTGGGTATCTGCGCTGTTCCACTAACTTCAACCTCACTATATTACTGTGACAGGCCAAAGGATCATTTAATGCCAATCTTGAAAGAAAGGACAGCGAGACTTGATTCAGGTTGAATCATCGTTTGGAACTGCATGAAAAGAAAAGAAAGCTGCAAGCTGAGCGCTCCAGAATATGTATATATATATATATATATATGTATATTCTTCATCTCTATGCTCCAAAATGTCAAGCAACTTTGTGTTTGTTTGACTTACTTAGTATCGTTTTAGAGTATGACGCTCTATGGAGCCTTATATATTGTTGGTTTTGAAGTAGGAAGTTCAAGTTTTTTTTACCAGTGTACATTGTCATCACTCTATCTGTTCGCCTGAGACGGATTTCCGACGAAATTGGGATGGAGGGGTTTAACCCGGTCTTAACGCAATACATACCACCGAAATAGGCAGGTCTAACCAGTTTAGGCATGAACTGGTTAAACATGCTAATTGGCCCAGCCGTTGCTATGGATAGAGCGACTAGCCTTAGGGCAAGGCTCAATGCCTGAGGCACTGAACAACAAAAATACACTGCCGTACAAATCCTCAACCAACAGAAAAGACCTTAAGTTGGCTCCATGTTCATGTTATTGCGCACCATGAATCAAAGTGATTGGCTACGATCAATACCACAGTAATGGATATATCTAGTTTCCTGTGAATAGACAACATGCCCGAAACTCGTTCCGTTTGCTCATAATGTCTTTAACCACCAACCGTTAAACATACGCCGACTAATCGCAGCAAAGTTGCACGTCAAGAATACCCGAGACCTGATTAGGGCTCTTGAAGACGTTCTTAATTTCCAGTCTCTGGTCCGCAGCCTTCAACAATGCCTCCCATTCCGACAAGGTTCTCTCTTGGCCGCCGTACAAACACATCATATCGATGTCGTAAAGCACGGCTGCCGTGGACGGATTCTTTTCCTCCATGATCTGATCGCAGATTAGTATTCGACTCCGACGAGAGTCAAGCGCCTCCACAGTGTTCTTCAGGATCTTTATGCAGGCATCGTCCGGCCAATCGTGGAATATATGACGAAAGAGATATGCCGCAGCTCCTAAAGCCGGTAAGCTTAGAGACATATATTGTCGCGCTTTTCCGTCACAATCACTCAGGGACCGCACGGGGATGGGGGCTTGCCATACCTTTGACCGGTTGTGGACTGAAAAAGTCGTAACTCTGCATCTCCAAGTCGGGATGCGTGCTACCACTCTTGGATGCAAACTTGTCTTGAACAATACATTTCAGCCCGAGTCCAGCCCAGTGAGAGAGGACGCTCTGTGCAACCTGCCCCATTCCGCCACCGACATCAACAATTAATCCGCCATCGTCGACAAGCTGGTTAAATGGATACAGCTTGGGAACATCACCCAGTTTGTTGACTGTCACTGCCCGCATTGCCTTGCAGAACCGCTGTCCGCACTCGGGGTCATCCTCCTCCACATAGTCCCAATAATTCTTGGTAGTTGAGAAGGCAAGTTGAAAACCAAGAACATCCTCCGCGGTGGGATCCCGATATTGCAAATTCGCCAGTGCCTCTGCGTGTCGGCTTGCGGCTCGGAACCCATCCTCCAGCCTGCTCAGCGTTCGGGACGTTAGCATTTATCGTTTGCTACAAGAGAGGTTTGTTGGAGGACAAACCTATGGCTGAGAAGATCCGTCATATTTGGTGCGCAGATAACCAGGGAGATCGGGGTGTGGGCATAGTATCCAGGTTCCGGTTCGGCAAATATGCTCTTGTTCACCAGCATCCTCATGATTCGCCCTATTGATTTGCGTGGTAGATTAGCCTCAGGGTTTTGAAGCCCTACGACACAAGTATACTGCACTTACTTAGCAGTTTTTCGTCGGCGCCGACGGCCACGGCCAATTGCTGGACAGCGATCATCGCATGCTGGGGAATGTGTTCGTGGACTCTGAGATCCACTGCGGTCTTCAAGCATGAGCAGAAGTGAAACTAGCGTATAGGGAGGTAGGTAAGTTTGTGTTACAACATTATGACCAGCTGTCTTACCTGTAAGGATGTGGTGAAGAGATACATCTCGGGGTCCATGGTCATCGCGATGACTTTATTGCAGAGCGCGATAATGTTCGACTTTTCTCCGACATTATTGCAAGCCTGCGTCTTCTGGGATGGCAATTGGCCACGTTCTCTTTCGAGATGTTGAACATAGCTGGTCAGTGAGCTGGTCAGATTGATTCCCGGATCTTCACGACAGAGACTCCCTCTGCGATCCGATGGCTCCAATTCTCCAAGTGATCCCATGGTTATAATTCAGGGCGCTTCTGCGTACCAAAGCCGAGTCAACAGAGCTGGTGGGAGGAGGCACACGTCGACTGTAGAGACTAAGCTAAATAAAATTTCACCTAATATGTGGTGATGGTTTTCTGGAGTATCAGCTGCGTCTTGTCAAACTGGCAAAAGTATCAGCTGTGTCATCACTCCTCGATTCTACATACCGGTGTGACCATCAATGCCCATGCAAGGAGCGTGCATATACGTATAGGCACTTTAGCTCTGGGACATTTCAGGTTGTGCTGCGCTTACATTCTTTGTTTGTGACCTGCGGAACGTACGCACAACCTACCTACCAAGCCCGTGTAGTAAGGTTGAAAGAGGATATCGTTATTTGTTCGAGTGGTCCACGGAGATGCCATAACTCATGCGCTTCGAATAGATCTCTGAGGGCAGTTTGGGCTGAATTCATGATATCCCCCATCCATGCCTGAGCAGGAAACGAATCGCTGGTCGTGTAGGTCGATCCCATTTGGATGAGAAAGGTCGGTGAGGACCTTTACAACTGAGGGTCTTTTTGCCCTTGGGGTCACTGACCCTGAAAATGCCGTTTCCCTAATCCAATGAAATGGTACCCGGTCTAAGGAATATTAGAGATAGTGGGCCGCTTGTAGGTAGATCTATACCCGGAGGACGTAGTCCGATGTTAGACCAGGGAAGGGGTAATTGGCGGACTGTAATGATGGTGTAGACTGCAAGCCATTGGGAATGTTGCTAGCTGGCCGACTGAGGTATATCCAGTCTGCATGGGACAGGAGATACTTCCGGCTTCAACAATCCCCGCATGAACCAGAGTTGCAGTAAGGATGCGCAAAAGGGGGATTCAGTGAGTGATGCTTGGCACTATACCAAGAGCTTTCTAACCTATCCACTGCAGGTAGTGAAGAAGTTTAAAATGAGCTTATAAACCTAAATAGCTGGGCAACGCTTTTAGTGGCCCCTTTGATTGATATTCTTGTAGATCAATGAGTCCAGCCCCAGGATTACCGATCAGAAGTGAGGGATCGAATTCCAGCTCAGCCACAACGGCATGGAATTCTGTCACCCTGTCACCCTGTCATCCATGTTGTGCGCTTCGCAGCTCCCTTTCCATCTCATAATGTCTGAGTATCGGACATATGCCCCATTCCCATTGTCCTTGGTCCTGATTAGCCAATCCTGATGTTCAGGGAATTCTGCGCAGTAGACAGTGGAGGCTCGTGGGACTGAAAATGTCGACCACCCGAACGAATGAATATTTGAAGAGCAAGCCCAGAATCCGGCGAGACATGCATATACATGTAGCCATGCTCGACCAATCGCAACAGCAGGAAGAAACTAAGGTCTGTTGTTAGCAGTCCCGAGATCCTCCGCAGAAGACTATTGAAAGTGACGTGGTCAATTAGTTATGAAAACTCTGTAACGAGCCCATCTCGATATTTACAATCGCCGAAGTCTTGGCGCCAACCTGCAGCCTCGAGTTCAAGTACAGGCATTCCACAAACACGCCTAAAAGAATGTTACTAATTCATGATTTGTACGCAAAGCCTGCAAGACCAACACTACTCAAAGTGGAAGAAGAATACATTCTATTCTATTCCCTACCTCTGTCTTCAGGAATGGGTCTTGTTTTCTCTAATACGATGAACCTAAACTGTGACGTGAGTTTGACACCTGACAAGAGAAATACTGATCTCTCTAGAGGATATACTCTCGTAGGAATAGTAGACTATGACACTAAACTAGAGATGATACCATTGAGAATTGGGAAATAATAAGAAAGGCATTGGAAGTCTAGCTATTACTTATTGGGAATGAGTCGAGTCCCGATTCAACCAGAAAGCCACTCGTACAGACACAGGCTTGCCCTACATCCAATTAATTGAGATTGATCGACGCAGAATGCAATTGCTGGCGCAGCCCCACAGTTACTCCACGCATCGAAACTTCGCTGCATCAGACCAGGACTCCAGAATCTCTAGCCGATTGCCGTCTCCATCGAGGGCGAGAAATCGGTTGCTATATTGGCCACTGGGCTCGATCGGGATTAATCCGTACTGTTCCAATGGATCACCCCCAGTCAGCTGTGCACTCAATCTCGACAGGAAAAAGCGATTCCATGAAATAAAGTATGCAACTTAGGTTCGCTTTACATGCCTCGTAAGCACCATCACTAAAGCCGCGTGGTTCCACCCAGATGTGGTAATCCTTGTCCTGGAAGTGCAGAGTAACCTGTGGAACCAAGTGAGTAAGGACTGACCATAATGATTCACAACTTGTGCTATGGATGCAAAAGGTTTCCGAGATGTCTATTACCTTCTTGGGAGTCCCAAACTTCCCGATTTTCTGGCGGGAGCAGGAGTTAGTACACGTCCTCTAGTAGCAGTGGGGGATTACAAGCAGAGTACTGACCCCATCATCCTCACATAGCCAGAACTCTGCATCTGCACGCAGTATAGTCTTCTGCTTGTCGTTCTGGATGATACTGAGATGACCATGTTCATCTATGGCCAATGTTTGGCCTGTGAATGAGGTGTAAATACCCGAGAGCGTCGGCATGACTAAAGGTTTAGAACGGGGGAGGAGGATATATGGAGTTGCACGGAATGTCGAGAGGCCCTTTGAAGAGGTGGTAGGGCCTCTATTGCTTCTACTATATATACGTTCACCGACAGCGATTTTGCGTGGCGTGGCATTGGTCTAAGCCTGCAGTAGGCTGTCACGTCGTATATTATTCCGGACTCGGGCAAAAGAGCTCGAAAGATCCACCCTCCTTGCATCTTGCTGGAATAGCGCTTACATTCCTTGATCCTCCGCGACTGGACCTCTCTGAGCATCTCGTTCCAACATCGGTATGTATGTTTTTAAAATAGCGGTCAAGCGGATGTGCGTGGGCTCATGAGTAGTCGAGAGAAAGTCTTTATTTTGTCTGGATCTGCAATATAAGTAGGTGTATAGTCAGAGAAACCAGTATTGTTCAAGCGTTTGGCAATTGCTACCTACATCTTTTCTCTGTCTCCTACTAGGACTTTCACCGTAACTTGCAGCATGGGCTCCATCGGAAACGAACAATGCCTACTACCAGAATGTGTGCAATCCATGCATGCTCCCTCGGTCATGCAGGAGGAGATGATATTATCTACAGTCGCTGATCCTTCCCATGAATCCTATTTTGAAACCTACCATTTCCGCGCTCCCGGGATCCTGAGCCCAGGCCAGCTCAATCGAGCAATTCACGCAGTGGCAAGGAAGCATGCGGTACTGCGATCTGTCTTTGTTCATGAAAGGCCATCGTCAACAAATGTACAAATTGTGGTGCTGGATGAGGCATACGCCCTCCAACGAGCGAGGCTACTAAGCCTGGAGCCGATCGATGAGGGGAATCGTTTCGGTATTCTTCAACTTGAAGCCATAGGAACAGATGGCTGGGATGGAGCTATGCCGTGGAAGTTTTCATTGACTGTTTGTCAGCAAGAGCAAGAGTCTTACATTACCCTGCTATACCATCATGCACTACTTGACGGTTGGTCCGCGAGGGCTCTTCTACATCTGGTTCAGGAGGAGATGCAGATCCCCGGAGCTGCTTTAAAGGGGTCTGACTTTTTCTCTTTAGCACGACAGCTGCTGGAGCACGATTGGCAGCAGGATGAGACACTACTCCGCGAGCGACTGGGGCAGATTGAGGCATCGCCCATACTCAGCCCTGGACCAGTTCGGAATGGTCATCTACGAGTGGGGGAGGTGACCCGTAAAGTTTCTATGACTTCTGATATCAGTTTACCGGATCGACCAGCTTTTCCTGCACGGTTTGTTCGGCTCGCTCTTGCAATGACGATGTGTGTTTTTAGGAATAGTGATCACGCCTTGTTCCTGGAAATTACTTCCGCTCGAAGCCGACTCTTTGCTCTGGACCAAGACGTAATGGGGCCGGTATTGGTCCCCCAAGTGCGAAATATTTACTTGAAGGAAAAGACGAAGCTCGGAGAGTGTGCGCAGCAACTGCGGTCATCCCACGACCCCCAACATAACCTCAGTGTTGGCCAGCTGAAGTCTTTTCTACCCGAGAGCAGCAGGAACCTTGACGTCTGTCTGGTCTGCCAAACGAATCAATCGTATCCTTCGAATGGTGTCGGAGACTGGGAGTGGACCGGGGGGAAAGCGCGGAACGACCTCCCCTTTATTGTAGAGATTTTACCCCCAAGGGAAGGAGAATTCCTTGTCAAGATACGATACCACCAGCACCGGTTCGAAAAGGATTTTGCATACTCCTTTCTTGAGTTCCTTTGCCAAACCTTAACATGGATGCAAGCCACCGGCGATAACATTGATCACCAGACATTTGCCGCAGCTGTATCGGAAATATGTCGAGAGGGGAATTACAGACGGCATTACCTGTCGTTGAGTTCTAGAGCCTTTACGGATGACCCTGTTAGTGCGCACGACCTGATTGAACAAGCTGCTAGCAAGTGGCCCAGCAAGATCGCCTTGGAAGCGGAGCATCGGCAGTTTATGACATACGCTGAGCTTTCTAACGCGAGTAGTAGGGTAGCCAAGGGTCTGCGGCACTGCTTTCCTTGTAACTCGCAAAACCAACCCCTTATCCCCATCTGTTTTGACAAAAGTGTAGATATGGTGGTTGCTATTCTGGCAGTCCTCAAGGCTGGCGGTGCATACGTGCCATTAGATCCTTCTCAGCCCAGGGAGCGGCTTGTAAGCATACTAACCGCCTGCCATGCCACTATTGTCATTGCAGGTCAGACAGACCTCCAGGATATTCTGCACTCAACATGCAGTGAGCTAGGAATCCTGGTAAAGTCTATTGAGAGCCTTGCCGAGCAGGATAAGTCCACCGCTCAATCACCTGGGTCGGAGCATCTGTCTCCATCGTCTCTGGCATATGTACTATTCACATCCGGGTCTACAGGTGCTCCAAAAGGAGTCATGGTGGAACACCGAAACCTCGTTGCATTCATGAAAGCTGGAGAGGGAAATGCGGATGGTACGTGGACATCCACGCGACTGCAGCTGGCCGCGTACAGCTTTGATGCATCTATTGGAGATATCTTCGCCAATCTCTATCGCGGTGGCCGTCTAGCCCTGGTGCAGCGCAACAAAATGCTTTCGAATTTGAATGACTGTCTGGAGGAGCTGTTAGTTACTCATCTTGCATTGACTCCAACGATTGGTGATCTTATCATTCCGAATGTACCTGCCCGGTTGCAGACACTTATGTTTGGTGGCGAGCCTTTCCACCAGAGCTTTCTAGAGCAAGCCCCAGCAGAAGCACGAATCTGGAATACCTGTGGTCCTACCGAAACCGTTGTGGATGTTGCCTGCTGCGTACTGCAGAAGGGGGAGACAGATGTACCCATTGGTCGACCCTTCGGCCAGTGCCAAATATATATATTACAGCACGGAAGTAGCGATACAGCTGTTCCTCCGAACGCGATCGGAGAAATATGTGTCGCTGGCCCTCAGGTTTCACGTGGCTATCTAGGGCGGCCCGATCTGACCAGCCATGTGTTTGTCATAGACCCATTTCGTCCATCGCAAAGGATGTATCGCACTGGTGATTTAGGACGCCTCAACCACCGAGGCATGCTGGAACATCTCGGCCGAGCAGATGGCCAGGTCAAGCTCCGCGGACTGCGAGTGGAAACCGGCGAAGTCGAGGTGACAATCCGGCAGTCCTCTTCTATCATTGTACAGATATCTGTCAGCGTCGACCAACTCGAAGGTTACGATCGCGAGGCTCTCATTGCATGGCTAGTTCCAGAAGATGGCAGAAGTGCGCAAGACATCGAACTTGCGTGGAGGGAAGAGATACTACCTGGTTGCCAACGGCGGTTGGTACCGTACATGATTCCAGAAGTGTGGATCATACTTCCACATCTCCCCCTTACGATTAGCGGCAAGCTGAACAGGGGCACTCTATCTGCGTGGATGAAAAGTATTGCAACCGGCGGTACCCTTGAAGATCTCCATGTACTAGCGGCACCATGGAAAACACGAGAAACAACAAAGAGACTGCCAACAAGCCCGGAAGAAAGGCTCATCGTAGCAACTTGTGCGAACGTACTGGGCGCAATGCCCCATGGTGTATCTCTTGACTCCACATTTATATCTCTTGGTGGTAATTCTCTTTTGGCCATGCGTGTTTTGGCCGCATTGCGACAAGAAGGGATGGATTGCTCCTTACGGCACCTGCTTGGCCCCATGACTCTGGGTGATGTAGCAAGGGCTATATGCCCCTCCAGTAGACCTGAAACGCAGATGGCAAAGGTGCTTTATCATGAGGATAGCTGGGAACGCATCGTTGCTGATTCCAACATTGGCGTCGACATGATTGAGGCAATTTATCCATGCACTCCCCAGCAAGAAGGCCTTATCCAGGGCAGCCTTCACGGAGATGGGTCCGCGTACTTTGCTACCATTACCGTACATCTAGGTAGTTCGACCAACCTGGACACGCTCCACGCCGCCTGGAAACGTTTGCTATTTAATTGCGACATGTTGAGGACTGCCTTTGTATCATCCTCGGAAGTACACAGCCCGCCAGCCAGTGAGTCCAACATCCTTCAGGTCGTTCTGAAACAGTCCGCCGAGGATGTGAGACGGGTGGCTAGTCTCAATAACAGAGATATTGCGTTCCAATTCGGATCAATTCCGCTGTCAGCGGAAGTGAGCCCGGCGTCTGTCAATGGGTCGTTCAACTTGCAGCTCAAGATCCACCATGCCTTATATGATGAAGCATTTCTCTCCAGGATCATAGCGGAGCTTTCCGTCATATACGATGCACTGGGAACGGGAGGCCCAGAAGCTGCTTTGGCCCCCAGCCGGCCGTTCTCCGCATTTGTGGCGTCCCTCTGCAATGATGATCCAGAGGCGTCGAAGAAGTTCTGGAAGAACTACATGCAAGACGTGGTTCCCACCACTTGGCCCGTTGCCAGTGGAGTTCGAAGAATACGAGAAGAAGGAGAGCAAAAGGTACACGCAAGCGTCTCGAAAACATGGACCGCAAATGCCATTGCGTTGGGGCAGAGTATCCAAGTAACCCCTGCATCGATTGTACGTGCAGCATTGGCTCTGGCCCTGGCACTGTATTCTCAGACGGATGATGTGGTGTTTGGCGAAGTGTCCAGTGGCCGATCCGATCATGAACATTTTACCCTCGGGCCTTGCCTCGCCACACACCCTGTCCGCATCCAGATTGATCGGAAATCGTCGTCCTGGATGCCAGAGGTTGTGGCTGAGGCCCTGAACTCATATCTAGCTACAATGCCATATCAACATTATGGACTAGCCAATATCCACCGAGAGATGGCAGATCCAGACCTGATGGCCTTCCAGGTTCTATATGCACACCAAGAGGCATTTGCGGAGTATAAGGTTGCTAATCGTTTCCGCGTGGAGTCGGCTAGGTTGCAAGATCTCGCATTTCCCCTCCTACTAGAATCAAGATGCGATAAAGAGACCGGTGAACTGGCTCTGGAATGCACATTTGACAAGCGATACTTCGGTGATCAGGACGTCTTCTGGTTTCTACGATCTATATGTCGCACGCTTGACATGCTCTCACTGGCTGCTGAGGATAAATTCACCGGACCAAGGCTCATAACAGATGTCGTGGATGAGGAGATGAGACGGGCTATCGAGAAATGGTCCACAAAGCAGACCCCATTCCGCTCAACATCCACGGGGAACGTGGCAGCCTGCGCCCACGAGCTCTTCGATATACAGGTGGCTTCCTCCCCACAGAAGATCGCAATTCAAGTGAACCAGTCTGAGTTCATTACATACAAGGAGCTGAATAAGCGATGTAACGAGCTGTCCAACGCGCTGGTGAACTGGTTAGGGAGCCTCGCGCCCGAGCAATCACAAGGCCAACCGATTGTCGGCCTCTGCTTCAACAATCCCGTCGACATGGTCATTGCTATGATTGCTGCACTAAAGGCGGGTGCAGCATATCTGCCGATAGACCAAAATCACCCACAGCGTCGCATCCAGCAAATTCTCTCCTTATCGGGTGCAACAGTGATGCTGGGCGATGGTGAACCTGGGGTGATGGGAAAGCTTCAGGCCGCCAGCAGGCAGGGAAAACCTGTACTTCTTAGCATTGACAGGCTTCTAGCTTTGCATGAAGGGCAGACGAGGAAACCCGCGCTCAGGCCCACTCCGACATCTCTGGCTTATGTGATCTTCACATCTGGATCTACGGGAAAACCAAAAGGAGTGATGGTCGAACACGGCAACCTAGCGGCTTTCATGCAAGCCAATGAACCGGAGGCCGTAGGAACTTGGACTTCGGTACGGCTGCAGCTGGCAACGGCCACTTTCGACGCAGCAACAGGAGAAACCTTTGGCACGCTCGGATGTGGCGGACGGCTGGTCATCGGACAAACCCATGAAGTACTCGCTGCCCTGCCGGACTGGCTAGAAAGAACCCATATAACGCACCTCTTTATCACGCCTCGCGTAGCGGCAAACTTCCTGACCGGCATTGACCCCCCGTACCTTCGTACCCTCCATATCGGCGGAGAAGCCTTTGACCCTAGCATACTATCGCATTTGCCCCCTGGGTGTGATGTGTATAACGTGTTTGGTCCAACAGAAACCACAATATATGCAACGCATTATAGAATTCGCAAAGGAGATGAGCATCGTCGCAATATCCCGATCGGCTATCCCTTTGGCAGCTGTCGGCTATACATTCTCGACCCAGACACCTTAGAACGAGTCCCCGTCGGTGTGATAGGAGAGATTTGCATAGGAGGACCTCAAGTGACAAGGGGCTACCAAGGTCGGCCAGACCTGACGTCTCGGTCTTTTCTTACTGACCCTCATGCTGCCGGCCAGCGCTTGTACCGAAGTGGAGACCTTGGGCGGTTCTGTGGAGATGGGTCAATAGAACACCATGGCCGAATTGATGGCCAGATTAAGCTGCGTGGTTTACGAATCGAAGTGTCTGAGATAGAGTCATTATGCCTGGGGCATACGATAGTAACCGCCTGTGCGGTAATTGTGCGAGACCGAGATGAGGGTCAGGGCCTCATTGCCTTTATCCAAACTCGGAAGGACGACCAGACAAGCCCCTACTCACAGGACTGGGAGGAAACAGAGTCTATACTGCATCGTCATCTCGAAAGCCGCCTACCAAGCTACATGGTTCCCTCTCGTTTGGTTCCTATCGAAGCCATGCCCCTAACAACTAGCGGGAAGGTCGACCGACGAGAACTCGGCGCTCGAGCAGAGGCGATGGACCGCGAAGGGAAATTATTTACCAGCCAGCATACCAGTCACGCTCAAAACTGGGAGCAAGGTAGTATTGAAGACAGAATTGCTGACGCATGGGTCCAGGTTCTTGGCATTGACAAGGCAAACATCGCCCCCAATGTTGCATTTTCTCGTCTTGGGGGTGATTCGATTCGCGCCATTCGCCTGTTATCGCTGCTCCGTAAGACTGGGCTGAAGGTCCATATGACTGATGTGAGCAACGCATCCACGATCTGCTCACAGGCAAAGTGTGCGGCCTCCCACGCAAGTGCGGCCGGAACGACCGCGAATGACGCAACGGACGTTGATGCGGATACCGAGCCGGTAGTACTAGGTCCCATTGCTAGAAGATATGCTGGTGTCCAGCTGAAGTATGCTGCCCAGCGAGGAGAACAGGTAATAGATCATTTTAATCAGTCGGTGCTGCTGGACGTGACCGGGGTCTCCCCCTTGCGGCTTCAGCTCGCCTTACAGCGTCTTCGTAATCATCACCATGCTTTACGGGCAGTAGTTCACTGGAGCTTAGATCTTCCCCTGGAGGAGTGGACAATGAGGATAATTCCTTGTTCGGACATGAAGCCGCTAGTCCTGGATAGCCCGCAGACACTCACACTAGAAGCCCTAAGAGATCAAATCCAGCACCGCCTAGCTGGACTAGATATCCGCCGGGGTAAGGTGATGGACGCCGTCCTCTATTGCCTGGATGGTGACAACCGTATGTTCTTGTTTTGGACCGTCCATCATTTTGTGGTCGACATTGTCTCCTGGCAAATCCTTCGTGAGGATCTGAGCCTCTTGATACGGGCAAAGGAGGAAACGGAATCTATCACCTTGCAGCCTACCACGATGAGCTTCCTCGCGTGGACACGGGAAGGCCAGATGAAGTATCAAGATGGGTCGCTGACCGCAGGCAGTACTCCTGAGCCACCGGAAGACTCACTATCGTCACTTGCTTCCGATCGATTGCCCCAGTGGATTCGTCAACCGGGGCTGGTTCCAGTTCAAGTGAATCGAATCACAACCTTCGCTAGACTGGACCCAAGCACTACAGAGCTACTTCTTGGCCTTTCAAACAACGTATTTTCGACGGAGCCTCTCGACCTGCTACTAGCGGGGTTAGCAATGACGATATCCAAGCACTTTACAGGTGCCATTAACCGCCTTTTGATTGGATTGGAAACCCATGGTCGACATACCGGAGCCAACACAGCCGATCTCTCGCGATCAGTAGGGTGGTTTACCGCAATTATACCTATGATACTTGACTGCGGGGCTGAGCCATTGACTATCGAGTCCATGGTGCGTCGGGCTAAAGATCGGCGCTGTCTTTTGATGGAAAACGACAGAGGGTTTCGCCAGTTCGTAGCTTCCCGCTGGAGTACATCCAATACCCCCAATAATGAGATTATGCCACTGGTTTTCAATTATCAGGGGGTGAGACAGCAGCTTCATGGTCATGATGAAATGATGCTACATCCAGTCCAACTTCCAGGCTTACGCTGGATGGAGACTTGTCCATATGCCGTGCCTCTGTCACATGCATCATTTGAACTGTATGTGCATGATGGGCAGGCCTATATTGAGGCCACATGGCCGTGCGATGGTACGGGAAATGAGGAGGATATCGCCGCACTCTTGGGCCAGCAGATAACAAACATCTGTCAGTATCTGGCCGAAAAGGATCGCCTTGGCAAGACTTCAATTAGTGCATCGTCGACATCGGCTTTCGGCTTTCTGCCAGCCGATTGCTTCGATCGTGTGTTTCACCTGTACACTGAAGATACAGTCGAGGATATAATTCTGTGTACCCCAATGCAACGGGCTCTTCTTTACGAAGGTATTGCCGATCATAAGTCGCGATCGTATGTTACCTGCCGTGTGTGGCGCATCCCCACAGATCAATCAATATGCTCGCAGGTTGAGGGGGCTATCAACAGCCTGATACAGCAGCATGGGATACTGCGCACTGTTTTCCATATCGACCCAGAAGTAGGGCCGTTGGCTCTAGTGTTGCGTGGTACCCACACTCTTGCCACGAAAGCGATTGGACAAATAGAGGTGAAAGATCCTGCCGAGTTGGAGGAGATGGTCTCAAGCCTCATATGCAACCCCCACTATGGAAACCCAATGAGGCAAGCGTTCTACGTACGAGTAGTGCGTACCGCTGATGGTTCCGCCGCAAAATTAATATGGCTCCTACATCATGCCCTTATTGACGCCTGGAGCCAAGATCTTCTTCTCAAGGAGCTGACCCAGATTCTTGTCAACGGTTGCCCGACCAAATTGCCGATTCCACAGCCGTCATTCGGCTCATTTGCTCGCTTTGTGGCTTCTGATATTCGTGCAAACCATGGCCATGACCAATTCTGGTCGGAGACCTTGAAAGGGTTAGAGCCTCTGTCTCTCCCTCTCTCATTGATGTCTGCAAGGCCTATGGAGGCCGAGGCGGTGGTCGTGGAGCAAGCCTGTAATCTGACCATTCTATCGCAAAATTGCATATCTCCTGCGGCACTGGTGTCACTGGCGTGGAGTCTTGTCCTCTCGGAGGTCCTTGACACCAATGATGTTACTCATGGAATGCTATTCTCAGGGCGACAGGTTCCACTTGATGGCGTGGCAGATATTATCGGCCCCTGTATCAGTACCGTCCCCATTCGTACCCAGCTGAACCGACACGATAGAGTCATAGATATTCTGCAGTCGACGGAGGCTGCAATTCGCTTGGCTAGCTTACACAGTATGATTGGCGTTGATGGCGTGGCTCGAGCAGCCGGCTTGGAGGCCCCGGCCTTAGTGAACACCCTTCTTAATTTCTTTGGTGTCCGAACAGACGTGCTAAAAAATGATGACTTGAATTCAATACTCGAACTAGACAGTGTTGACGATGGACTGCCACCCTCCATTACGCTATCATGCTGGCAGCGGGAGATAGAGCCCAACGTTATCGTCATGCGTCTGGAGCGTCGACATCCTCTGCAGACGGGAATGGCGCAGTGTCTGATGGAGCGCATGGCCTGGTACTGCCATACACTATCACACCAAACAAATAGCACACTTGACAGTGCCTTAGTGATCACTCTCAAGGAAAACCAACTGCTTACGCAATGGAGTGAGGCCGACAACTCGCGGCCATCTGATCCGTATCCTTGCATCCACGATCTCATCACAAGAAGGGCAGCAGAGATCCCAGAAAAGGTGGCCATTCAGCTCACAGAATCACAGTTCGTTACATACGGTGAGATAGACCGGAAGTCCACGACCATCGCTAGGGTGATACAAGGGCTTATTCATCGACCGTTGGGGTTTACTCCGCCGTTGATCCCAATCTGCTGTGACCGAAGTGTGGAAATGGTGATCGCGATTCTTGCCGTATTGAAGGCTGGAGCAGCATATGTACCGCTGAATATCTCAGATCCAGAGGGAAGACTAGAAGCTATCCTGCGTCAAACTGAGTCTACGATAATCATCGACGGCTTGCTTGGCAATGATAGCCGTCACAAACTTCAAGCGGTTGGTGACCGCACGTCGACCTCGGTGTACACGGTCGATGGCCTCTCTACAATGTCCCCCTCCGAGGCCCCCCTTCGTAAAGTCCATTCTGAGTCGCTCGCGTACGTTCTGTTCACCTCCGGGTCCACGGGGGAGCCAAAGGGGGTGATGATCGAGCACCGCAATCTTACATCGTTCATAACCACTCAACACAAACAGATCATTGGCAGGTGGACGAGTTGTCGTATGCCAGTGGCTGCATATACATTCGATGTGTCAATGGCGGACCTATTGACGAGTCTGGCTATTGGTGCTCGTGTGGCATTAGTGGAAAGTGAGAAAATGTTGGCTTCACTGCCATACTGGGCAGAGGAAATGCTAACCACTACCCTATCCATGACCCCATCGCTGGCCACTCTTCTTGCCCAAAAGCTTCCACCACAAGTAGCCGTCTTGATCCTAGCGGGAGAGACTTTCGATCCAAACATCATGAAAACCCTTCCCCGTGAATGCCGTGTTTGGAATGGATACGGCCCGACGGAAACTTTCTATTCATCGTTTCACCTAGTGGATGCCGAAGCGACGCAGGTACCGATAGGAAGGACGTTTGGTGGTAATCAAATCTATATTCTTCGACCAGGCAGTGACGACCGTCAACCCATAGGAGCAATTGGCGAGATCTGCATCGGCGGGACCCAGGTTGCCCGCGGATATCTTGCACGGGAAGACTTAACAAATCGGTCATTTACACGACACCCTTACGATAGCTCGGCGATGTTGTACAGAACTGGGGACCTAGGGCGGTTCATGGATGGTGGTGTGATCGAATATTTGGGGCGGATGGACGAGCAAATCAAGATCAGGGGGCAGCGAACTGAGCCTGCAGAAATTGAGTCAGTCGTTCATGCCGCTTCGCCTCATATATCCCATGTAATCGTCGATCTTTATAACCTGAAGCGGGGAGGTGGGCTACCGCGTCTGATTGCCTTCATATCAACAAAGGATACGGTGCCTCCCAGCCTGTGCCAAACGTTCATCCAAGATGATGTAGAGCCATCTTGTCGAAATCATCTTCCAGCTCATATGATCCCATCGACATGGATTTATGTGCGCACAGTTCCCCTCACAACCAGTGGTAAAGTGGACAAGAGGAGGTTACGCTCGTGGATGTTGAGATTGGAAGAAGGGGAAAAGTTGCCGGAGGCATCGATCATAGAGCTTTCTCCGGCGAAGGAAATGAAGGTAGCGGCACATAAGAATATTTCGCGAGACCCTGAAAGCCCTACTGAGACCACGTTGAGAGAATCATGTGCCCAACTATTAAAGGTTGATGAAGCCATGGTTTCATTAGAAATGTCTTTCATATCATCCGGAGGCGATTCGCTGCTGGCATTGCAGTTGAATGCTAGGCTGAGGGAAAGGGGATTTAAATGCACCCCGCGAGACATTGTAGAGGCTCGGAGTCTTTCTGAGCTAGCGAAAATGCTACAGTCATCAAACGAGACTGGCTCTATGGTGCCCATCGCAGACTGGACACTAGATCTTGACGAGATGGCACAACTCCCCGACATCGGAATTCAGGGCTGGGAGCCGATAGTGCAACGCGCTGGAATCAATTTTAACGACGTGCAATATGTCATGCCATGTACTCCATTTCAGGAAGGAGTGCTTTCCAGCAGCGATGAAAGTGGAATCTCTGCTGGATACTTGGTCCATATGAAGCTTGGCCTGGGCAGGGGAGTAGACATAGAAGCGCTCAAATGTGCCTGGCAGAAAACCATTGATGACGAGGAGATGTTGCGCACTACGTTCATCTCTGCTGATACGTCTGATATACTACCACCTGGACAGGTCAGCTCACTCCTTCAAGTGGTCCTGTCTCCCAGCTCCACCCAGGCAGTTCGGGTTAAAACAATGCAAGTGGTCGGAAGTCCTGCGACTCACAATGCCACTTCTCCATCTCATCTATGTGTACAGGGGAAGGCTCAGCAGGGTCATATTCCTGTTGCCGCTGTCGTTGCCATTGGCAACCAGGACCGCGAGCAAGATTATACATTACTCTTAACGATTCATCATGCATTGTATGACGGCGCCTATATTTCCTTGCTGTTAAAGGACCTGTCAGATAGATACCGATCAATTGCAAGCAAGCAGAAAGTTCCTGAAGTGAGAGGCCAGCGCATTCCCTTCTCGACCTATGTCCGCTTCGTGCACTCTAAGCTAGGTAGGACGCCGTCCGCGTCTACTGTTGGCAAATTTTGGAAAGGCTATTTGGCAGACGCGATGCCTAGTATATGGCCTCTTCCACACGGGATGCAAAGTTCTATCATATCAGTCAAGAGCCCAGAGACAGCAATGCTAGAATGGACAGGCAAGCTTCAAGCCGCAGCTTCCAAAGTTCAAATTTCTGCCGCTGCAATTGTTCGTGCAGCATTAGCACTGACTGTTGGTGAACACACCAATGCTACTGATGTGGTACTAGGCGAGGTTTCCATGGGCAGACCTGATATTCGCGGCCACGGCGATGCAACCGCGAGGTTCATTACAGGACCATGTGCAACCACCCATCCAGTTCGGATTCGATTAGCCCAGGACGGGGGATCCAAAAGGCATACGATGCTGCGGGTTTTGCGCGAGTCTTTTGTATCGTACATGGAAACACTCCCCCACCAGTTTTATGGGCTCTCACGCATTAGAGAGCAATCTAGTCGCAAAGACCTACTTCCGTTTCAAGTTCTCCTTGTCTATCAAGATCAGGATGCTTTTAGCCGGAAGGGAGGACTCATAGGAGATGATGCGTTCCAGGTACAAGGGGGCAACATGGGGCAGATGGGCTTCCCCATTGTTATTGAATGTTACCCTCGCATTGGTGATTCAGGGGTTGTACTTCACTGCACATATGCACCAGACGTGATCGACAAGCATAGCATTGAATGGTTCCTTCATCATGTATCTCAATCAATCGATGCACTCACACAAGTGGACCCGACCGGGAGCGACAGTATGAGGTTGGCACGAGTCCCTCTCAGTGCCCAAGAGACTAAGCAACTTGAGCTGTGGAGCCGATGTCATAAAGCAAAAGAGGAAAGGCAAACTGATGATACTCCTCCCAGGGAGATATCCTCCATCACACACATCTTCGATGATATTGCGAGTATTATGCACGAAAAGGTTGCCTTGCAATTTGCCCAAAATGAATACATTACTTACGGTGAACTGCTGCAGCGGAGCACAACCCTTTCCCTGGCGCTACAAAGGTACTTGGTCTCATTGAACGACGTCAGTTCACAACAGCCGATTATTCCAATCTACTTCGAGCGCAGCACGGATATGGTTGTCGCAATCTTGGCAATCCTTAAGGCAGGTGCTGCATTTGTACCTCTTGAGCGCGATTACCCAGCAGGGCGACTTATCAGTACAGTGAAAGCCATCGGCGCTTCGCTCATTATTTGTGGGAAGACAGACAAAGTCAACAAGACCCTGGTTTCTGTGTCCCATGCAACGAACACCAGCCTCGTTGCCATTGAGGATCTCAAACCTAGAACAATCTCCTCGAGTTATGCAGCAATCTCACCGCGTTGCATCGATGACTCTCACATTGCCTATGTGCTGTTTACCTCGGGCTCGACGGGAAACCCTAAAGGCGTGGTAATCACCCATCGCAACCTGCTTGCCTTCATGAAACATAACCACCCAGATATCCATGGACGGTGGTATACCTCTCGGATGCCCGTGGCCTCATACACGTTCGATGTTTCCATGGCAGATATCATTACGACTCTTTGTTACGGCGGTAGGGTAGTTCTCGTTCCGGTACAAAAGCTACTCCCATCACTAGGCGACTGGGTTGAATCTTCCATGACCTCTCATATCTCTCTAACTCCAACAATCGCAAATATGCTCTGGGAGCCTGTCAAGAACACTGCGATAGCATTTCCGTTCCTCAGCGTTTTATTGTTGGCTGGTGAAGTATTCGATGTACAGCTTATGACTTATGTCCCGGAGGAGTGCCGAGTCTGGAATGGATATGGTCCAACTGAAACCTTCTACGTGACGTTCTATCGTGTTCCGAAAGTACATACCAAGGAGCAAGGCCCAGTATCCATTGGCTATCCCTTCGGAGAGAATGGAATTCACCTCTTACGTTTTGAATCTTATGACCGTGTACCAGTTGGGTGTATTGGGGAGATTTGTGTAACGGGGCCACAAGTAGCGAGGGGATATCTTGGTCAGCCAGAGCTAACACAGCAACATTTCGCCCGTGATGTGCCAGGTCTCGCAGCAGAGGGCCCCCTGTATCGGACAGGCGATATGGGAAGGTTCCTACCCGATGGGAGATTAGAGTATCTGGGTCGATTCGATCGCCAGATCAAGATACATGGTCAACGTGTGGAGCTTATAGAGATTGAGATGGTGATATCACAGCATATTTTGGTTGATTGTTGTGCGGTCGTGATGGTGAACAGTCCCACTGGAGATGCCTTGGTTGGATGGTATGTGATGGCTTCTGACCAAGCCCCCGGCAATGTGTCCGACGCAAATATTGCCATTCAAATCAAAGCGTGGATTGCTAGCCGACTGCCTGCTCATATGGTGCCCTCCTATATGTTCCCCTTGGAGGGGGAGCTCCCTCGCGTCCGCAGTGGAAAAGTAGATCGCCAACTGTTGGCTGAGAGAGCCACAGGTCTCTTGACAGACTCTGTGTTGTCTAGTCAACACCAGGACACCTATGTTGCACCTACGACGGAGAGAGAGAAGGTAATCTGTGAGATCTTCGAGGAAGCACTGGCCCAGCGCGTAGGTGTGTTGGACAATTTCGTCCACCTTGGTGGGCACTCCATCCTCGCCATCCGAGCGGTATCCAAGATCAACCGTCGCTTCCACGTCAACCTTGCCTTCAAAGATCTGTTTGAGTTTGCGACCGCCCGGGATTTGGCACGACGACTCGAGTCAGCGACTACGAACCACAAGGGGTACACTCCCATCCCCAGACTCCCTCGGGATAACACAATGATCAGGCAGTCATTCGCCCAGGGCCGACTCTGGTTTCTAGATCAGCTGTATCCTGGGTCGGCTTGGTATCTGATGCCTCTTGGCCTTCGGATCCGGGGAGAGCTCCGTCTCGATGCTTTAGAAGCGGCCGTGTCTGCAATCGAGGAGAGGCATGAAACACTGCGGACGACCTTCGAACATCATGATGGACAAAACATCCAAGTCGTCCATCCATTCGCACATCGCCAGCTGAGGGTTGTTGAGATGCCGTCTGCAGTGGACGAAGAAGGTCTGCTTCGCGCCCTAAAGGAGGAGCAATCTACCCCGTTTGATCTCCGAGTACATCCAGGATGGAGACCGCTGGTTTTTCGCCAGAATAAGACGTCACATATTCTATCGATTGTTATCCATCACATTATTTGCGATGGTTGGTCCGCCGGCGTACTCTTGAAAGAATTGAGTGTTTTCTATTCCGCGGCACTCCACGGTGGCCCTATCCATGCGCAGCTGCCACCGCTACCCATACAATACCGCGACTTCTCGGATTGGGAGAGTCAAGAGAGCCAAAGGGTAGAGCATGAGCGCCAGCTAAAGTATTGGATTGAAAAGCTCACAGGGAGTAAACCGGCCGAGTTCATCGGTGACAAGCGAAGGCCTCAGACACCATCTGGGCAAGCAATCTTCGAGGAAGTTAATATTGACGGTGTGATGTACGATGAATTACGCCAATTCTGTAAGAAACATCAACTAACACCCTTCATTGTTCTACTGGCTGTCTTCAGAGCCACCCACTACCGGCTTACCAGAGAAGACGATGCAACTATCGGTACCCCAATTGCCAACCGAGGCCGGGAAGAACTCCACGACTTGATTGGACTCTTCGTCAACGTGCAGTGCATCAGGCTCAAGATCGATGATGATTATACCACGTTTGAAGACCTTGTGAAGCAGGCCAAGTCGACTGCTACTGAGGCCTTTTCCCACCAGGATATTCCTTTCGACCAGATTGTGTCTGCTCTGCAACCCGACAGAGAAACAACTCAGAATCCCTTGGTCCACACAGTGTTTGCCGTTCACCCGCAAACACAAGGGAAAGAGGAGTTGGAGGGGCTTGTTACAGAGCAGGTCCTTCTGTCACGTACCACTCGATTTGATCTCGAATTTCACCTGTTCCAGGAAGAGGATGGTTTGAGGGGTCAGGTTGTGTTTGCTCAGGATATATTTTTCCCGGAAACCGTCCAAGCGATGATCTCCGTATTTTACGCCGTTCTTCAATCTGGGTTGAACCAACCAAGCACGAGAGTTGCTTCGCTCGCCTTGCTCAATGACCTCTCTCCGCATGATATGGGTGATCTGCTGAGCATAAACCGGACGGACTATCCACGGGATGCGACTGTAGTTGATCTATTTCGTCAGGAAGCACGATCCCACCCACACAGCATTGCAGTCGTGCATGAAGGAAAGGCAGTCACATATGGTGACCTTGACCGTCAGTCGGATAATCTTGAATGGTGGCTACGCAGCCTCCATCTTGGCCAGGAGACGATCGTCGGGGTGCTCGCTGCGCGATCCGCGGAAGCAATCGTCGTCTTTTTAGGAATCATGAAGGCAGGTCTTGCATACCTACCACTGGATGCCTCTACCCCACAGAGTCGGATTTACAATACACTGTCGTGTGTAAGTGAAAGGATAACAGTCATTGTAGTGGATGGAGCTCAGGTGGCTGTTCCCGATATAAATTTGGCTCACGTCGAGTTTGTTACTTTCTCCAGCATTTTGGATCGCCAGCTATATAGTGCGTCAGATGATCAGGCGTTTGAAAGCCAATCCACAATATCCGCTACTAGTTTGGCTTGTGTCCTCTTCACTTCAGGATCGACTGGGAGGCCTAAGGGAGTCATGACCGAGCACCGTGCGATTGTACGACTGGCCAAGGACTTCAACTTCGTCAAAGCCGCAGGCAAGCCTCTAGCTCATATGGCCAGTCTGTCATTTGATGTGTCCACCTGGGAAATCTTTATGCCTCTCCTCAGCGGTGGTGTCGTGGTTTGTGTTGATGCAATGACAGTACTGGACTATAAGGCTCTGGGCGATGTATATGTCCGCCACCACGTACGTGCTGCCATGTTCACTCCTGCATTATTCAACCAGTGTCTGCATGATACCCCTTCCATTGTCAAGAACTTGGATCTCTTAATTCTAGGCGGAGATTGTCTTGATCCTGAGGATGTCTTCCAGGCAAAGAAATTGACACAGGGCCTCATCTTAAACGGGTACGGCCCCACCGAGAACACCGGGGCAAGTACTATGTACCCGATTCCAGATGAGGAGGCATGCGTAAATGGTGTGCCTATTGGGAAGCCAATAGGTAACTCTGGGGCATATGTTATGGATGATTCACTCAACATCGTCCCGAAAGGTGTGATTGGGGAGCTTGTTGTCGCCGGGGATGGACTAGCAAGGGGATATACAGATCACGAGAAGAATCAAGATCGTTTTGTACACGTGGTTATCGGTCAGGAAACATTTAGGGCATATCGGACCGGTGATTATGCCCGATGGAGACCGATTGATGGGCAATTGGAGTATTTTGGCCGTCGGGACGACCAGGTCAAAATTCGTGGCCATCGGGTGGAAATGGGGGAAATCGAACACACATTCCTCTCCCACAGTGCAGTACGCAGTGCTGCTGTTGTTATGAATGGCGTAGGAGCGGAGGCTGACCTCGCAGCGTTCGTAACATTGCATCCGCTTGATGATGATGTGACCGAGACGGAGCGGGTGGATGCATGGAAGACTATATTTGATACAACGGCGTATGACAGCTTCACACAGCAACCCAACCGACTGGGGCGAGATTTTGTTGGATGGCTCTCTATGTATGACGGATGCAATATTGATATTGCAGAGATGCACGAATGGCTAGATGATACCATTATAACCTTGTTGAATGGGCAAGACCCTGGAAAGGTTTTGGAAATTGGCACGGGGTCTGGAATGGTCCTCTTTAACATTACGAAAGGGCTGCAAGAGTACGTTGGCATTGAGCTGGTGCCAAAGCTCGCTCGTATGGTGGAACAAATTGCCAACACCGATGAGAGATTGGCAGGGAGAGTGAAGGTCCATCCAGGCGTGGCTGACCGTATTGAGGATTTCATTTCTGACTTCATCCCCGACCTGGTCATTGTCAATTCCGTTGCACAATACTTTCCCAGTGCAGTCTATCTCTCGGAGATTATTCACAAGCTTATTCGCTTGCAGGGTGTGAAGACATTATTCTTTGGCGACATCCGCTCTTACCCTCTGTATGAGGAGTTCCTGGTCTCGAAGGCCTTACACAACGGCGGTGCAAAAGCCACACAGGATCAGGTCCGACAATGTATCGTGGAATCCAAAGCAGTCGAGACCGAGTTGCTTGTGGATCCTGCATTCTTTACTTCCTTGGTCAATCAATTCCCGGATCGAGTGGAGCACGTCGAGATCCTCCCCAAGCTGATGAGTGCCACAAACGAACTCAGCAGCTACCGCTACTCTGCCGTTGTTCACCTTAAGCATGCTATACTATCACCGCGCATCGCCCACCAGGTTGAAAAGACCGACTGGATTGACTATACAGCGCGATCGCTCGATCCCCGACGCTTGTTGGAGCACCTTCGAAGTTCGCATGACAGCACTATAATAGCAGTGGAGAATATACCAAATCGCAGAACGATCCTCGAAAGTTACATCGTGGACTTCCTCAAAGAAGGGGTTCATTCTTCCTCCATAGACACTGAGATTCACTGGCAGGCCCGCCACCGCAACCGCGCAGCGCAAAGCTCGGCCATGTTCCCAAGAGATCTGGTCGCCATCGCAAACCAGGCAGGGTTCCAGGTTGACGTTAGCTGGGCTAGACAAAGTTCGCAGCACGGTGCATTCGATGCAATCTTCCATCGACTAGGGCCAAATTATGGACAACAGCGGTTGTTGTTCAACTTCCCCGTCGATCATGAGTGTCGGGACGTAAATTCCTTCACAAACAATCCAGTCCAAAGTCAACAGCATCAACAATGTATATATGAGCTCCAAGAGTCGTTGCGCGCGCAGCTTCCAGCCTACATGATTCCCCGCACCATTACAGTCATCGATCGGCTCCCCCTGACAGATCGTGGTAAGGTCGACCGCCAGGCCCTTCGCCGGAGAATCATAGAACAACAACCAGTGGCTATTGAACCGCAGTCGAGTGCAGGCAGGGTAACTGTGGAATACGGCAATGAAACAGAACGAATCATTTGCGAGGCTTTTGCTGAGGTATTAGGCTTGCAATCAGTTGACAGAGAAAGCAGCTTTTTTAGCCTTGGAGGCCATTCTCTGTTGGCTCCCCGCCTGGTGTCTCGAATGTCTAAACGCCTGGAGTGTACCTTTACCATTAGAGACCTGTTCGACTGTCCAACACCTGCCAGATTGGCCAGCCAGCTACTATCGAAACAATCGGATAGGAACGTGGAAGCCAACCTTCCTATTCATGGTGAGGCAAGACCCTTTACGTTGGACAAGGTGAAGCATCACGATGCTCTTCGCGACTGGGGTATTCAGTCAAGCGATGTGAGCCACGTGATGCCTTGCACTCCGTTCCAAGAGGGGCTTTTATCCAACTCTCTAGCTGTGCCAGGAGAATCCAGCTATCTGACTGTCGTACGGCTAGGACTGCAGTCGCAACTTGATGTGAACGCAATACGGCTCGCATGGCAGAAAGTGGTTGAACGCGAAGAAACAATCCGCACAGCTTTCATTCCGGTTGCTGGGGATCTCTCTTCATCAGGCATTACCTCCAGCACGTTTTGGCAATGCATTTTCAAGGTCAACTCCCGCGAGGTTCGGCGGCTTTTGTCTATTGAGGGGCGAAATAGCGACGTGGACCGCTCTGTTTTAGGTTTTGGTCATATCCCAGTCTCGCTCGCATTGGTAGACAAAGCAGACATGTGCAAAGAAACGAAGAGTGGCTCAACTCAACTTGAATTCACTATACATCACGCTCTATATGACGAGGCATATTTCCAATGGATTGTTCGCGAAGTCTCCCGGGAGTATCACAAAGCCCGGTCCGCCAAAGACGAAGTTCCTCATGGGGCTACTGACACATCTGTGAACAGGATCCCCTTTAGCTTATTCGTTTCCCAGCTGCAAGCAATGCCAAGAGAGAATGTAGCGTCATTCTGGAAGAGCTATCTAAGGGGAGCCCCTGCCGCTTGCTGGCCGGTTGCGAGAGGATTGGAAAGTGGCCGGATAACAGAAATAGACGAGTTCTCCAGTCGGTCTTTGACATGGGAGGGGAACATGCATAATGTAGCTGGAGCAAGAGGTGCCACCCCTGCCGCGATCTCTAGGGCTGCAGTGGCTCTAGTCGTTGCAGAACATAGTGGCGTTGAAGACATTGTCCTTGGAGAGGTTTCTAGTGGACGACACATCACTGATGGCGCTACTGGGATCGTAGCCGGACCTTGTATCTCAACACACCCCATCAGGATACGCATGCAAAAGAGGCAAGGGTCGGGAAGCAGTTACCAGAGGCTGTCGTTTGACGAATTGGTAAAACACTCAATGGATTCCTATTTGGAGACGGTGCCCTACCACCAGCTAGGTTTGCCCAGTATCCGACGGCAGTCGCATGTCCCGGATCTTCTGCCGTTTCAGGTGCTATTTGTTTATCAGCAGGCGTTCAATTTTGAAATGGACTCTCGAGGAGAAACTTCACATAACTTCAAGGTCCAAGGGGGGCAGCTTGGTCGGTTTGAATTTCCTGTCGTGCTACAAGCATCATGCCATCCAGTCACGGGCCATCTCACCCTCCATTGCATGTTTGATCCAACAGTTCTAATTCCAGAGGATATTGAGTGGTTCCTCAAACACATATCACAGGTTCTGAGCTCCATAGCTAACAGTCCCCCTCAACTCAATGCCAGGTTAACTATTGGTGGCACTGAAGAGGCAGCGCTAACAAAGCTCGCCTGCGCGAGAGACCAAACCCCAGGGCTACCGCTGGATACTGATAGCGAGTCTCTATGCGCTCATGATCTGATTTCGCGACAGGCCGTGGAGACTCCTTGCAAGATAGCTGTGCAGTATGAAACCTCCCAGTTCATGACGTACGGAGAACTCGACAGGGAGAGCACCAAGCTATCAATCGTGATCCGCACGTTTTTCAATCATCTTAAACCCGACTGTCATGAACAACCCTTAGTTCCAATTTCCTTCGATAAAGGGGTTGACATGATAGTGGCTATGCTGGCGGTTCTAAAGGCTGGGGCTGCTTATATTCCACTTGACGTTTCTCATTCAGAGCAACGTTTGAGAATGATCTGTCAATCCGCGCAGGCCAAGCTTATCCTTTGTGACGGCCAACAAGGAGTTGGCAAGCTGCATGCCATTGGACACTCTTCAGGCGCCACCGTCTCGACCCTGAACGAACTTTCTAGTGCAGTGGACGGTTGGGGAAGCACCCCCCGATGTGGGAGAAAGCCCACTCCATCATCCCTAGCCTATATTATCTACACTTCTGGCTCCACGGGCGTGCCTAAAGGCGTGATGGTCAATCACGCAAATTTGGTATCCTTCATGCAATCCGCAACAAGTGAGATATCCATGTCCTGGACTGTGAATAGACTTCAGATCGCTTCATACGCATTCGATATGTCTGTCAGCGATATCTTCCCCGTATTTGCCGTAGGGGGGCGCGTCTTACTCGCCCGACAACAGTCACTCTGGAGTGATCTCGCTGGGTGGGTGGATGCCTTTGCGGTAAATCAACTTATGACCACACCCACGTTGGCAGATATGATGCTTTCCAGTGCATCGACGGACGGGTTCCTGTTAGCGCACTTGCGTAATGTGATAGTGGCAGGTGAAGCAGTCAAGAGTGATATTCTGGATAAAGCACCAACAGAGATGACATTCTGGCTACAGTACGGTCCAACTGAAGCGACTGTTGTTGTGACGGGTTGTATGCTTCGAGGACCCACATACAACCAACCTATTCCGCATTCCCAAATTACCACGATCGGATTTCCTCTCCATGGCTGTCGTATTTACATCCTACAGCCTGGTACGTCCAACCGAGTCCCCATTGGAGTATCGGGTGAATTATGCATCAGTGGACCGCAGGTGACGATGGGATATCGGGGTGGTGACGATGCTTCCGCAAGCTCATTTGTGCCAGACCCCTTCTGGACCGGGCAGACGATGTATAGGTCCCGCGACATTGCCAAACTCCACGGAGATGGTATGATTGAGTGGGTTGGGCGGATGGATTCTCAGGTCAAACTACGAGGCCTACGTATTGACTTGGGCGAGATTGAGTCCGCAGCCAGGCAGCTCAACGGTGTCCACTCGTGCGCCGTTGTCAAGCTGGACCTGGAAGACAAGGAAACCTTGCTTGCATTCATCGAGGTATCAAATTCTCAGCAAACAAACATTAACCCTGTCACCGTCCAGCAACATATCGCACAATATGTCCCTGCCTACATGGTACCTGCGCACGTTCAGCTCCTCGACACATCACTTCCTCGCACAGCCTCTGATAAGCTGGATCGAAAGGGAATACATGTACTAGCGCAAAAGCTTGTGGATAACGGAGGCTTACTGTCCTTCTGCACCAGCCAGATAGCATTGGCTAATCTCCGCCCATCCCCGGGTACTCTAGAGGCAACACTTGTGTCATACTGGGCTACTATTTTAGGTGTCGACCAGGAGATCATTGCTCTGGAAACGCCTTTCTCTCACTTAGGGGGGGATTCCATACGCGCCATCAGTCTACTCGCGCTACTACGACGTAACAATTTCCAGCTCAATTTGACCGATTTGGGCTCCTTTTCGACCATTCGATCCCAAGCATCCAGAATCCTCTGTAACGTACGACCGCAAAAGCTTCCTGCTTACATGCAGTTGACAGAGCGCAGCACCAGTCGGGCGATGATGGTTTTGGTGCATCCCTTCTTTGGTCAGTCGACTGTGTTTGATCATGTGGTGCCGGCTCTAAGCAAGCAGTATGATATTGTGCAAGTCTCTGATCCTTTCTTTGGAAAGCCTGATGGGCCCGCATCCCTACACGACTGGGCCGCACATTATTTGGAAGCGCTTCACGCCCACCTAAAAGATGACCGACCCATCGCTTTGGTTGGGTACTCTTTTGGCGGCCTGCTGGTACTGGAAATGGCTCGATTATTGGAGATAACAAGGAAAAAATCACCGTTTTCTACAGTCATTGTTGACACGCGTTGTTACAATCCAGACGAGCCGTTCTTCAAGGACGAGGAAGAGAGACAAACAACTGCTGATGATGCCGTTCGCCTCTTTGGCGCCGGCCAAAGAGGGATGATCGAGGAACACTTTGATAAGCATACCCATATATGGGAAAATTCCACATGCCCGGACAAGTACCTCGGCCGTTCACTCTACTTAGCCACTCCGGAGGCCGTTGAGTCAGGTATTGTAGACTGGTGGCGGAGCCAGTGTCCGCACATTAAGGTTCAACAAGTGGAATGCTCGCACGGAGACATTTTCGAACCTGAGATGACTGGACGCGTCAGTGCGTTGATCAATGAGCATTGCGATCTGGATATCACGCGCAATGAGCCTTAGAAAGGATGTGCGCCACATATGAGGCTATTGAAATTGTCTGGTTTTATTGATATTAAGCGAGTATGGGGATATACTATGAGAATAATTTGCAGCAGTGATTGAGGGAAGGTTGAGCGGGAGTTACAAGGCAGCGATGTTTACCTTTTAGAGTAGTTCTTAGTATAATAATGTATTTGGGTTATTGCTCTCTTTCTCACATATTAGTAACAACGAATTAGAAGCTAGAAGACTCTTTAGTGTCATCGAGAGCGAGAGGTTCAACCTGATTTTCTTTTTGTGTTGGCATGACGGTCCGAAAAAGCTAATAACAAAGTTTCAATACTTCTGTAGCGTAGGCATCCTAACGTAGCATGTCATTATCCATGTTGTTCTTACGATGGTCTCACTTATATATACATTCTAGTAGTTATTCGCATATCAGTATCCTTCACGCCTTCTCAGCACCACGCAAGTACCCCATAACCTTCTCAACCAGGAACTTCCTCGGCTCCGCCTGATCATCATTACTCAAAGCATGCGAAGCTTCGGAATAACCGCACTATGCTCCTGGTCCCAGATGGGAGCCTCCCCATCCCGATCCGTCACCTTCCTCCACTTCTCCAACAACTCCTCCTTATCAACCCAGTCCGGAACCGACTGATCCGCCCCCGAAAACAAAACCATGAGTTTATGCTTCAGCAATCCTCCCTGCTTAATCAACCCAAAGGTCTTGGCAAGCTGCTCCTCACTCAAATCCGAACTAAACATATCATCCTCCCCGGGAGAATCGGGACTATCAGGACTAACAAGACTCAAAAGTCTGCGACAGCTAAGTGGTGTATTGGCAGGATAGCCCATGGTCCCCGTCAAATTAATCGGCAGCAATGTGTCAAACCCGGTATCCTTATCTTTAGCGGCGCCCTCTCTGGCAAGAGCCACAACCTTATCATAAATCTCCCGGACTTCGCTAGGCGACTTGCCCCCGATACCCCATTTGAGCACCCACTTGATCGCCTCCCGATCCGAGACCGGAGCCTGCATAATCGCGCCGTCCAGGGCCATGCGCTTAATATGCTCCAGCGTCGGGTCGAACGAGGGCGTAGTGGTATGCGGGTTGGGCCGGGAAAGGTAGTGCACCACGCACTGGCTACCCGTCGAATGGCCCATAAGGACGACCTTTCCGTTGCCGAATTTCTCGGTCTTGTATTCTTTAATGTAGTTTAAGCATTGGGCGATTTCATTCGTGTCGCGGTCTAGATGTCCGAGACCCCATGATTGGTATGAAGATGTGAGGTTCAGCGTGAAGAGGGACCATTCTGTTGGTTGGAGGGCGTGTGCGAGGTCCGCCATGTAGGATGTTGTTGCGAGGCCATCGCCTAGACCGCCGACGAAGAGGAGACTGTGTGGTTTTCTAATGGTGGAGGTAGTGTATTCGAATGTGACGAGGGTTTCGGTCTGGCATTCACCCAGTCAGCTAGATTGAATATGTGTATTTGGTGAAAGCGAAACTCACATAATGATGCAGGATACCGGGGAGACCGCCCTTTGGCCAGAATTTGGAGTACATCTTGACTAGCTAAGCTGATGGGAGATCCTGATGTCACTGTCTTGCTTAATTGATCGAACACTTGCCAAGCCAGTAGGTCGTGGTTCGTGTTATGTGTGGCTTTCGTGAACTAGGATCAAGTCAAGAAGATCGTTGTGACGGTTCGTTTTCTGCAAGAATGTGGGATTTCCGAGATCGGATCCATGCGCTTTTGTTTGCGCTTTTCGTCGGCGTTGGGATGCTGTGGATATCTTCATGAGCTCGAAACGACGGACCCACACCGGTTCGGGTTATGATGATAATTATCGGAACCGAAGCGACCCATGGACCCAGAGTAGCAGATTCCGGACACGAGCTGCAGGGCGTGAGTGGAAAGAAAAAGAAAATATTCTTGGCACATTACTCAGAGTATACGCTACCAAGGACGTATGCTTGGTATTACGCAGTGTAAGATGTATTTCGGAGAACATCATGCCCTAGTAACGCTCAAGTGGGGCATAGAATTTCGCCGAACACAGGCTAAAAGGCTGAGAAGCCGATTAGGGGGAAGACCGTCCGATTACTGGTACGCTAACAAGTTAGATCAGATTAGATACTCTGGCGGGGAGTTGGGATCTGATTAGATTACCCCTCGGTCGAAGTCCTAATTCGGGCTATAGACCCAAGGTTGGCAATGATGAGCTCACCTTTTTGCGACGCTGCTGGCCGTGGGGGAACAACCAGTCAATCCAACACTTGGAAGAGTGGTGTTTTTTTTTGTTGAGGACCAACACACTGCTACGACGTCTGCTGCCAGGACCCGACGTTTACGTCGTAGGAAATAATGCCATGGGTGCTTAAACATGCGCTCGGTCCTTCGTATATGCAGCCTGTATGTATACCAGTTTACATTAGGATCATAGATACCACCTTGGCATATCTTATCAGCGGCAGATCCCGACATGCCAATGAAACTAGAGCTGGCGATGCATGTATTCATATCCTGCATGAATTACCCCTCACAAACATGGATTGCGAAGCCTGAGGGGTGGCAGGGCTGCCAATCCACAGTTCCATCTTAGCGTAGGGATAGAACCTAGAATGGCGTTACATACTGCACTAGACTCAGTCCTCACTGAGGTTGTTGGGCACTCGATGTACTAGAGATGAATGTGACAATGTACCAGCAGTAACCCCACCGAGCAGTTTCAAGTCACGGTGCATTCCATCTGCACATGGCATTCAACATAGGGACCGTGCATGAAGACCCATTCCCTCCGGTCTAGTGCCACATGAAAAACTCAAGCCTGCAGATAATATGTCGTAGCCTTATTCAAGCGAAGTAGCAACATAGACGAGGGAGAGGTGTGAAGATTTCATGAAACTGAATTCCTCCAATTGTAGCGCAAGACAAGCGAGCCAAGAATACATCCAAAGCTTGCAGTCGCCACTGGCGATTCTTGGGTTTCTCAACCTCGAGCTCTGGGCGTGGTCAGTTCGAAAAGCTGCCCACACATGCAGGTGCGTGGTTTTGCCAAAGTGGGTCGAAGTAAAGAAACGACGTGGTGATAATGTGCTTTACCGTACTGTACGTATAGTATCAACGACGTAAGATTGGTATTTTTTGAATTCCACCCGCAACTTGACAAAACACCGCTAGTCCTATATTAATAGATCCTTCCAGGCTTAGGGCAGGGCTAAGTAATATCTCCTACCATGGTCTTCTCCGGCGCCAGAGACTCGTTACCTAATAGCCAGGTGAGAAATTTTATCAGATCAAACTAACCCACCACAACAGGTAGCAACCCCAGTGACAAGAATAATCCAAGAACCAAAGACCTGGTCCACCAACAAATTCTCCCACTAAATCACGGATCAGATAAATTCTGCTCCAAATACCCACCACACCGAACCGAAACAGGATGCGCGAAATTGCAGCTCTGGTCGGAAAGTCCCGCTCGTCAATCATTGACTTGATGAGGGAATCAAAACCGGGATGAAGGTCGGTGGGTATTTGGGGTCGAGTGTTTGTGCTAGAGCAGTCTAGAGTCTGGGCAAGAGCCATTTGTTTCATAGATTCGGAGGTCGATGCTCCATTGGTCTTAGCTTATCTGATAATATTATCTGATTAGATTGATAGGCTGCGTCAACGTTCCGATTGGTGGTCTTGGCGGGTGTAACCCTGCACTTTGCATTTTAGGTTTTCACGTCATTTTGTCATTTTTCCTTTTCTCTCGCAAGGGACCGGAAGTTAGTTCGCTTCCGCCCGTACACCGGAGTTGCTACCGGTAAGCCAGGGTCATGATACTCCGGTAGCGTTGCTGGATTGACAGCTGGCCCACAGATACCCGTTGGTTTTGCTACACGTGGTGTTAACTGTAGCCTTATCCAAAGCAGTAATTGATTTACTATGTTTGCCCTGGTAGCTAGATTCCTATTTTGAATAACAAAGCCGAGTACAGAGGAACTCTAGACGCTCCTATAAAGAAAATTCTTCACCTCCTGCTTAACGATCCACTAGTTCCTGGCCAAGACAGGACTCTGCAACTTAGTGTATTCGGATGGAATATAGTCGGATCGTTCCGCCAATTTTCGTGAGGGGTTTATCTTTCTAACCGAATATGAGTTCGGTTCTTCCTTATCTGATTTTGCCGAACCGCGGTATAGGTACTTGCTGGTGTCTGGTTATTGTCACTATGGATTGAGTAACAGAGCAGAGTCCCTATAGTCTCCGTTCAATTTTATAGCGAAAGACCAAGGCATAGACCAACAAGAGATGACAGCATGAAAAAGTAATCCACAGAACATATTTACATATTATCAATTATACACGACTTTTTCGCTTTCAATTTAAGTCTAAACTTAAAGCTTCGCGTCAAAAGCCATGCGATCCGAGCTCTCCAACGGCCTCTCCCGTCCATCCCAGAAAAGAGGACACAACTGGAACCACTTCTCACGACTGCAATGCACATGGACAGATCGCTTATGACCAAGGTCAACGTACTTCTGGATCGTCAATCCCTGGGCATTCTCATAAGACAGAACGGTCGTATTTGTCGCCTTCGGCTCGCCGACCACGGCCTGCGTGCGCGGCTCATCGAGGAAGATGTAGTGGATTAAACTTCCCCACCATGCGTTTACGCGGTATGCGCCCCGGACACTGTGTTCGCCGACGAGGGAGTGGCGACCGCGGTCGTAGTCCGCGGCGTCGTAGTGGGCGCCGTAGTGGTCTTCCTGTTTGGGGGGTTTAGAACGAGGTATGCTTGCTTTAGGGGGTTGTACGGTGGATAATAGAGAGAGACGTACCTTAGCCCAGTAAACTTCGAAGTATGAGAATTTGAACTCGTCGAACCGGCCGAATAAACACAGGACATGCTTATCTTCGTGCAGACGGCGCAGGTATTCGCGGTGTTCATCTAGGGTACCAGTCTCGTTCCAACCCTTTGCGACGCGAGGGTCGTTTTGCCATTTGTTGAATAGCCGCAGGTGCTCCTCATTTTGCCAATCCACTGCCATGAGGGAGAAATGCTTGTCCAGATGTGGGATGTAGCGACTGTAGACCAAGGACCCTGGTGTTGGCTTCGTGGGGCGAATGGGATGACGAGCGTAAATGCGCTCCTCGGGGAACTTCATCGAGAACTCATAGTTCTGTGCGAGGGCTGGATACTGACTGACGGACTTCCGGAGGAGGCCGTGGATGTCCTGATCGACCGCCCAGATGGGTCGGGGGCCGAGTGGTGAGCCGGCGCCTTGCCAGAAGGCGGAGCGGAGAAGGACGAGGGTGTTGATGTCGGAGGACTTGTTTTCGTTGCCGAAGGGAACTCGGCAGGAGGGGAAGGGGACTGTCAGGCCGGTGCGAATGCATTCATCGCGAACGATGTCGCTGCCGGATCCGATCAGATCTAGACGCAGAATTTCGTATTGGGGATGTGTTAGAAAGGTTGCGTGGATGACGTTCCAGATCTGGCCGAGGGTTGGTGCCTCAGGACTTGTCCACTGGAATGAGATACCTGGCGCTCGGCGGGTTCGCGCCCAGGGACTGTTGTCATTGTCGGGGATTTCCTTGGCGGATTCGTCGTAGGATACATCTGTGTAGGTGAGGGAACTGTTGTGGAGTGGCTCCGGAAGTGGCTGTCCAACGGAAGAGTCATGTAATTGGAGCTGAAGCACTCGTGGCGTGGATTCGGAGACAATGTGAATTTTGTAGCTCGTGAGGTATGGATGAGGAAGCTTCACCCAAGGATATGGTGGGTTGCCCTTTGGCGTAGACTCTGCGAGGGACTGGCTCATGTTTGCGGGAATTTGAAAGTTGCTCGGGGTCAGATATGAGCAATTGAGTAGTAGTATTGATAATGAGGATAGCGATTTTGAAAGCGCAAGGATCTCGGCCTGGTATATATAAGACAATGGAAAGACATAACTCCGAGGTCCAGCGATGGTGAAGTGGAGAAAGTTTTACACTGCACTGAACGCCGAGCACCAAGGAAGCCGGATCTTTGGCTAGAATCGCGTATTGGTCCATGTGAAGCTAGGCGAGATATTATTTCTGTACTATATCGGGTTCCTTTACTTAAAACGTGGTAAAGCCACTCGCCACGAACAATCCGTACTTCCTCTTCCCCGCGCCGAGATATCTTCGCTTATAGATTAATACACAATGTCAACAGGCATGCAGCATCCACCCGTCCAAGGCTGTCTGGTCTCCTTTCCTGCTCCAAACATTCTCCTTCTCACACTCAACCGGCCAAAGCAGCGCAATTCCATACCGCTCGCTACGAGCGCTGAGATACAGCGACTATGGGAGTGGTTTGATCAAGAGCCTACCCTCCTGGTGGCCATAATAACAGGAACGGGGGAATCCTTTTGCGCTGGAGCTGATCTCAAAGGTGCCGATTCTCCTACATTTCATCTCTAGTTCCTTTGTTGTCGCTCATCCATCTAACCTCGTTCTACAGAATGGAACGAACTTAATGCGCGCGGTGAAACCAACGAGATGACAGCACCCGGACTGGCCGGGCTTCCTCGCCGGCGAGGAGGAAAGCCAATTATCGCCGCCGTCAATGGATACTGTCTAGGAGGCGGATTCGAGATGATCGTCAATTGTGATATTGTCGTCGCTAGTGAGAGAGCTACGTTCGGGCTTCCCGAAGTACAGCGAGGCATCGCAGCTGTTGCAGGCTCTCTGCCTCGGTTGGTTCGGGTGCTGGGCAAACAGCGAGCCGCAGAGATTGCGCTGAGTGGTCTGACTTTCCCTGCATCACAACTAGAGCGTTGGGGGCTGGTGAATCGCGTGGTGGAGCATGGTCAGCTAGTAGCAACGGCAGTGGAGATCGCAAGCGCCATCGCGAAGAATAGTCCGGACAGCATCCGCGTTACGATGGAGGGTCTTCATTACGCGTGGGAGATTGCCAGTGTGGAAGAAGGCAGTACCGCCTTGGTAGACCGGTGGTACCCCAAACTCATGGCCGGGGAAAATTTTCACGAAGGCGTTAGAGCATTCGTGGAGAAACGGAAACCGAAGTGGAGGGCTTCTAACTTGTAATCGATCCAGGATTGGAACGGTGATTGATAGGGAATCTCTCGCCTAAGTGCTCCGAACAAAAATTAGACCAATACAGCCAAGAGCGCCACCAAGACCGCTATACATTAATTTAATTATACTAAGAATCCACTAAAACCGGCGGGGCATCCCCTGTATCAATCAATCAGTATGCCATGACCCGTAAGAGGACTTGGCAGTTCTCAAAAAAAAATAAAAGAAGAGGAAACAAGTAGAAAATTGTTGTTACCCTTCGTGTGTTGACAATGGACATCCCTCCTTAGGAGGTTTTGCTATACTGAATGGGTCCAGGGTCCTGCAGAGATCACCTGCTATATTTAACATGACATGGTTGATCCAGCTCCCTACTGAGTACTGATCAGCTATGGAGCCTTATCTGGGCGTCCTTCGTGCTTTAGCCGTACCGAACTATCTATGTTACATCCAGTGTACCCGAGAATTCTTGACCTGATACTAGGGTATTTCCGGTGGATCAGACCACGTTTTTGGGTTAGAACACCCCGTATCGATTGTATCTTTGCGTCTTGGCCCGCGTAATAGCCGGCTTATCCAAAATACAACCAGAGAGGAAATGGAAAGAAAAGTGGAACACGAAGACTTCCTTCAAAGACCATGGCTCTGGATCTTTCGCCGCGAGAATTTTTGGTTCTCGGCTGTGAACTTCTGCCCTTGCAGCAAGATGATATGCAAGAACCACACTCGACTATGTCTTTTTACTCGCGTATAATTGACGCACCATTTCCAGCGGCTATAACGCTATTATTTCCCGCCAATTCTGTAAGTATTATGAATCAGGTGATGCGGACACCCCAAATTCCCACGCCTGTGTCAGAACCTTAGCTCCATCACGATCCTATGAATGGAACCTGTAAAAAATAAAAAAAAAAAAAAATAATCAATAAATAAATCAATAAATAAAATAAGAACTGAAAATAACACTCTGTAACTTATTTTGTTGCCCCTGTTCCAAAGCTAGACATACCATACATACATACCATATATTTTGTACTGTACATGCGTACTATACCTGAAAAGCATTGGGGCTTGACACCTCTTCCGCTGCACAATTATGGGTCCCATCCGTTCATCGGACACACAGATACGGACTACAGACACATACTCTGCTCGACTTGCTTCCAAGAGACATGTGGACATCGGACGAGCCCACAGCCTCTCTCCATGGCGATCTCGGTCACACTATGCTGAGTACCTGCAGGTACGGGAGTGATTCAGGTTATTTTCCGGCTCGTCTGTCGGTGGAGGGCAATACTAGCACAATCTTGGTTGCTTAGTTATATAACTTGCGCCTTACCACTTCAGTGCGGTCCGACTAGTCCAAACCTCCAGCAAATTGAACGGCCGGCGAGGTCCAACCCCTCCTCCTACCCTTATATCTCGCCAAGATTTCGAGTCCAGGTAGGCTGGACTGCCGGGAGAATGGCTATCCAGGTTGATGATACACACGATCAAAGCCAACACAAGCATGAATCTGTTGACATATCATCTGCGGGTCAGGCTGATGGCGACGGCTTCACATCTTTTGAGGTCGCCGGCCTTGTAGCCGACGAGCCCACCACCCCCACCGCCATGAGAGAGGAAGTTTTGCTTATCTCATGGCTTATCGTGCTCTTGCGAACCCGCGAAGGGGGCCATATCCGATATGACTGGGCATACAAGGGGCCGGAACAGGAGCCAGTGAAGGAATGTCTGTCGATGGGAGAACTGGCGATAGGTTTGCAATATAGTGTCGGACAGGCCACCGCAGCAATTTCCCAGTATATCAAGACCGTCTCATCAAGTAGGGATGCGACTATGTCCAACCCCGCCTCACTCCTACTGAGTACGGGTTCCCTGTCGCAAACATCAGAAGATGTGAAAGAAGAAGTGAGTGACGAAGTCTACCTCGGATGTCAAGTAACTGACCACCGGTACGGAAAAAGGGCACAATTCACCTCGAGACACGCTTTGAGAATGGCCGACTCGCGATTCGCCCAGCTTGGCGCTCCGAAACAATGTTAGATTTCACAGTCACGCAACACGTCAAGTCGCTGGTCGACACCATCCAGATGTGTCTGTCGAATCCTGATGCGTCCATTGAAACCTGCCTTCGGCCAACCGCGAGTGATTTGGATGCCATATGGGGGGTGGAATCACGAGCTTCCGCCCTCATACAACTTCTGCATGCACGATGTATTTTCCGAGCAATCTCAGAGATTCCCAGACAAGGTCGCGATCTCATCGTGGGATGGTGAGTTGACGTATGGCCAAATCGAACAATATTCGACTTTTGTGGCTGGCTCATTAAGGAAAATGGGTGTGGAGGTACATGATTTCATTCCGGTTTGCTTTGAGAAATCAAGATGGACAATCGTCGCCGTACTTGCGGTGATGAAGGCAGGAGGAACTTTGGTGATGATGGACCCAACACTTCCGCTTGCTCGTCTGCAGAATATGGCGAAACAAGTTGGTGCGAAGGCGATGGTATCGTCCCGCAACCAGCACGAGCTGGCAACAACTATCATGCCAGACGGAAAACACATCGTTGTGGAAGCAGACGCATTCGCACACTTATCAAATTCAGAACCCCTTCCACAGTTGCCGGCAGTCCCGTCATCTGCCCTAATGTACATAATCTTCACTTCTGGCAGCACAGGTACGCCCAAGGGTGTCAAGATCTCTCACGAAACATATACAAGCAGCGCGTTCCCACGCGCAAAAGCTGTTGGTTATACGGAGGAGTCTAGGGTTCTCGATTTTGCATCATACGCTTTCGATGTTAGTATCGACAGCATGCTTTTGACTTTGGCAAACGGGGGTTGCCTTTGCATTCCCTCCGATGAAGATCGACTGAACGATATTAATGAAGTGATACGAAAAATGAAAATCAACTACGCAGGTATAACTCCGTCTGTGGCCCGAATTCTGGAGCCGGATGTGATAGCATCGCTGAGTGCATTGGGTCTGGGGGGAGAGGCAGCAGCGGCGACGGATGTGACACGCTGGGGTCAAGACACTAGGATTGTCATAGGTTACGGCCCTTGTGAGTGCACGATCGGATGTACGGTGAACAGCGATACTGCCACCGGTAGAGACTATATCTCTATTGGGACAGGAAACGGCGCAGCCATGTGGATTGCCGACCCTAATGACCACAATGTGCTAATGCCAGTCGGCGCTGTGGGTGAGCTACTTGTTGAGGGCCCAATTGTAGGACAGGGCTACTTGAACGATCCAGAAAAAACCGCTGCCGCTTTCATCCATGACCCAGCCTGGCTTACTGCTGGCCACAGTGGCTATGCTGGCCGCTCGGGGCGTCTGTACAAGACTGGAGACCTTGGAAAGTATGATCCAGACGGTTCTGGGGGCATTGTCTTTGCTGGGCGAAAAGACACACAAGTCAAGCTGCGCGGACAACGTGTCGAGCTAGGTGAAATCGAGAGCCAGCTTAACGCCAGACTAACTGCAGAAATCACCGTGATTGCGGAAGTGATTAAGCCTCAGTCTTCTGGGGGCCAGCCCACGTTGGTGGCATTCCTTGCGTCTCAGTCTACGAAGAAGAACGGAGACACTGAGCTAAAGTCGGCAGAGCTATCAGACGACCTGCGCAAAACGCTATCAAAAGCTGATGCAGAAATCGCAAAGGTTTTGCCGCGTTATATGGTGCCAAACGCATATATCCCGGTCAATTACATTCCTGTTTTAATTTCGGGAAAGACGGACCGCAAACGGCTTCGTGAATTCGGTGTCACAGTAGACTTACAACAGCTGGATCAAGGCACAAACAACGAGCCTGCACGGGAGTTGACGGACCTTGAGCAACGGTTGCGCCAGGGTTGGGGCCAAGTATTGAAACTGGATTCTGAAGCTATTCGACCTGACGATAATTTCTTCGCACTCGGTGGTGACTCCCTGGCGGCCATGAGGCTTGTGTCGGTCTGCAGAGCGGATGGTCTCGATCTCAGTGTCACCGGCACCTTTGGCCACCCTACACTTTCAGCGATGGCCAGCGTCGTCAGCATCATCGACTCGAAGGTGAAGACAGAAACACCGGCATTTTCAATGATCACCCAGGCTGTAGAAAGCGCCTGTCTGGAAGCATCAGAAGCCTGCGGATCAGATCCTGAATCCGTCGAAGACATCTACCCTTGTACTCCCACGCAAGAGTCGCTTTTCACCTTCTCGCTAAAGTCAGTCAAGCCATACATCGCCCAGAGAGTCGCTCGCATTCCCTCGCACATCAGTTCTGATGCTTGGAAGAATGCATGGAGTGAGGTTGTAGCAGCAAGCCCCATCCTGCGCACTCGTGTGGCCCAGCTACAGGAACGTGGTCTTCAGCAGGTCGTGCTAAAGGAGACTATCTCCTGGAGGTCTTCGACCGATCTTGTTCAGTACCTAGAGGCAGATCGGAACGAGAGAATGAATCTGGGAGAGAGCCTAGCTCGATACGCCATAGTTAGCGATCCACAGACTGAGACGAGGTACATGGTCTGGACAATTCATCACGTGGTCTACGACGGGTGGTCAGAGCCGGTAATACTTAAGAATGTCAGTGATGCCTTGCAAGGCCAGCCGATTGAAACCCAGGCACAAATCAGAGACTTCGTCAAATGGGTCCGCGATACAGATGAAGTTGCTATGCAGGCATTCTGGCAACGAGAACTAAAAGGCGCAGTTGGACCTCAGTTCCCCCGGTTACCCACGAGAGACTACTTGCCAGTTCCAGATGCTATGGTCGAACGTCAGATACCGCTTGAGACAGGTTCCGGTTGGCCTTTCACACTGGCAACACTTATTCGCGGTGCCTGGGCCCTAGTGGCGTCACAGTATACAGGGAGCGACGATGTTGTATTCGGCGAAACGCTCACGGGGCGAGACATTTCGTTGCCAGGAGTGGAAGGTATTGTGGGTCCATTGATTGCAACAGTACCTATCCGCGTACGTGTTCCTCGAACAAGCTCCGTCGAATCCTATCTACAGGCTGTGCAACAAAGTGTTGTGGCCCGTACTCCATATCAGCATATGGGGATGCAAAACATTCGCAAGGTCAGCCAAGACGCGCAACATGCATGTGAAGCTGGTACAGGTTTGGTCATCCAGCCAGAGCCGGAGTATGTGGGCAGCGAACTGGGCTTTGAGCTTGGAGACGTCGTACGTGAAGCGCTGCATTTCAACCCATATCCGCTCATGTTAGGCTGTGGTATCCGAAAGGGCGGTTTCAGAATATGCGCAAATTTCGATAGCTCCCTGGTGGAGATCCCACAAATGGAACGAATCCTCGCGCAGCTCGAAACGGCTTGCTTGCAGTTGACGAAAGGCCTCTCTAGAAGGATCAACGAAATATCCTGTCTGCCCGAGGCGGAACTGGATCAGATCTGGCGATGGAACCAGGTTGCCCCGTTGTCCTTGGACGAATCATCGGGAAGGCTTCGTGCAAATGCGAACATCAAGCCAGGATCAGTTTACCCTCCTACGGTGGTTCCCTGGGTGTGCGACCCGCGGAATCCATCGTTGCTATCGCCAATCGGCTGTGTGGGTGAGCTCTGGCTCGAAGGCACCTTCCTTTCAGGCGGTGCCATTGATTCCCCCTCCTGGCTCCTGGCTGGCAGCTCCAACTTCAAAGGCCGGGCGGGAAGAGCGCAGCCGACCGGAGACATGGTCAATTTACAAGAGGACAGAAGCTTAATATTTGTTGGTAGAAAGGAGGATGTCGTGCCAGTTCAAGGGCATGCAGTGGATATCGCCGATGTCGAGTCTCACTTTTCAAAATACCTCCCACCATCTGTTCGTGCTGCGGCTGCCGTCTTCCAGCCATCTTCAGACGATGCCCACTCTGTGGCAGAACAAGAGCTGGCCATATTCATAGAGCAACAGCCCTTTGACGAAGACAGTGTTGAGCTCCTATCGGCGAAGTATGATATTGCTCGTGAGGCTTCAGACACGCAAAACTTCTCGACGTCTATTTGTGCCAAAATTCCCGTCAGTCTTACCGTTGCACTGAAGCGACTCAGAAAATTTATGCAAGACTCCCTTCCATCATACATGGTCCCCTCTGCCTACGTTGTCCTGGACAAATTGCCCACTGAGATGGGTGAAGTCAACCACAGTTTGCTCAAACAGCTAGCCTCGAATATTCCAAAACACGTACTCATCCAGCTTCGTGAAGCCTTCCAGCAGGCCTGGACGAAGAACTTGGGGCAAACTAATATGTCCCTCCCAGAGAGTATCCTGCGGTCCGCCTGGGCAAAGATACTAGGAATGAGTCCCGAGAAGATTGATGTCGACGATAACTTTTTCCGCATGGGTGGTGACTCTGTTCTAGCAATGAAACTAGTCTCTAGCCTTCGTGCGCAGGGGCACAGTTTGTCAGTGGCCGATATCTTCCAACACATGCGTCTTGGTGATGCAGCTAAAGTACTGAAACTGGGCCAGGTGTCGCAACAGAAAGCCCAGCCTTACAAGGCTTTCTCGACTCTGGGCCGTCTGGACGTAGAGCAGTTCGTGTCCGAAATTATCCGGCCGAAACTTGCTGATGTTACGTGGTCTATCCAAGATGTATCTCCCGTGACAGACTCCCAAGCACTCGACGTCAGAGCTACCGTTCAGGGACCGCGCACTTCGATACAATATACTATGTTGTACCTGGACCAGAATATCGATCGAGAGCAATTGTTCCGCGCCTGCAACGACCTGGTCAAGACTCACGACATTCTGCGTACTGTCTTCATCGAACACGAATCTACCTTCCTTCAAGTTGTTTTGGATGAGCTGGTCGTTCCTGTATCCATGCACCAAGCTGATAAGGATCTTGATCAATACATCAAGGATCTCTGTACATCAAACACGGAATCCTTCCACCTAGGATCGTCCTTCTTCAAGTTGCTCCATGTCGAGGGCAGCGATGGCCAAGGATGCCTCATCCTAGGTCTTTCACACGCTCAGTACGACGGAATGTCTCTACCTAGGCTGCTACAAGATCTGGAAACTTTGTACACTGGCGGAAAGATCATCGACTTCGAGCCGTTCTCAGCATATATTGCCCGGATTTCCAATGAAGGTGTCCAAACCAAAGCAATCAACTACTGGCGCAACCTTCTAGAAGGGTCATCCCTGTCTGTTCTAGAAGGAACGTCAGTACAGCCTACGGACAAGGCCATATTCCAAACTAAGCCCGTCGATGTCTCCCAGCCTCTAGAGCTCGAAGAGATCACGACTGCGAACTTACTCACTGCAGCCTGGGCGCTGGTACTGGCACGCCGTATCCAAAAGCCAGATGTGACATTTGGTGGCGTGACTTCAGGCCGAAGCATTGACCTCGCAAATGTGGAAAATGTTATGGGTCCCTGCTACCAGCTAACCCCTATCAGAGTCGCGTTCCAGTCACAGTGGACTGCGATGGATCTACTGCGCTTTGTTCAGAAGCAAAGCGCCGAATCTGCGGCTCATGACTTCCTCGGGTTCAACAAAATCTCAAAGCAATGCACAGAGTGGCCATTGGAAGCAACATGTTTTGACTCGCTCGTCCATCATCAGGACTGGGATGACTTTGACACCATGCCTTTTGCCGAGGGAACTTGCAAGGTTGATATCCTTAACCCGGATGGGGATGCCCCTTATCCTTTAAAGGTTGTTTCGTTTGTCCGCGATGGGCAATTGAATGTCGGAGTCGCTGGAAGTGAAAGAGATGCGGCGTTCGTGAACGCAGCCCTTGATGAGTTGGCTGCCACGGTCAAGGAACTGGCAACGCGTCAGTCGGAGCACGTGTTGCTTGATGGTCACATGTTCTAGGCCCCTAGCTTGGTCAAAGTCGCCGACACTTCCCTCGACATTGGTTCGTAGATAACGATTTCATTCTGATCTTTTTGCGTTTATTTCTCCTAGGGGTTCATTTTCTTGTTATATCCTACTAGTATATTATTAGAACTGTCGAATACAGTTTTAAAGCAAATATTCTTGGCATCTCTTGGTATCTACCCCAAAGTCACGGGACTTTGCCTTGTAACCACTTTAGACGAACCTGTATAATTAAAAGTCTATTGAAAGGAAATATTATGGCATAAGTAGAGATCCATGACTCGGCGTTGAATCACAGTTACTATTATCGTCGTGGTTTACACATTTCAGAAGTATTAGGACAATCCTGTTGGCAAAGATATATTTTCCGCAAAGCCCTAAGATCTACACGCTCCTATAGGATCATATATTTTCAAACACAATTTTAAAGCACGTGAACAATTTAAATCCTTGGATTTATACTACTCGTATTAAATAGTGAATGACTATAAGAATTACGTAGATAAGCTCTGACTGCTGATATTTGTGAGTTGCTTGGTGATTAAGCTGTGAGGAGAAATGGCAAGGCAAGGTTCAACAGGGTAGATTTTACCGCTGCCAAGCTATCGCTGGAGAAGATCTATGACTTTTATTTTTCAGTTATTGTCTTGTATATTATAAGAACCATAAATTGAATATTATCATATATAGACTCAGAAAAGAAACAGCGCTATTATAAATATGTAAGAAGTCTATCAGGGGAATAATAAAAAACCAGTCTCTTGCTGCAACCAAAATGTCCCAAAAATCGCAATAAAGGTTTATCCGACGCATTCCAAGATCACGTGGCAACTGTTTGATGCATGACGTTTGCTCTATAGCTGTCCGACCTTTCAAGCAACTCATCGTGCGATCCACGATCAATGCATTTCCCCCCCTCGATCAAGAAGATAACATCTGCCGCTCTGATTGTATGGAGACGATGGGCGATGGCAATGACAGTAATGCCCTTTGCAGCCTTTTCGAGTCCGTCTTGCAGTAGCTTCTCCGATTCAGCGTCCAAAGCGCTGGTCGATTCATCGAGAATCAGCAGCTTAGGCTTACGAACGAGGGCCCGAGCAATAGATAATCTCTGCTTCTGACCTCCCGAGAACTGGCTACCATTAGGTCCGCAAAGAGTCTGGTAGCCCTCTGGCAGCGCTTCAATAACGTCGTGGATGTTGGCAAGCTTGCACGCCTCTTTGATTTCCTCGATAGTTGCTTCATGTCCTGGTCTAGCACCAAGCCCGATGTTGAACTCAATACTACCCTCGAAAAGCACGCTTTCTTGTGGTACTAGGGCGATCGAGTCACGGAAGTCAACACCTCGGTGCTTGGTAACGTCGACACCGTCGATTACAATGGATCCAGCTTCTGGCGTGTACAACCGTTCTACCAGCGAAATGATAGTTGATTTACCGGCACCACTTGGTCCAACAAGAGCACAGAATTGCCCGGGACGAATATCGACGTCCAAGCCATTTAGCACCTTCATGTCCGGGCGAGCGGGGTATGCGAAATGGATATTGCGGAGCTGTACGCTCGAGGCCTGGTTGTTGCCAGACACGTACGCCGACTTCGTTTCAGCTGTCTCAAGGTCTTTCTCCTCGGAAGAAGACATAGCTTGTGAACGGGGTGGTACGCGTCCTTGCATCTTGTCCGACCCAATCTCGATCAGACCCAAGATTCTTGCCATCGCCGCGCGGGCGGCGGAAAGCTCCGGTGCAAGGGCAAACATCTGACTCCAGAGCAATGCACTGACCAGGAGCGAGAATACTACAATCAGGAACTGCGTTTGCGTGTAGTTGCCATTGATGATCTGTTTGGAACCCCACCAGTAGGCCAGCGCATTGACGCAGTTACCAAGGAAGTATGTCATTGCCTGCCAGAGACTTGCATGAAGAGTGACTTGGAATGTCTCCTTGCGGGGTCCTTTTAGAGATCGTCGGTAAGTCCTCAAAGTGTCCTCTTCCAAAGATAGGGATGCAATTGTCTTAATCGACGTGACTGCCTCTACACCAATATCGACGGACTTGGTGTATGCGTTCTCGTGGCGTTCCTCGAATCTGCCAAGTACGTGAAGTTCCATAAGACCGGCTCCAAGCAGGAGTGGTACCAAAGCCAGGCAAACCAGTGCGATTCTCCAGGCGATAATATGGGTCAAAATGATTGCTGCAATAAGGTTGACGGAGATAGAGAACAACGTTCCAATGACGGAGCCACTCAGTCCCGCCAAGGCGTTGCCGTCTCGAGTAATATAGGAGAGGAGCAAGGCGGGTGATCGACCGTTAGATTGATGCCACTGGAGGTCTTGCTCAAACAGTGAGCGGAATGACAAGACTCTGACTGTATAGACGATTTTCTCCGATACCCAGCCAAATCCGGTCCAGCTAACCAGGTTCGCGAAAAATTCAATAATGGCAAGTACAAAGAACATAAGTCCGAAGAAATTTCCGGCACTCCGAATATAGCTCTCACTGTGACAGGGATTCAGACTTCCAACGGTGTTTCCGAAAATCACGGCTTCGCCAGAGAAGGCACCGCCGACAATGCTGGAACCTAGAAGTGCGAGGAAAATGAAAAGCAGGTGTGGTCTCAGTGTTGGCGCATACCCGCGCAGCAACGCCCACAAAGATTTCTTGGGAGTCTCAGGCTCTTCTTCCTCTGCAGCAGGTTCAGCAGACTCGGTGACTGGAGATGCACTTGCTGAGACTTCTTTTTTCTCGGCGGCTCCCAGACCATCGTTTGAGAAGCTACCTTTCTCGATACCAGCGTCAGATAAAGAGGCCTGGTCAGACTTGCTGATGTTATCTGCGCTAGCTGTCTTGTCTTTCTTGCCGGGGGCAGATCCCAGAGTTTGCAGATTTACCAGGTCAGCGTACGCTCCATTCTTAGCCATCAGTGTCGCGTGATCTCCCTGTTCAACGATATGTCCCTTGTGCATAACGATAATATTGTCGGCATTGGTGATTGTGGACAGACGATGGGCAATTGTGATCATAGTTCTGCCACTGGCAATGTTTGAGATGGCCCGCTGAATACGCTGCTCGCTCCTTGAATCGAGAGATGCTGTGGCCTCATCCAATATAAGTACCGCAGGATCCTTGATGAGAGCCCTAGCAAGGGAGACTCGTTGCTTCTGACCACCACTGATCAGTCGCCCACTAGAACCGACGAGTGTACCGTAGCCATGCTGTAATACACTGATAAAGCCATCTGCATCAGCAAGTGTCGCAGCCTTTCGCACTAGATTGACAATTTCAACAGCTTCAGAGCCTCGCTTCTCGGCTGCAGTCATAATATCCACGCCTTCCCTGACTTCCGCTGCCAAATCTGTAAGATCGGTACTAAGAAGTGTCGTCTTCAGATGAGCATGACTAGGATTGCTTGAATTGATCAAGCCATGTGCGATGTTTTCCAACAGTGACCGATCGAGCAGCGAGGGCTCCTGCTGCACCAAACTGAGGAAGCTTCTCAAATCACGGGTATTGACCTCACGAAGGTCGTGACCGTCAAAGAGGACCTGCCCCTCTGTGGGATCATACAGCCTTGTGACCAAGCCGGCGATAGTTGACTTGCCGCTTCCAGACAGACCAACAAGGGCAGTATGTTTGTTGGCCGGAATGGAGAGACTGATCTGGTCGAGCACCGTGATCTCGGGCCGGGAGGGATAAGTGAATGAGACATTTTTGAATTCAAAGCCTCCTTCTGCCTGTGACAGGTGAATACCTGATTCACTGGTAGCGTCAATTTGTGGCTGGCGATCGATGTCTGCGCGCAGCTTTTGGAACGAGGCAACAGCTGCCGTGAACAGGTGAAGGAATGGAGCCACCTGACTCAGAAGCAAGGTAGCTTCAACGAGGACGAAAATAACTGTAAATGTCGCACCAACGGTGGCACCAGCGCTGTCAGAGCCTACTGAATCCGCAACACGTCTGCTACCTTGCCAGAAGGCCAGACCATTTGCAGAATATGCGATAAAATACAGGAATCCAGATTGTATACCCACGGCGGCAGCCTTCTTCAAGCCCTCCTGTTCTGAAGCCTTGAGCGCCTTGGAAAACTTGTCTTCCAGTCGATAGCTTGCGCCAAAGGCCTGCACCACGACGGTGTTGGATAGCGCCTCGGAGGCAATTGATGCGGCAGTCGCGGAATAATCTGACATACGTCCAGAGTACTTCTCAATATAATGACTTCCCACGAATGACATCAAGAAGTAGGCAGGAACTAATGAAATCAACATTGCTGCCAGCCGGTAGTCTTTGATGAAGGCGACGACATATGCCGTGATGAAAAAGGACAGGGTCGACAAGCATATTCCCACTTTCTCGGACGTGCCTGATCGAATGGCCTGGATATCACCATTAAGTCGAGATGCGAGTTCTCCCGGAGGTAGATCATCGAAGAATGAAGGTTCTTGTCGCAGCAAGTTCTCCAGATATGTTTCCCGCAACCTCTGCGCCAGCCGAGCACCGTTCAAGCTCCAGCAGGACAGATGTATATAAATCGCAACGAATTGAGCAATGGCCAGATACACAATGATCAGGATTTTGCCGTTAATGTCATTTTGGTAATCAGCATCGGAACCTGTCGACTCGGTTTCCTCACATGTTACGGCGTTGAAGTCGTCTAGCAGTTGACCGAACAGAATAGCGATGATTGGGAAGGGGACACCAGACGCTGCTGAAGATACAATGCCCAGCAAAAGCCTGCCTATGTCAACTTTTGAAGGGTTGCCAGCCAACAAGAGGCTGGGGTAGCCCGCAAGCTTCTTGCCGAGCTTCATCGTGACCCGGCGTCGACAATATCCGTTGGGCACCTTATGATTGTCGTTGTCGTGTGCTTGGCTTTCAAAATGGTCGTTGGGATCATGGATCGTTGGAGAACTCGTTCATCGACAACGTGTATGTAGGAAGGAGGAAATAGTTGATTGAGTCACCACGGAGAAAAATGCATCCACGCGTCAAGGCGCTCTCATTTTGAGTCCGAGGTCGCAAAGGAAAAGGAATCACCGAGACAAGGTGACT